GAGGAGGAGCAATGTGGTTTTCGTCCTGGCCGTGGGACTGTGGACCAGCTCTATACCCTTGCAAGGGTGATGGAGGGGGCATGGGAGTTTGCCCAACCAATCCACATGTGCTTTGTGGATTTGGAGAAGGCTTATGACCGTGTCCCCAGGGGCACCCTGTGGGGGACGCTCCAGGAGTATGGGGTGGGTGGCTTTCTGTTGAGGGCCATTCAGTCCCTTTACCAGAGGAGCGTGAGTTTAGTCCACATAGCCGGTAGTAAGTCGGACCTGTTCCCGGTGAGGGTTGGACTCTGCCAGGGCTGCCCTTTGTCACCGGTTCTGTTCATTACTTTTATGGACAGAATTTCTAGGCGCAGCCGTGGTGTGGAGTGTGTCGAGTTTGGTGGCAGGAGAATCTTGTCTCTGCTTTTTGCGGATGATGTGGTCCTCCTAGCTTCATCCAGCTTTGACCTTCAGCTCTTGCTGGGCAGGTTCGCGGCCGAGTGTGAAGCGGCTGGGATGAGGATCAGCACCTCCAAATCTGAGACCATGGTTCTCGGCCGGAAAAGGGTGGCTTGCCAACTCCGGGTCGGGGGAGAGGTCCTTACTCAAGTGGAGGAGTTTAAGTACCTCGGGGTCTTGTTCACAAGTGAGGGTAGGAGGGATCGGGAGATCGACAGGTGTATTGGTTCGGCGTCTGCAGTGATGCGGACGCTGAGCCGATCTGTCGTGGTGAAGAGGGAGCTGAGCCAGAAAGCCAGGCTCTCGATTTACCGGTCGATCTTGTCACGGTCTGGGGGTGTCATCTTTCTCTGATTTACTTTTTGAGCTTCCTTTCCTCTGCAGGTGGGCGTGTCCGGTTGTGGGGAAGTTGCTAGCAGCTGCAAGCAATCCACTCATCACCTACCTGCCAGGGGATATTTAAGCACCTGAGAGGCGGCTTCACTTTGCTGGATGATTAACTCTACTTGGGTACTCAACTAACAGCCGAACAACTTGTATCTCCTAGTGATTTGACTTTTATCTGGATTTTGAGCTCTTCATGATTTTTGACGACTTATCTTCCTACCTTTTCACCCAGACATCCTGTTACAATAACTACCTGGTCAACCTGCCATTCGCCTCTCAGCGTCCTCCCATGGTCTCCCCCACGCCGGCTCCCCACCTTCCTCCTGGATCTCCTGCTCAGTAATTGCTCAGCTCCCTCCTCGCCTGGACTCTCAGCTTCCTCTAACTCAGTAAGCCATCTGCTTCACCCCCAGACCAGACAACCAACCTCTCCCGAACATTTTAACTGAACCTTCAGACCGTAAGTCTTAACTGATCCATTATTCCCATTTTTCTGCAACCAGTCCTGACATTTTTTCGTCCTTCAGACTCCCCCCACCGGATCCCAGCAGTCCAGCCTGACATTTTGTTCCTGCAATTTCTCCTTTATAATAAATCATTATTTAACTCTAATTCTGACTTGTGGATTGATTCTGTATGTCGTGGGTAAGGCATATACCACCGACCATGACAGATCTACGTCCCAATCCTCATCTATGGTCATGAGCTTTGGGTAATGACCGAAAAAACGAGATCGCGAATACAAGTGGCCGAAATGAGTTTCCTCCGTAGGGTGGCCGGGCTCAGCCTTAGAGATAGGGTGAGGAGCTCGGACATTCGGGAGGGACTCGGAGTAGAACCGCTGCTCCTCCGGATCGAAAGGAGCCAGTTGAGGTGGTTTGGGCATCTGGTCAGGATGTCTCCTGGACGCCTCCCTGGGGAGGTGTTTCGGGCATGTCATGCCGGCAGGAGGCCCCCGGGTCGACCCAGGACACGTTGGTGAGGTTACATCTCCAATCTGGTCTGGGAACGCCTTGGGGTCCTGCCGGAGGAGCTGGTGGAGGTGGCTGGGGAGAGGACGGTCTGGAACTCCCTAGTTGGGATGCTGTACCCACGACCCGGACCCAGATAAGTGGAGGAAGACGACGACGACGAGTAAATAAATCTCAATTTATAAATTTCCCGTTTTGGTGCCTGTCCATAAAATCCTGCATTAGACACTGAAAGCTGAATGGATGCCTTTCATTCACTTTGACATTCAATGTATTTTTAAAGATACACTTGAAATTAATATCAGCTGTTTAACAGAGTGGTGCAAAATAATTGCTAATGTCATGATTTTTGCAATAACCTGACCTTGATGCAGAGAAACTCAGGAGACAAATGAGCTAAAAACAGTTTATTAAAATGTTTGACGGATGACTGAAGAGGTAACTGCTGGAGATCAGGAACCAGAAGCTTCTGCGAGAAAGAGCAGAGGTTAGTAAGAGGCAACAGGTCAGGTTTTTCTTAGACTGTGCAGGTAGTTTACAGAGACTGAGAAACGCCACAGAGATGGAGCCACAGGTTTTAGTGTTCAAAGATCAGAAGGCCCTGAGGTAAAATTGAGTGTTAGTAATGACTAAAGAATGACTTACAAAAGGAAAAGTTTAGGTACTTATGGTCTGAAGTTGTAGTGCAGACGGGAGACAGCAGAATGGTGGAGAAACAACCAGAAGTCTGGGAGAATGACAGCATGAGTTGCAAGAGGGTGAGCAGAAGGTAGTGGGTGTTAGGTAATTTTATTTCCCATCCAGGATTACCTTAGGGTAAGTTCAACACGCAGGGGTTATAATAATCAGCTGATCAAAACCAATACCAATAATCAACCAACAATCAATTTAGACTTTGCAAAGTGGAGAGATGAAAAGATACACACCAGTCGGTAGTCAGTTTGCTCTCATCAGAAAAAAGCCCTCAGAAAGCATTTATTAAGGCGGACACACAAAATGATAAACGCACACACAATTACACACAAACAATCGAGGTTCTCACAGACTCTCAGGCAGGAAGACACTCCAGGTGCAATTTCTAAAACAAGCTGTCTGGACTTTCTCAAGGGGAGTTCTACTGATAAGGGGGACCAGTACCAAGTCTGGTGCCGAGGGCAAGGTCAGTCCTCCCTGTTAGAGCTACAAAAGCCTGTCTGTTCCCAGAGTAAAAGAAATAGATTAAACTTTGGTTAAAACCTCCAGATGTTAAACCGTTAAAGACATTATTAACAGTAATATCAGTTTTTATCCAACAGTGGGTAAGCCGACTGCCAGTATGGTTGTGTGATCAGGAGCTTCAAGGAAAGAATTCCCATAGATCTGCATAGAAAATGAGCATGCAAGTTTGAAAAATGGCAGAGTCATGGGCTACATATGGGTTAAAACACTGATGAGTGACCAGCTACCAGCTTTTATTCAACGATGGGGTTACAGGTGTGTGAGGATGTCCCTGCCCCATGAGAAGGGTTTTCAGGTAAGCCTCTCCATGGTGCTCTGCAATGGTGACTAGCAAGGCTAAGGAAGAGATTAAAGGGGAACACAAACCCAGGACTCCGACCCAAACTCCTGACAGCAACACAACAACTCCTCCCACAGGCGGTTGTTCCACGGGAGTACACGCAGCTGCCCGAAGTTCAGCATCAGGCAACCTGTAGGCAATGTAATCATACGTGGCTTCTGAGCATGCAAGTTTACTCTAGCTGTACAGCGTACAATAATAATAAAGATTTATATTATATTGTGTTGCTCACCTTACAGGTTCTTTTAAAATCTTAACCTGTGCCTGCTGACAGCAGGTCTTTCAGGTCTTTTGAACTAGACACAGAGAGGTTCAGGCACAGGTACTTAGTCAGACTCCTGATATGGTAGAGCATCCACCACCACAGACTCCTGATATGATAGACTCTATCATATCAGGAGTCTGTGGTGGTGGATGCTCTATCAGATAGAGCATCCACCACCACAGACTCGAACAATAGGTCCATTTGCTTGTCAACTGGAAACAATGGAAAAAGATTACCATTAGTACAGATATTTATCCATAACCATCACTGTGGTTATACAGCCTATGAACTACATGAGGTGGGATTGGTCTGCAGTACAGATGTGTATTTTTGACAGAATTTATTGTAGGAATATTCAATAAACAGTCCAAACTGATACTTAACATGTTTAACATGAGTTATCTGAACCATAATAGCGGGATTTAAATTTCAATGGTGGAAACAAAGCCCAATGCACACTGCTGCCAACTAGCAGTCGGCATTTAAAGTGCACCAAAAACAAAGAAAATACACAAATGTTTGCATGTAAATTCCGAGGTGGGGAAAAAAAGTCTTGGATGCTCACTTCCAGGTCACTGAACTGTCACTCAAGAGAAACCACTGTCCTATGGGAGAGGACTTCTCAGAAGTCCCACCCACCCGAAAGGGTTGTGTCAGAATTGCAACCAAAAACTCAGGGATTGCAAAGGAGAAAGCCAGAAAGAGTAAGTGCAAATCTGGTAGTGAGAGCAATGTGAGCAGCGAGAATGAAACTAAGGAAACTGATAACAAAAACACATAGAGGCAAACAGAAAAAGGAAACATACTTTGTTACACATTTTAAGAAGTTGATTCAGACAGGGGCGTGTCCAGGGAGTGGCCTGGGGTAGCACATGCCACCCTTGGAATCTGATTGGCCACCCCAGGTGTCGCCACAGTAATCTACCTTCAAATAGGCTTTTGATTGTCCACAAAAGGCTTGGGGGTAAAACAAAAAAAAAAAGCATAACCATTGGTGCCACCCATGCACAAAGTTGTGCTTCACCTGGGCCACCCCATTTTAAAAGATCTAGACACGCCACTGGATTCAGATAGTAAGTTTTATTTTCAAAACTTTTTTTCCCTTTCAGTCAATATTTTGTTCTGTCAATTTCTTAATTTTTGTTTGACCATCAAAGTGTTTTTCTTGATCATTTTAAGAATCTGACTCAGATCGTAAGTTTTTCTCTTGAAACATTTTTTTCTGTCTCAATGTCTTAATATTTGTCTGATCTTCAAAGTGTTTTTCTTGATCCTATTGGCACAAATCTAATCCGATAGCAACAACCTCCAGCTGCTTCTGTAAAATAAAACAAACATCCCCCTACTTCCTCTATACGTAGTTTCGGGAAAACTGCGCCGGAGCTTTTCTTTTATTTTTTTCGCTCGCTGGAAGAAACAGGACAGTCGTGTCGGTGCCAAGGAGGAGAAGGCGTAGACTTCCTCCTGACATTTCCTTCGCTGCTTTCTCTGCTTTGAATCTCGGGTTTTGTGCAGCTTTTGCTCCGATCAGAGGTTGTTTCTTTTTGCCTTTTATACATTTTTATAGTTTTTCCTTTTTAACTACTGGTTTTATCTCAGAAGAACAGGGGACATTTGACATCTTAACTCCTGCAGATATGAACTGGGGATCAGATTTGTGGGTAAGTAGCTGAGAGCTCACTGGGGGTCAGGAATTACAGAAACACAATTAATCAGTCAATCATTAATGTGCGCGCGCGTGTGTCCTGGAGATTTCGCAACTCCTGCTGCACCTCATCGTTTATTGCTGTAGATTCTGGTCTTATGTACACACTGTTCCCTAAAGGTGTTGTAACTGTTGCCCCTTTATCCTAAACCAGGACATTACTCTGGCAACACCTTTCAGGAAACAGCTTGTAAAGCTTGAAACTACCTGCTTCCTCTGCGTCTTCTCAGTGTTTGTGCTGGGTTTACAAACCTGGTTCAGAAAAACTTCTCATCACTCAAAAATAATACTAATAAAGGTTAAATAGGTGTGAAACACAGCAAAAACTGGTTAAACTGATAATTATACTCATGACAAAAAAAAGTTTTTTCTGTTCAGCAATCTGTCCAAAAACTCAAGTATATCACACATAACACAAAAAAGCAGGATGTCATTCAAACTGATAAGCAACAGATTAATTCTAGTTTATTAACACATTTCCTTTGTAATTGTCGTGTAATCCACAGATCTGTAGGTGTTTTCAGATCCACTCTGAATGAAAACAGTTCATATAATTGAGTTTAGCTTTCACACAGAGTCGTGTGTGCTTCAGTCAATCTCTGTCCAGTTGAATTCATTTCTGCTGTTGATGAGGAGCAAAGTGGAGTTTTCCACCCATCCTGTGAATCGGAATCACACACTGGGTGAGGCTGTTTATTGCTCTGATTGTGAGCTTGATAGCCTGGTTTATGGTGTTCTACTGTGGTAAAACAACAAGTAAAAGCAGTCAAGACCGGTAGAGGTAGTAACTGGTGAATCCTCAAGTAAGAAATATTTTCCAACTGGTATTACTAACAGTGCAGCCTGATATCTATGTTTATAGCTGCAACAGCTAATCTACAGGAAAAGCTAGCTTAAAACATTTTTCAACATTCTAACATGTAGCTATAAACATATTGTGGATATTTCAATAAAATACTCAGTGGTTTTCTCGCATTTGTCTAAAAACCTCCACCAGTAAAACAACTCTGACTGAAAGCTACCAGTGTGTATAAAACTACAGTCTAGAGTGCTCTAGAGGCTCTTATGCAATGTCAGATGTCAGGAATGCAGAACTGTCAAGTACAACTGTCTAGCAAACATCAGCAGTAGGGCTGCAACAACGGATAGATAAAAATTGATGAAGAAATGCGTTGGCATCGTCATTCATCGATGATCCAAACAATCGTTTGTTGCAGACCCAATCAGCAGAGCCAATAAGTGAGCTTATGGACGGTTCTAATGGGAAACGGACTTCAACACAAGCGGTTGTGTTGCGCTAGGTCCTAGTGCTCAACCAGTGTTTCTTTATTATAGCGTAACTACGTCCACGATTAGCCCATCCGGTTGTCAGTCTTGCAGAATTTCTGCACTTCACTGGATCCTCCACTCATTACGCGCCTACATGATTAGCAACAGAACACCACTGGTGTGAGAGGTTCTCAGCTCAATAACATCAGAGAAGGGCCACTAATGAAGCTACCACTTCTACTTTAGGACAAACTACCAGAGTCCTAAAAAGAAAACGTTTGAATTCACGGACAACAAAAGATGTTTGGCTGTAGAAAATGACTGGTGTTTAGCACTTTTTTGTTTCCTCTGGCAATGTAGGTTTCTGTTTCCCGGCTGACGCAGCCCAGGGATGTATACCCGACTGGAGGGGCGAGAATTCTGTGACCGTTCTCTAAATGTGCTAATGCAGCTTTAACAGTTTTGGACATAACCTTTCCTCAGATTTGCATCCACAATTTCAAATTACAGTATTTTTTTTTCTGTTTATTGTATGAAAAATGGTAAACAAGTCAGAGCAGCATAGTAGAATGAGAATCGGGTCACATGCATATATCTACAACAGTTCTACTTGAGATTTCTCCTAACTTAGCACCCAGAAGACCCGCACTGTCAAACCAAAAATGTAAAGCACTTCATGCAAACATTGTTCTAAAAGCCTTTACACCTAAATGAAATGTACAAAATTTTGGGCTTTTTTACTGCTGAAAACTGCTGCGTTTCTCAGATCTGCAGCACTTCTGGCTGGAATTGCAAATCAAAGACATTGGAATAACCATGAAAAATGGATTTTATGTAAAATGTAAAAACTCTAAAATAGACTTTGCTTTAACAGCTGTACAGTTTTTGAGTCTGAATTATTTTAAGATTCTCTGAAACTGTCACAGTTGTGACTAGCTGCTATCCTGTCTGTCCAGTCAGAATTAATCTGACTTTCTCTGAACTAAGGTCATTCAAAGAACAATAACTGCTCATTCAAATGAACAGAAACAGTATTTTATGTTATTTAACTCTGGTAGCAACCAAGAACACCCCAGTAACTAACCGATTTAGTCAGTTTTAGACTTGGTTTTTCTTTTGGACAAGAAAAAGAGGAAAAATGTGTGAATGAGAGCAGTTTTATTTGGAATTCTGCCTTGGAGAGAATCAAACAGATGTGAAGATCTGGCAGAGAGCATATTGCAAATGTTACAGGACGATGCAGTTAATATGCTAATTGATGTATGACATATTTAGTCAATTTTTTATTACTTTTTCTGAAAACTTTATCTCATGAAAACTTAGTAACAGAATTTCAACTAGCTAATGTTTTTAAATGTGAAAATACTTTTAAATTGATAATCACGACTCGTTTATTCATGTCTAATTTGTGCCAAACGGCCTTTGAAGATGTTCTTGTTAGGCGTGGACTTACAAGTTTCCAAAAACAAGTTATCAGGGGATTTAGAGGATGAACTTAATCCAGAATGTATGATCAAACAATCTGTTTTGACCTAACTTTTTTTAATCTAGTTTGTTTGATTATCTGATGATGAGAACTTCCATTATTCAGGCAACAATTAGTAAATAAAAGTGTGAAATTATGACCAGAGGGAGTCTTTAGGAATGGTTCACCCTAGTAAGTTGCTGCTTTGTCCCAACGTGCCTAGCTGGTGTCGTTTTGTTGTGTTGGCAGCTTACATTAGCAGAAGAATGGAGTAGATTGTGATCTCAGATCAGCTGGGATCAGAAAGCTCTGCTGCTGCCAAACTTTTTTTTTTTTGGTCACAGAAGGACAAGACTGACTGGTTCCAGGGTTTGAGCCTGCCCCTGAGACCGTCAGATGCAGGGCGGAGGTAGCCTGAGCTCACGGCTATGTCATTCCTGAACTCTTTGTCACTATCAGTGATTGATTCTCTCTGACACACATTCAGATGTATCGGAGTAAAGCAATTAGGCATTAATAAAAGATTTTATCTATTGTTCATTTTGATCTTTGCACATCACCAGCTCATTCCCGACCAGTTCCTAAAACAGCTGGTTTTTCCTGATTGTCTTCCTTCCTTTTCCTTTGTGCTGAACATAACAAGGAAATCACCCCGAGGCTCTGTGTATCCAGACTGTCTCTGTGTGTAGATGGTTTTGCTCTGTGGTCACACCAGTTTCCAGAAAGCTCTTTACAGTAAAGAGCGAGCAGCAGAGAACAACCACAACCTGTTGAGCAGGTTTGGGCTTTAGGTAGGATAAATAGACAGAAGCTGAAACGAGGCTGATTGGTTTTTCCTTTTCTATTCGACCTTTGTACTCAACTCTTTGTTCTTGGGTTTTCATTTTCACACAGATTTGGTAGGAGTGTGTGTGAGTGGATTTGACCGCTGGTAAAATACCTCATGAAATACTTCACAGATTTGAATGAAACTCTCAGAAAGTAATCATTACACCAGAGGGTAAAGAGTTTTGTTGTCCATCATTTTGACTGACAGGGTAAAAGACAAGTCATGTTGATTGTTTTTCGTATCAATTTCATTTTTGAAATAATAATAAACATTCTATTCAAATTTTGTTCATTTTTAATGAATGTTTATTAGTTTATTTATTTATTTGTTTATTTCTTTGACAGACGCTTTTATCCAAAGTGACGTACAATTTTTAACCTGTTCGGAATGCTGCTGCTAGAGTCTTAAAAAGAACTAAGAGAATGGAGCACATCACTCCTGTTCTTAAATCCCTACACTGGTTACCAGTAAACTACAGAACATATTTCAAAGTGCTCCTACTAGTTTATAAATCATTCAATGGCATGGGTCCAAAATACATGTCCGATCTCATTCCTGTATACCCAATAGGGCTCTGAGATCCCTTGGAAACCATCAGCTGGTAGAACCACAGATCAGAACAAACTTGGTGGAGATTCTTTCAGTTACTATGCTGCTCACAGCTTCCCCATGACCTCAGATGTGCCCCAAACCTAGTGTTGTTTAAATCAAAACTAAAAACCCTAATGTACTCATCAGTGTTTTAAAAGCATTGTGTCTTATGTTGCGTTATCTCCACTGCAAGATGTTTATAGAAACTGTCCAATACGCCATGCTACGAATGAAATTTAGAATGTTCTTATGAACGGCCAAAATCCTGATTTATGAAACATGCGGTGGCCACTTGTGTTCATGTTCCTCCGCAATTGATTGTTGATCAATCCCATGTGTGCGTTCCCTGGCGCTCGTGTCCGTTCACAGTCATTTATATACAGAGACCCTCAATTAACCATATTTGGTCACACCATGTCCTCAGCTCATGAGTGGAATCCCTGCGTTCCAACTTATTGAGTAAAAATTTGGGGTGGGACACAATAAAAAATTCTAATTCATTCGACACTTTGCTATTAATTAATCTTGATTAATCACATTTTAATCATTGAAGATAATTTGTGCCCAAGCCCAAAAGTTAAAGTCCCATTAGTCATCACTCGTGGGAAGTGGGGATGGGTCCCTGGTCCTCCGATTATTTTATTTTCCAGGGGAAGTTCGTCCGGCACACACTTTAAATTATAGCAGTTACTTTTACTATATAACAGTTATACTTCAATAACAACTATGAATCCGTAGTTCCAATTGAATGTGATTTGTGTAGCAATAAAACAAAAGTGACAGAAAACAACTCCAGCCTGGACTCTTTGAATAACATCCGAATACTGACATGAACACTGGTAACATCATCTTGCTCTCTCCTGGGTCCCTCCTACTTAGTGATTCAGCAGTTTCCTATTGTAGGGTGACCCAGATCAACATTTTCAAGTTACACCAATTATCTAACATAACTAACGTAGGGACTGTTGACTGCACATTACACCCATCTCTCTCAGGGTTTCCTAGCAGTGGTATGTAAATAAGTGTGGTGTGCCTCTTAGGACCAGTATGATGTCATCGACAAGCACACGCAGTCTGGCCTTGACCTGGCGGAGCGTTACATAAAGTTTGTGAAGGAGCGCTCAGAGATTGAGCAGACCTATGCAAAGCTACTCAGGTGGGCTCTGTTTTTTTGTTGTTGTTTATATTGGGGATTGTTAAATTCATAAATAGCATCTTCAGTTTTCTGATGCATTTATAAGTTAGTCATTATCCACATCATGCATGTAATAACTGGTGTTTCTCTTTCTGTCCAACAGAAACCTGACAAAGAAGTATCTCAAACGAGGACACAAAGATGAACAGGACTGCAAGTGAGAAAACACACAGACAAGCATAACCCTAACCCTAGACACATTTGGAATATTTTATTTAAAAAAAAACATTTAAACCTCTCAGGCTCAAAATAAGTTTTGATAAAACGTCGAACAATAAGTCCTTCAGGGGTACTTCTGAGTTAAAAAATGCTCATGAAATATGTATGTGGAACATGGATGCCACTAGGATTGAGAGATGACGGGGGGGGGGGGGGGGGGGGGGGGGGGGGCTTAGCCCCAGGAGCTTGACCTTGAACATTTTTTGTCACACCCTGCAAAAACTTGTATTTGGAGTTGGAATTTACAAAAGAATCAAACAAAATTTCCCCAGAAAATGGAATTCTGACATGGAAGTTTGGAGGTTTCTCACCAGCATTAACTTCAAATTCCAATCAGGCTGCATCACATGCAAAACAATTATTCACTAATTCATCTTATTTTAGCCAAACTGAAAATAATACACTGTAATCAGCTGATATTGTTCTGATGAGTCTCCTGCATACGCTTCTGATAGAAAACTCCAGGATTTGAAAAGCCTTACAGATCTATGTCACGCTGTCACTTAAAGGTGTGGTTTACTCGTTTAATCAATACATTTAAAATGGTTTCTAGTAGGAATGAATACCTTGTAAGCCGTACTCTGGGTACAAAAAGCCCTGGTGCACCTGTTTCAGGATCTGGAAAATCAGGTTCAGGAGAGCTTTAGATGGCAAGATTTTGAGTCTTATTTCCTGATATTTGGACATCTCACCTCTGATTGGATAACAGAAACACCACTCTACAACTGATTCTTTACTTTTCAACACTGATATTTTATCTCCTCAAATAACACAAGCCTGAAGGAGTTATGCCATGTGGTGCTAATGCTAACATTTAGCTTCTACTAGGCCGAGACATTCTCTTGCGCTTTGCTTTGCAAAGTTTGGTCTAGGAACGCTCCATGGGAACCTCCGTGGCCCCTAGCAGCATTCTGGTGGGCCAATGAGAGCTCTCTATCTGCTTTGTGGGCCAATCAAGGGGTTCTATTGGTTTGGTGGGTGGGACGATGTAACGGAGTGGAACAAGATGGCAACAGCTCGTTTGAAATGGCTTTTTTGGACTTTTTGGACTTGGGCTTCATTAGAATAAGGATAACATAGATGTATTTAAGTCCTTTATTTAGAAAAAGGATGGATTTTCACCATCTTCAATAGTGGACTGCCTCGTTAACCGACATCTGTTGCAGTGAGTACGTCACGTTGTTCATTGTCCAGTAGCATGCAGAGATCATTTGAAAGACAACGGTAGAACCTGCTCCACGACCGAGAGCCGTCACTGGAGCATTGTGTTTAGTCTGGATTGTCAGGCTAGTTCTATGCTGTTGCCTGGGAAAAAAAAACCAACGGCCTTTCCCGTAACGAGTTAAGATGGGTGAGTCCATGAATGTTAAATTACAGTGTGATGTCACACTGTCAGGCTTTTTAAGTCTTAGAGTTTCACCATCTATTTTCTATCATTAGCTAATACAGGAGATAGGTGTAGGAGACTATTTTCATGTTCAGCCTACATGGAAAACACAGAATGACTGATTATAATAATTAAAAAAGGTTTTTCAGTGAACCACACCTTTAAGTAGATTAAACTGAGACTTTAAATTTTACTCATTCTTATGTCTGTTTGTGTGCCTCTAGCGGTTTCTTCTTCTCTCACTGTAATGATCATGGACCAGTTTTTTTGACTTCAAAGAAAAGATGGGATGTTCAGAGTTTGCCCTGCAGAAAAAAGGCCTTTTCACACATCTTTTTGTTGTTGTTTTACACAAAGAGGCTCGAAAGGTTATTCATTCTGACAAGGGTTTAATTGTGACAGCATGAAGTGAAGAGGCAGAGACTTTCCTGCATCGAAAGGCTTCAGCAGATCTGCTGTGCTGGGTGGTAGAATTAATTTATTCAGTTTAGTTTTGTAATAAGTTGTTAAACAAATATGAGATATGATTTATTTCAGATTAATAAGAATTAGAGATGCACAGATACCGGTATCGGTAAAAGTTAACCAATACCGTGAACTGATACCAGTGCAGCTGCCTGAAAGTTGCTTCACTGTAACTTATCATTTCTGTTCATCTAATGTTTTAGTTTTGTGATCAATTCTATTAATATGTTTTATTTTTTATCTACCTCACAGTCTTTTCATATTGAAAGCAGAGAAGAAAATAAAACCTGTAGTCCAATTCATTGGATTTTTTTGTGTGGTAGAAGTATCGGTAATCGTATCGCCGAGCACTCAGGTCCAAGTATCGGTATCGGTGCATCCCTAGCAGGAATGAAAAAATTTGAGTTAGGCTTTTGGAAAATAAGGTGTTTTTTCAGCCAATTTACCAACATTTAAGTTAAATGTTGTAATGTAACTTTACTTTTATAGTGACAAAGTGATTGTTGTTAGCCTCAAGGGTAACCTGATGGCTTAATTATCACCTGTAAGTCATTTTGGACAAAAGTGACTGCTAAATATATAAACATACGTAAACATAAATCAGGGTTATATCATCCTTAAATGCAATTTTTATGTGATTTTAATTTATTATAGATTATTTTGATCACTATAAAAGTAACTTTTTTTGTAAATTATAATGAATGCTTTATTTACAATATTTCACCCAAATCAATTTGTGAACGTCTCTCAACTGCATATAATTCAGTACCTTTGTTTATTTCTTGTTGTAGATATAGCAATTATGCATCTTTCCAGGATATCCTGGCTGAGTTGAACGATTATGCCGGGCAACGTGAGCTCATTGCTGAAAACATGATTGAAAGCATCTGTAACAACCTCAGCAAGTACCTGCAGGAACTCAAACAGGAGCGAAAAAACGTGAGTGGGGGTGATCGGAACGGGGAAGTTTGACAGACAACCGATTGCTGTGTTGTGATTACAAGACTCATCAGATTTACCTCAACGTGTTGCCTTTCCCAGCACCTGTCTGATGCCAGGAAAGCCCAGCAGAGTTTAGACAGCAGCTTAAAACACCTGGAGAGTGTGAGTCAAACATTGATGTTTAAACGTCTCTGAAACAGATCACATGATTGTTATTTGAAGGAGCTTGTGTGGTTTCTAATGCATGTGGTGTTTCTGCAACAATGTTTTTTTTTTACTTGAGTGAATAAATATTCCAAGGCCCAGCACCCAACATCTGTCCCTTTAAGTACTTATGAGAAATTATTTAATTTTCCATAGTAACAAGGTTTTACAAAAGGTGATGCTTTAGAAACTTTTTTTTCCCAAAAACATTTGGGACAATTGCATTGTATATGTACAGGGTAGGCCAATAGACATAAGATAGAAGCATCATTGGCATATTTACAGAAGGGATTTGGTGCTTGAGCCTAACGGCAAGTAATAATATCATTAGATCTATTTCATTTCAGCATTCATTGCTTTTTGCTTAGATCTGCACTCACCAACATTTTCTAAATGATTAGTCCAACTTTAAGCCTGTGACAAATTTGCACCAAGGATAAAGTCAATCTTGATCCTATGTTCTTATTTAAAACTTTAAGTGGGAATTAATTCCCTGATATTTGCTCTGTTGATGCTACTTTAGCTGAAGCCTAAGAATGTGTGTTTTTGTGTTCTCGCCTGCAGACGAAGAAGCGCTTCGCCAAGGAGTGGGCGGAGGCTGAAAAAACTGTACAGCAAGTGGAGAGGCTAGAGAACGACCCTAATTCCACTAAGCTTGATGTTGAGAAAGTAAACACACACACACACACACACTATAGCATTGAGCAGTTATTTCCTATTTTTTGAAAACAAAACATTCCTTTAACTTTCATTACCTGTCTCCCTTAATTATACTTTCTTCCTCTACCTTTGGATACACAACGCTCTATCCTCCCCACTGCCTGCTTGTATATTTTTCTTTACTTTGCAGGCCAAGCATGTTGCTAATGCACGTACACGTGCAGCTGAAGAGTGCAGGAATGACTACGCAGCAGAGCTCCAGAAATACAACAAGGAACAGAACTGCTACTACTATGTAGAGATACCACAGATCTTCAACGTGAGACAAATACAATCTTTTATAATGTAGTACAAGTGGACTGGGTTATGGTTTGTTATTGGGGTTTCTGTATAGAGTTTAAACAAAGCTGTTGGACTTGTGTGTGAAACAGAAGCTGCAGGACCTGGACGAGAACAGGATCCGTAAGATGGCGGAGGGCTACTGCAAGTTCTCAGACATTGAGAAGAATGTTCTGCCCATCATCTCCAGGTGTCTAGAGGGAATCACTGCAGCGGGGACAAAAATTGATGAGAAACAGGCGAGTGTGATCTGTCGGCGAAAGGAAATTAATTCACTTCCTGCTGTGTACAGGAAAAACCCATCAGCAGTAAAATGATTTATGTGATTTTCTAGTATCGATCACTTTTGACTGACAGAGGTGAGGCCTGCCATACACAGGTGCCACCGGCCTCTACGACCATCACCAGCAGGCAAGGCGGGTTAAGTGTCTTGCCCAAGGACACAACAGCAGCATTCTCTGGTGGAAGCTGGGATCAAACCTGCAAACTTCTAGTTACAGGACAACCCGCTCTACCTCGCTGTACCTCCCACTAGTGCCGACCCGAACCACTAAAGCCGTTTAGTGCTGTTTCTGGCCAGCAGAGGGCTGCAGAGTGACGCCCCATACCGAGTTATTCAAGTTTCAGGCTCAAGAACCACTGGAACCAGTTTGAAAGCAATAGTTTAGTGTTAAAAAAAAGTTTTGCTTTAAATCTCCTGGTTAGTTATAAAACTACAATCAGATAATGATTATTGTGACCAGAATGTAAAGAGTTAAAGTGAATTATTCCTTCCATTGTTGATCATCAAGGAATCATTTTGTGTAAAATGTGTGTTGTGGACAAATTTAAAGAGGGAAACAAATCCCTAATCCCTGTGGTACTGCTGAACCAGGCTTGTGATTGTGTCGAGTTGTTGATGAAGTGGCGAATTTCATCAGTGAAATCAAAAACCAACCACGTTTCCCTCAGACGTTTTTTGCAAATGTTTTATTTTTAACCTCTTATGGTAATGGTAAACCCAGAACATCTGTCTGTCTCCATGCAGGACTCCTTACTTTTCATAGAGCAAAACAAGTCTGGGTTTGAACGGCCAGCAGATGTGGAATTTGAAGACTACACCCAGGGAATTAAAGTATCAAACTCAGACACCATCCTCAATCAGCCCAAACTGCGCCCCAAGCTGCGGCTGTTCAGGAAGCACAAGGTGAGCAATGTTCACTCTAGATTTCATCTGGATTTGCTTCCAGTGGCGGTTTTACCATTAGGCATAGGTCGGCGGCCGCCTAGCCGCCTAGCCTAGCCCTGATCGCCGGCATCCCTCCGTTAATGCCGCAATATTCTTATTACCAACCTGTCGCCGCAGACGGGATTGGACATGCGCACTTCTCATTACCATAATTCCTGAACTGTTCAAGATATCATTAAAATTCCAAAAGTGCTGAAAAGATAAAAAATGGGGCTTTTTGTGTATTTACAATACATTATGGTAGCCACCGGATTCCCTGTCTTGAGCGCAACGAATAACAACACAGATTCAGAGACATGCTTAGTTTGTGATCCAAAATTCTCAGTTTTATAACTTTTCAATGGCTGATCAGATTAAAAAAAAATCCAACAGTTCCTAAAAGTACATAAAAGCAGCTTTCCAACAATCCATAGCATGAAGCAATCAGAGTTATGGAAAATATCACTACGAGGGGAAATCCTGCTGTTCAGCCTGATTGAAACGGAGCACAGCGGAGCGCAGCGCCGCGTTGAAAGAGGATAACGGAACGGGGAAGCTAATTAGCATAAAAAGCCGGCATGAAATTATGGAAATGCCTCAAAGAAAATCAACACGATCTATTAGGTGTCCCAGAAGGCTTATATCTGAAGACAGTGACCACGAAGAAGGACAGATCTCCAGTGAACCAGGATATGTTTTGTCTTTATTTTTTATTTTTTTATTTGAACAACCCTCAACTATTTGCTAATTGTAAGATTCAGCTTCATTCCAGCATTATTTATCTTTTTACAATAAATAATTATTTTTGCTAAAACAAAAGGTTTTTGGTATAGCAGTGCACGGCGTGCAAGAGAAGCACCCCATGGCAGTGTGAGGTGTGCAGGACTCTGCCTGCAGCTGGAGAAAAACTGCTTCAATGCCTACCACATCAAATAAATAATATTGTAAAAGTTTACAAAAATAAATGGTCATAAACTGCTAAAAAAGATACCTGGGTTCAAACTTTTTTAAGAATAGATGCATTACAGTTCAAAGTTTAAATTGTTCATTCCAAATTGTTTGCCCAGTAATTTTGAAGTTCCTGTTCAGTAATAAATGTAAAAAAATCAAATCCGTTTTTTGCTTTTTTCACTTTTAAGCTGATTTTTTAAAAGCTTAAATAGAAATAAATTCTAAATACAAACCAAACACTGAAAGCTGAGGTTGTTCTGAAAAAAGGAGAAGAGTTACACACTTTTTGCACTTTTTATTACAATTTTACAGCCATAAGATAAAAAAAATACCAGGCGGCCCTGTTATAATTATGGTCATAAGAGGGTTATTAAGACGGCGATGCACAAACAGGAAGTGATTGATAGTCATGCCACTCCAATCCAGTTGGTGGCGGTAATGCACCAAATTGTTTGCCAAGTGCCATAAGACCACAAATAAGAAGAAGAGAGGCGGGAGCGTTCGTAACAAACGCAAAGCGATAGTCAAAACAATTAAGAATGAAATGGAGTTATCCTAGTGGCTCCAATAAGAGAAAAAAGCAGCGTGCTTCATAAAAGCTTTTATTTTCACTTCTGAAAGTGACGTCGTTTTTTGATGTAAACATCAAAAGGAAGCAGAAAGGAAAGACAATAGAAAATGTTTAAAGGGAGGAAAACATAGACCAAAATGGAAAATAGAAAAAAAAAAACAAAGGCAAAAGCACAGGAGCACTGACAGGAAAAAGAAAGCAGAGCAAATATTGAAAGCGCTCAAAGGGAGGGAAATACAGGAAAAAAGAGGAGGACTAATAAAAAGGGAAAATAACTCATGTCAGAAGAGGGGAGAGTTTCGCAAATCCAGTTAAAGGTAAGATTGTCGAAAATTTAGTGTAAGGGGCCCCATGTCTGTGTTCGCCTTGGGCCCCCAAATTGCTAAATCTGCCACTGTTTGCTTCTACAGTGTGTAACAAAGATGCTTGTCCTCAAACTTGGTTGAGATAATCTGGATTAGCATGGTGTTGTCAGAATAAGACCACCTAGGGATCTTAAAAGTGCATTATGTAGAAATGAAGTACAAATTACATCCTGTGGCAAAATTTGGTTCCTGCAACCACTTTAACTCATTCACTGCCAGCCGTTTCCTGATCAGTAAAACCCTTCGCTGCCAGCGTTTTTCAGCGTTTTTACTCTTTTTTTTAAGAGTCACAGAACGTTGCGCTCTATGATGATGTCAACGCCAAAACTACCAAAACAAAGAGGAGACTCACCTCTTACATCAGGAAGAATTTTGTTTCGAGCGTTATCCGTTCTTTCATAATTCGTTGTTGAATTGTGATCAGCAGAAGCTTTTTTGGTTCGCGCCTCACTTTTTTTTACAGCAGCGGCCCAAAACGATCTCCTAACACATGGATTTTCTGCTTCCTGTACATGCGACGTGTGACGTACGCAAATGACGACTTTAGTCATCCAAATAAAAATGCTATTGCTTAATATAGTTTCAGTCTCTCTGGTTTAAGACAGTGTTTGCCCCATAATTGATTATTATGAATAACTTTAATGAAATATTGATTTCTAACTTTTCTCTTATCTTAGCCTAGCCGGTCTCTTTAAAATCTCAAAGTGACACTTGCAGTCTTATAACGATGCCTTATAACACACACACACACACACACACACACACACACACACACACACACACACACACACACACACACACACACACGTACGCATATCTTCTCCACCAACCTGCTTCCCTACAGGGCAAATTCTAATTCCAGAGCTCTGCACAGACATGCCTCGAAACACTTTGTGCCTTCTCTTTATCCGCAATATTACAAAAATCTGTTCATTTTCTTTGATTCAGTAGTCTTCTTTTCTTTTCATGATCAACATCATTTTCTCTCCTTTTGCTCATCTGTTCCACCAGCCCGGCTTCTTCCTCTCCAGTCAAATTGGAAAAGGTCCAACTCCAAAATTCTACCTTTATATAAAAATTAAAGCTCATACTTGGTGGCTGAAACCAAAGTTCTGAGTCCATTTCAGAGCTTTCAATGCACCTCACACATTCCCTTTAAAACAAATCTAACATGTTAGTTCTTGTGTGAGCAGGGCCGGCTTTGCCGACAGGCGACACAGGCGGCCGCCTGGGGCACCATCTGATGGATAGGGCACGAAATAAAAAAAAAAAAAAAAGTTTATTAAAATTGTTATATGAAATGCACTCTCTACATACTCAAAATTCCCCTTTGAAATGACATGAAATTAAAATATCAATATTTAAATTCTAATGATCTGGCTGCATGACGAGCTCCCGCTTGGGCCACCGCTCTGATGCGTTTGACCGTTAAGGGTGCCGTAGATCACGTGTTTGGGTAGCGCTGTAGAAGGACATCCTGTTGTCGTCGCGTTTAAACTTTTGGTATTTTATGATGAAAAGAACACCTAAGCCATCGGGATCAGCATTCCGAAAGCGAAGGAAGGAGGAAGGAAAAAAACGGGCCCAAAGCAGAGGTATGTAGACTTTATAAATTTGGCAAAGGAACTTTTTGCGTTACAATTGTAGCTAACTGCCTCTCCTGCCACGCACGGTCCACGGACGGACCCTCGCTAGCTGTTTACATACACAATACAGTATCTCGTAACTTTAACCAATTAATTTTACTTTTGAATCATGTCCAGATGCAGTGAGACAATATCTGCAGCCACGACAGGCACCTGTTGACACCAGGGGGGCGGGACTGTCTTCTACACCTGTTGAGTCTCACTGTGTTGATAAAGAATGTAAGATTTGTTTTATCGTTTTTTGGAGTGTGATTGCAGCCTTTTTATGAACATTGATTCAAGTTTTAAGTACGCATACAATATGAATTTAATATTTTCATATCAGAAGAACGTTAGGTGTGGGTGTAGCAACATTTCAACTTTGTCCGACACATCGGGCGGGCGGCACCGCCGCGGCCGTGGCGGGGACTCCCCCGCTGCCGCCGGGCCCAGCGGGGAGTGAGAACTGCCTATCGCACTGCCTAAACCCAGCATGACATCTTATGCCGTCTCTTTCTTGTTTTCGCTGCAGCGTCTTCTATCCAGGCATCACGCAGCAGCAGCAGCACATTTACTGAGCTACAATCTCAGCATCTAGAACCAGGTGAGTAAGTTACTTGTTAGGCTATTTGTAATCAGCAGTAGAAACGGACTTTTTCAAATTAAACGGCTTATCACATATATCGATATGCAAAATTAATTTATTTAAATCCACACCAGACACTTGTGTTTGGCACAATCAGTGCAGCATTGATTTAGCATTGAGAATATTAAATAATCTGAACATGCACATCTGAAATTGTCTCCTTAAGATGTTATTGCTGTAAATTTGTAAAAAAAAAAAAAAAAAAGAAAGATGGACATTAGTTTTTGACATAGTGAGTCATCTTCAAGGCATAAAGGTTTATGCCCTGAAGAAGGTCGTACAGAAACGTGTCGGCGTTTCCTTGTTTAATAAATGAAAACCTCATAGTGCCTCAGATCACCAGTTCTTCTTCCTCATATTCTACAATTTATTTGATGCTGAAGAGCACCTGAGAGTGAGACATACGTTTTTTTTTTAAATATTCCCCATGGATGCACTCACTTCCACCTGTTTTTGATCATTTTATTCATGTTTTCATAGAACAGATTAAAAAAGATCAATAAAATAAAAAGTCCAGTAACATTAAAAATAATGAAGAGCATCACTGCACATGGCTGAGGAATAATGAATGTGAAAGTGGCACTGTTCTTAAGTAATTCATGCATCAGAGGGTTAAGTTGCTTTGTGTGTGTGTGTGTGTGTGTGTGTGTGTGTGTGTGTGTGTGTGTGTGTGTGTGTGTGTGTGTGTGTGTGTGTGCATGTGTGTGTGTGTGTGTGTGTGTGTGTGTGTGCGTGTGTGTATTTTCTCACAGAAGAAGAACCCAACACCACACCAGCAGACTCAGCGCTCCAATCCAACAGCCTGAAGAGACACCATCATCAGCTTCAACAGATGTTTGTGAACATGTATGAGCTGCTGGCCCCATGGATCCTGCTGACTGGCCACAGCAGTTGAACAAAATGGAAAGTAGAACTTTCTTTATGATGACACTTTGATATTTGAGTTTTGCTTTTGATTGCACAGTTTAATGCTGCTTTTGATTTTGCATCCCCCCCAATGACATTTGCACAACATTTTGAGTTGTTGGTAATTGTAATATTCTCAGGTTACTTATCTTTCAAGCTTACATTTATTCTTCAGGCTGTTGACTTTAAAGAGTTGCTGTGTGAATATTTAAAATAAAAAAATTGTAACTAAGGAATAACTGTGGAGTTGCTCTCTCCAATATGTGGTGGGTGGGTGGGTTTTGGATGAGAGGCATGCAGGCATGGGGGGGGGGGGGGGGGGGGCACATGGGCAGTCTCGCCTTGGGCACCAAATTACCTAGAGCCGGCCCTGTGTGTGAGGCTTGTTTGTCAAACTCCCACCTCCTACTGAGTCCTCAGTTCTCTAGCTTATTTTGCGTGGAAAAGCACATGGTAGAAAAAATTAACTATGAGAACAGATGCAAAGGGTTATTGTATAAAAAACACAAAGCTAATTAAAAAATAAAAGCAAAAACTATTTTAAGACTCAATTATCAGGCAGAAATAAACATAGCTGCTTTTCGTGTCTTGGCTAGTATAAGCTAACTATTAGCATTAGCAACTCCATAACATGACAGAACTCCTCCAGACTTGTGCTATTTGTGGAGATAAAACATCAATGTTGCAAAGCAAGCCGAGTCAGTGGTAGAGTTGTGTTGCTGTTAGCCAGTCAGAGGCGAGAAGTCCAAATATAAGGAAACAAGGCAGGCACACTGCTCTAGCTCACTTCTCCTTAAAGAAACAGGACGCAACAGCATTTTGCAACAGAGATTAAATGACAAGGCATTCATTTATACTAGAGACCACAACAAGTGTTGGGAAAAAAAAAGAGTGAACTTGGTTTTCAAATTGTAGATTTAAAAAATCTGAGTTGACCAAGTTAATACTTGTTTAAATCTAAAATAATGTTATCAAACATAAAATTAGACAAATAAAAATCCATTCTAATTTTAAAGAGGATGTGACAGAAAACATTGTATTTGCCCTTAAACGTTGACACCAAAATAGCATTCGTTATTTTTGTTTTGTTTGTTTGTTTTTTGCATTTTACAGTAAGTGTTATATCACTTAATGTAATTTTCAAATATTACCATGAAAATCCTTGATATAAGAGTAATTTTAATATGTTAAACATTTCATTCAAACATCTTGTTGATTTTGTGTCCGCTAGGTTTATTAGCTGAGTTCAGTAGCAGATAGCTGTTCATAGGTTCTGTTGGAGGTTTCTTCTTGTTAAGGGGGAGTTTTCCTCTCCACTGTGGCTACATGCTTGCTCAGTATGGGGATTACTGTAAATTCTCTGACACAACAAGTCAGTGACGGGATGCAATCTGCCATGTTTCCTTACATAGTAACATTTAAACTAATTGGCAGAATGAACTGGACTCAATTGGAATGTGTACTTTGAGAAGTGCCTTGAGACGACTCTTGTCGTGATTTGGTGCTATAGAAGTTACCTGAATTGAATTGTACTGAATTCAGTGCATGCATCAATAATATACAGAGCTGAAATGTGAATGATAATTAGATTCAATCTAGGGCACAAGCAAATATAGGTACAAATGGTGCCGAAACCCGATTTCAGAGGTCTTCATTATTGGAAGAAATAAAATTACTTTCTGTGTGTTGTTAGTTTTTAAAAGAGTACAAAACATCATTGATTTAAAATTAAACTACTAGACTACTATAAACTATTCTTTAAAAGAAATTACTTATTTTTTTCACTACAAATGAATATTTTTACAGTTCTAATTTGGTCCTTATTCATTTTTTTCTGTTTTGAAATGTTGAACCTTTTTAATTAGTTGTAATATTGTGTCAGGAGCAGATGAGCTCTGCAACTCTGGTTGTACCTAACATTCAGGACACTTAGTGTTTGTATTGTTTTTTTGTAGCAAGCTGCTGCAGAGGATTTCTCCCACCTTCCTCCTGAGCAGAGAAAGAAGAAGTTGCAAGCAAAGATTGACGATATCAGTAAAGATCTGCAAAAGGAGCAAGACCAAAGGTAAAACCATCACAGTAAAATCATCTGTGGGAAATAACTCACTCCAGACCAACAGTAGTGGCAAACAGAGGAGTCGTATTACAGCTCTGCTGATAAACTGAACCTGATATAACCAACATTTAATGATATAAACCATTTAATGCTAATTTATAGCCAAGTGTTTTGTGCTTTAAACCATTTCATGAAATTAAAATCTGAGATATTCTAGGAATACTTTAAACTCTTTGCATTATCACATGCACAAGTACAAAGTCACTCATTCACAAACCAGTCTTCATAAGCACATATATGCATTTCCCAAATTGCAACGCTTCCAACTGTTTCCCCCCTCTGCTCGACCTCAGTGACGCGCTGGAGAAGATGAAGGATGTGTACGTGAAGAATTCACAGTTGGGAGACCCTGCCAGGCTGGAGCCTCAAATCTGTCAAACAAACCAGAAAATAGGCCACCTGAAGGGGGAGCTCGCTAAATACGAGGTCTCAGCCGCACATGCATGAACATACTGTCTGGTAACTTGTGTGAATTGAAAAAGAAATGTAACCTTCTGATTTATAACAGACGTGGTTATCAGAAGCAGTGGGAGGAGAGGAGTCTTCCAACAACACCAACAATAACTCTCAGCACAGGTGAGGCCTGTTTTTAAAGAGATAGTTTGACATTTTTCAAACTGGCCAAAAATGTGCTTTAACCGTGATTATATTGACACACTGGTTGTAGTTAATGCAGTGAAGGGGTGAAACTCTTATTTCTAATGCAAATCTTTACATCTTTTGCAAAATAAAAACTGTCATCATCCTGATTTGTGTTTCAGCAGCCTTGAAATGACCAGCGACCCTTCCCAGAACATCTACACAGATTTTGATGAATTTGATGACATTGAGATGCCCGTCGGCCAGTGCACCGCTCTCTACACCTTTGAAGGTACATTTATGATTCACTGTGAGCGTGTTCATAAATAAGTCTACTTTCAGTGTTTTAATCCTCTACTTGTACATTTATATGTTTTATGTGCAGGCAACAACGAAGGAACCATTTCCATTATGGAGGGAGAGCTGTTGACTGTTATGGAGAAGGATAAAGGAGACGGATGGATGAGAGTCCTTAGAGCTTCTGGAGAGGAAGGTTATATACCTTCCTCTTATGTCAAAATCAACGCCTAACTTCCGTCTCGGAATTTGTTCGAGAAATTTAAAAGCGGGAGGTGAATGCAAAGTCATTCCAGATAATTGTAGCTGATCTCTACAGCTTTTATCTCAGCCAGTGATGGTTTGGTGAGATGGATGTGTGTGATCACAAAGGCTGATTACGGTCCAACATGCCACCCCTCTCAGCTCTCTGTACCATCAGATAGTGTCTTATGATGCAGACAGTCAGAGTCGTGTCCTCCTCACCCTAGTTATTTACAACACACACAAAGATTCTGTTACTGTGTGAGCACAAAAACTCATGACAATGTGTTTGTTTATGCCAACACTTATGCTGAGCTGTAAAGCTCTGGTTACAACTAGTTCTAATAACCTGCTGAAATTATCATTTAATATTCTAATTTTCTGCTCAAACCACTTTCCTGATGAAATTATGTGATAATGTCTTTTAACTGCAATAATAATCACTGTATGGTTGAGAGTATGGTGTGTGTGTGTGTGTATATATATATATATATATATATATATATATGTGTTTATATATATATATACACATATATATTTGTATAAATATAGATACATACATATATATGTATATGTATGTATATGTATATATATATGTATATATATGTATATGTATATATATATGTATATATATGTATATGTATATGTATATATATATATATATATATATATATATATATATATATATATATATATATATATATATATATATATATATATATATATATACACACACATATATATATGACTCGGTCCCCTGTGAAGGTAAAAGCGGGGTTCACAAATTAAATGTCTGTCCATATAAACTGAATAGTGTCCATGCAAAGAGTGAGTGGTATCCCATTTATTCCTGTAATTCTCTCCTGATGTACTTCCAGCATTAATGTAACATCTTTTGTATCAAACATTACAATAAAGTGTTTTTTCTAATGCAATGCTAAATGCTTTGGGCTGCACCTACCTGTAGCTATGGGTGTAAACCAAGCTGCAGACAACCCTCTGGGAAAGTATTATTTAGTGTGACAATTTTTCATCATTATGGTCAGAGGTGTAAACAAGTAAACAGCATTCATCTGAGAAAGGTGCTTATCAACAGGATCATTTGATAAACTGGGCAGATGTAAAGATGTGCAGTGAAGTGACATATTATTATAACATTGATGCAAAATATTTATGTGAAACAAGAAGTTTTAGCAAAGTTTGGACAGATTAAAGAGACAATTGTTAGTTCTGTTGTGCTTTATCACCCCTAGTGGCCATTTTTTATCGGTTTTACAGTTTTTCTTGATTGCTTAAACACTATAAACAACCTTTTGATCTTAGATTACAAAATCATAATGCCATTTTTCTAAAAGCACACCCATTTCCCTGAAACATACACACTTAGGGGTGACCTTATGTCCCGCTTTGTGCGGGACAGTCCCGCACGTGTCCCGCAAATTGAGACTCATGTCCCGCATTATTGACAGTTTCCCGTTTTGAGTTTCAATCTTATAAAAGAGACTGTGGAAAAATCTGCCTGTTGCTATCAATCAAACGGAGGCGGGACTTTAACGCAAATCCGGAGCGTGTTTGGAGCGCACACCCGAACCACCAAAACAAGCGTGAGTGAGCACGGAGGAAAAAATGTACATTTCCTGATTTCCTGTAAAAGGAAAATGAATTCGAAGCCTTTTCACAGTAAAAGTCTCCCCATACATTCTCATTAAAAGTCTAGAAAACACACAGTCTCTCACACTTCAGCAAACGCAGGAAATTTTAAATTTCCCAATAAATCTTGTCTTGTAACTAAGAACTCATCATTCAACCAGAGCAGCGAGGCCCAGCCAAAACAAGATTCTTTATCTTTTTGTTTGTGCCCTGTGCAGAAAGTTCTGACATCAGCTTCCTGAAGCAGACTCAAGCCAAAGCTTCTGGTTGTTGTGGGGTGATCTCCACCGGTTCCAGTTTATCTGACAGGACTCGGAGAATCTTGTCGAACTTCTCGTACCGCTCCTTTTTGTCTGCGACTGCTCCCTGCTGACCCCAGAACAGCCGCAGGGCAAACTCGGTCCGGAAAGATTCCAGCAGCTCGGGGATTGGCTCCCAGCCTCCTGCTGAGTCAGACGTTAAAGATGCATAAAATTTAAAAGCATTTGTTGAATGTACTTTGCTGCAGGGACGAGCGTTATTGGTTCTCTCTGAGCTGTTTCACATTTAAATGCATTGTGTGCACCTGTGAGCAGAGAGTGTGCTTGCTGCTGATAGTCTTGGGCGTGTAAGGCAGCGGTGCGAGCTGATTGGAGGACATCATAAAGCACCTGACAGCCTCGGTCGCTGTTTTCAACCGGGTCCTCACCCTCCATCACCATTAACAGAGGAACCAGGTGAGGCACAGCAACTGGACCCTGAATGGCTGAATCTGAAGACAAACATGGATCCATCAGAACCAGAGCAGCACAGGCCCTACTGCAGAAGAGAGGCATCATTCCTTTTATCCGACATTTTTCTAAAGGGGGAATTTTTTTCTATTTGGTACTGAAAGCACCAACAGCATTATTTTACACTAAAAGTGTTTGCTGAGCTCAGTTTTCGTATGTCTGGCTAGTGAGGACTCTCCGTAGGGATGGCGGTAGCTCGTGTGGCTTTTTATAGGGGCTCTTAAAAAGTGTGCTGCTTGTGTGTTTTGATTAAAACATATCTAGAGTTATTCATTTAGAAAAAATTGGAAATCTGTGTAAAGGAAATGATCATTTCCCATTAACCAGTCTCTGAATTGGTGTTTGTAGCACCTGTAGGTGATCAATAACTAGCTCTCTCTCTCCTTCTTATTCATTTTTTTTAAAAATCCCCCCTTTTAAACATTTTTACTGGTGATGTAGAGTCAAGTATTCCTCAAACATACAAAACTCTTCATTTATAAGTTATTGTCTTGGAGGCTTTGGATCAAACCACCTCACTCACCGTCCCCCTCATTCAGCGACTTCATGAAGGGTTTGAGCTTCTTCTCAAACAAAACTGCACTTTCTGTGTGATTCCTTCTCAACGCTCGCCATGTCATCTCCAAGCGCACTATCTGCAAACACAACATGTTATGACTGAATAAAAACCCTGTTCCATCTGAAGGAGAGGATCTGAAGCACAACATTTCTACCTGAGGCATCTCCAGCGCCTTCATCACAGCCGAGAAGGAGTAGAGGTTGTGGGTGTGTTCTTTGAGGGCCTGAGCCAATAAGATGATTTTGTGTAAAACTGTTGCTCTCTGGCTCACAGTCCCTGTGCAGCCCAGGATGTCCACAGCCACCCCAAGCATTATTAGATGATGCCTGAAACAAATTAGGCGGTTTGAGGGGTGTGAAGCTGTGGTCCCAAAGCAGGAAAGTGCTCAGTGGCGTGTACCTCTCTAGCAAATCCTGTCGTAACTGGTGTCCATGTGGCAGTGTGACGAGCTCCAGCCCAGAACCGACTCCCATAATCCTCCTCTGCTCATCGGTCACACCAACAATACGTGCAACCTGTAAACACATTAGGATCTATCAACTCACCATGAAGATGATTGTTTGAATGAATTTAGTAAAAATAAATTGCTTCATAAAAACACCCACATAAACTATATAATACATAATTACGTTTCTTAGTTCTGTTTACTGATCAGTCCTATCGGACATAAACCCAATTTCTCTGAGCACAGGCTGTTCAGAAAGCTGGGTAAGATACTAATAGAAGCTTTTTAAACAGCAACACATTTCATCCATCCATTCTCTTCCACTTATCCAGGGCCAGGTCGTGGGGGGAGTAGCCTAACCAGAGGAGCCCAGACATCCCTCTCCCCAGACACTTGGGCCAGCCCCTAAGGGGGATTCCCAAGGCGTTCCCAGACCAGCTGAGAAACATAGTCCCTCCAGCATGTCCTGGGTCTTCCTTTTGGTCTCCTCTCAGTTGGACATGCCAAGAAAACCTCACCAGGGAGGCGTCCAGGAGGCATCTACAAGCTCTCGATGTGGAGGAGCAACGGATCTACTCCAACACATTTCAAAATAATAATAAAAAAAAAATTTAAACACATTTTAATAGAATACATGAATATAATCTGGCTTTTGTTGTTTTATATTATAATGTTCCAATTAAGCAGCATGAGTGGTTCTGGGGCTACCTGGCAGTCTACACTGAGCATGTGCAAAGCGAGGGTGTTGGCGTCTGAAGGGTTGTAGAGCTCTTTGACGGCGAGCAGAACGCTGGACTCCAGAGGTCGGTTGTTCTCCGGCAAGAGCAGCGATTTAAACTGGTTCAACTGGAAACTTGATGAGGTTTCTATCTGTAACCAAAAACATACTTATTAGATGCTTTTATCACATTATTAGATGCTTTTAGTTTAATTCACTTTCCATTAGCAGTGAAATGTCTCTGAATGAAAAGGACACAAGCAGGATAAAGCCACACCTGTGCTCAGTTATTGGCAGGTTGTGTTAGATTATTGTTATGTTCAGTTTATAAAAAGATCAGGATGCATATGTTATAACGCCTAAAGAGAGAATATTATGACTTTATAACAGTTCTATGGTCAAAACCAAATCCCTCTCACATAAAGTATTTTCAGCAGTTTTTAGACAGTTTCAGAACTTTCCAGAATGAGCCGTATCATGGATCTGTCACTTTAAGAGACAAGCTGGAGCTAGGCCACGCCCCCCGTCCCCCCCCACCCCCACCCACCCACACACACACACACACACCCACCCACCCCACCCCCTCAGATCGCTATTGACCCTTTGCACCAACTCACCTAATCACATGGGTCCACCATGCTGGACGGCAAAAGCATGTAAACAGTGAGCGACACGATTACTAAACAAAGGGAAAATCTCTGAACGGCGACGCTCATATAAAAAAATAAATAACGTAATTTTAACACACGTAATCATACATCGGAGCTTTGATATTGTTAATAATTATCTCGCTTTACACTACAGTGGACGACGCGTATCATCCGTGGTGAAATACCCATCCATCAGGATTATCAATAACGAGTAGAAGCACATCACATTAATCCCTGTCCCTGTCTTCCTCGTGAAATAAATGAACGTTAATCTTACCCGGAAAAAACGTGTTCGCTGCAAATCTGAGGCCTGCTAGTCCGCTTGACGCGGCAGTTCATATCCGTCCTCAGTCTTCATCAAAGTTATTAAAAAAAAACAAAACTAGTTGAGTTTGCATCCTTGTCTGTTAGTGCAGCCAACCACGCAGCAAGCTAAAACCATTTTACTGTCAAATCAACTAAATACAAATGATAAAAGGCTACAAACTGACTTGTTTTGACTAGCTTCACTGGAGTTTCAACGGGTGTAAACGGTCTTTTTGCCGTCCATCATGGCGAAGGGGGTGGTCACATGAGTGGCGTGACGTCACGTGCAAAGGGTCAATAAGCTGAGAAGTTCTGATATCTGGGAGGAGCTCGAAGTAGAGCTGCTGCTCCTCCATGTGAGAGGTAGTTCTATTTTAAATTTCCCATTTGTGACATCACAAACGGGGAACTTTAAAGATTGATCGTTTTAGGTACATAATTGCCAAAACCAAACACCGACAGGGAACAGTTGGATGTGTTTTTTCACGTTTGGAGTATTTAAAGAGGCAGTAGATATCCACATAGAAGCACTAAAGGATGCATATGGTGAGTTTTGCACAATACGTCTCCTTTAAGAAACCAACAAAAAAAAATTCTAACAAAAACAAAAAATGAAGAAAGAAAAAGATAAATTATTATAACACGGACTCCTGAAAGTTCTAATGTATGTTGACAGAATAAATGCTGCTTGGCTTTTTAATTATCAGTGCAGTTACAGAAGAATTGGAATAAAAAACATAACATTTGTAAATCACTAAAACTTAATTTGAAAAGGAAAATTAGAAAAATTATAACTAATTGTTGGTGATTTTTTACTCCAGTCAGAAGCAAATGTGAACACTCTAACCAGTGAAGAAGATGTCAGATATACAAACATGTGGTCGTTCAAAGTGCCAGTCCTCCACTTCCTCTCCTGCCTTCTGGAGGTTCTTATCAAGCTGCAGCTGTGTCGATTTTTCGTGCTTCTGGGCCTCCAAAAATCCAAAGGAAGTCTCTGTGAGGCGTGCACGGCTCTGCCACTTCTCCTCTGCACGCAGCCGGTCCACATGGCCTTTCTGCCTCGACTGTGGTACCTGAACACAACAAAAGGGGGTTTAAACTCTCCATGCTGTCTTTACTGAGATGCTGGAGGGCCTGTTCTTCATTACCGAGACAGAGAAGAAACAAAGAGATGAGAAGATTTTACTTTCTTTACCTGTATGACCAATTCATCATAGAAAGATGAGGGATCTACATCTCGGTCTGAGGGAGGGGGTGGTATGGCGTTGGGGAAAACAGTAGAGACCCTGAGAGGTTTAGGAGGAGCTCTGGGGTGCAGCTGGCTGTCGGAGCCTCGCAGTGTTACACCACCACCTGCAGGTACAGAGACAGGACTTCAGAAGAGTGTGCTGTTTGTCATGGATGAAAAAAAAAAAAAAACACAAGTTCATGCTCAAATGATACCTGGAGGTAGGGGCCGTGTGTGGCGTGGCTGTGGAGTCAGAAGGGGTTCGCTGCCGGTGCGAAACACAGGGGAGATGGACTCGGGACTTTCTTCTGACTGAGAGCTCTGTGGGATACCTGGGTGAAGCATAAAGACTACAGCTCACATTATGCTCTGATCAGTAAAACATACTCATAATATATGAATAAACCAATTAACTCAGTCAGTGTTTACAATATTAAACTTAACATAAACTGGCAGGTCAAGTATGAGAACTAGACAATTAAACCCAAAGGCAGCTGTAATTCAACGAAAAGCTTTAAAGAAGCCTGGAGAACGATTTAACAAACCCATTTTAAAAGATTATAAGAAAGCCCTTCTGATTGGAAGCAAAAAAAAAAGAGTAAAAAGTAGGAGGCTTTAGGTACTATGTGTAAGAATGAAGTAAGAATGACATCCTGTTGTCAAATCTGGATGCTGCAGGTCATTTTTCAAGGCCAAAAGTTACTCTCTCACTACCGTTGTGTGAGTTTCATGGCTGTTGCCAGTTATGGATCAGCCCCAGAAGCTTCTACTGTAGATAACAAACATAACAAGTCATGCACAGAAAGATGATAAGTAGATAAATACCCTGTTACGTGGTGTTAGCACTCTTGGGTGTTTTACGGTAGGGAGCACTTACAATATTATTTCTCCAGCATTAGAGGAATTGTGATTGATTGCCTGCAGTTAGCTTGCTGTTCTGAACGACCCATCAAAGGAAGTAAGACACCACAACTGACACTCATTATTCACTTCACACACACATTTCACTGCAATAAGTTGTTGATAACTGAAAAAGTAGTTTGAGATATTTTTAGAGCCAACTATTTGCTTCAAATTCACCGTTAGCATTGTTAGCTCAACATTAGCATCTAGCCTTTTTTACCAGATATTAGAGAAAAATAAAAAGATGCCGTGGCTTCTGAGGGGTAGAAATAACTTCTGGGTCACTCCTGTTTACTGCATTCAGGGTATTTTTGCCTGCTGGTGTTCAATTACAAATGCTGGTGCTGCAGTGTTCGCTCTGCACAGACTCTGAAACCTCACCGATTGTAATTAGTGACTACATCCCTCTTTTGTTTTGGAAAAAACTGACAGCCCCTCAGCTGGCTGAGAATAAAATCTGTTTAAATGTAACCTTCATTCCAACATTCCTGAGATACTAGACTGTGTTGTGATTATTTCATCGTAGAATTATTACATATTGCTCCTTTAAAGGGACACCCGGCAGTTTTGCTTGCTTTTAGCACCCCTTAGTGTCCGTTATTAATTCACTGTGGTTAAACAGAAAATAAAACTTATCTCCATGCAGTGCATTTGCCTTTTTAATACCGCAATCTAACAGCTGAAATGTCTCCTCAGCCTTCATTAGTTTCTAGAGGACTGGTTCATCACTGAATCAAACAAATCAGCTGTGTTTACGATCTAAAACAAGCAGGAAATGTGCTGGAAGCCGACTGCAGCGCCAGGCATGTCAGCTTAGTTTTTTTTAAGTGAACAGGTGGCGGCCTGCCAGTCTGAAGTTGCAAGTGCGGTATATTGGCCAGAGGGCGGTGGGGGTCTGAGTGACTTTTCAATAACCTTGTATAGGGTCATTTTAGCACATACTGGCTCAAGAAAATGATTTGAAAATATGAAAAAGGTTGCACAGTATCCCTTTAAAGTACAATATTCTGCCATAAGCATATGTTCCAATAAGGACATGACTAGAGATGAGGAACCCCAGAGTCCTGACCTCATCCTGACCCTTTAGTGGAGACTGAAGCCATACCTTCTCATTCAACATCTTCTGGAGGAATGGTCCAAATTAATCCCTATTAAGATAATCCTAGGTCTTCCCAGACGAGATGAAACTGTTACAGCTCCAAGAGGTGGTCTAACTACGTATTAAACCTCACAAATGAAAATGGGACATCTTTAAATGTCATGTATTTGTGTGTAAAGGCAGACTTCCCAACACTTGGCAACATAGTGGATTGTACCTTAAGTCGGTTTAAATATTTTTTGCTAAACACAGATCAAGCAGCATTGGATCTAGAATATTGAGTTTGTCATCTTTAGTAATCCCCATAATTCAGACATCATTCACTTTAAACATCTATAACGTTTCAGCTCAAACCCCCAAAAATCCCCTGCAGGAGCTTCACCTGCTGTTGTTTTTTACCATTAAGATTTTTTGCGGTTTATGCCTTGCTACACTGGTTATGCAATGTGGTCGTAACTCACGGTCTGATTCAGAAGATACAGTTCAGAAAGAATCTTGAATGCGCCTTCTCCACAGATTCTACCTCCTTAATAACTACGTTTAAGTTTAACATAAGCTCGTAGCAAATGCGTTGGCCTCGAGCCTCAGGCTGAAACAAGAAATGGGCCACAGGTTTCTTGCCTCTCATTTTCAAACCTGAAAACTCTAATCTGCACAGCTCCCTCTGGAACTACAAAAGGCTTTTCTACGCAGCCTCATTTCACATGTGCACATAAACATGCTGTGATGAATAACTCTTTTTACAACATTAAAACAAGTCAGCAGCTAATTCAAACTCGGTGTGGAGACAGATCTGTTGCAGCGGTGAAGCCTTTGTGAATTAAATCAATATTTTTGTAGATTTCGTATCTGCAGATGTGTTAAAGTAGACCAATGCAAAAATTCTACATCTTGTGAGTAATTGTCAAAATCAAGCAGCCAAGACACTTGTCCCTATGGACATTAAAGATCAAATGTTGGTAATGTACCAGTTTGCAGGTTGCTGTCAGACTGTGCAGACTGAAGGGAAGGCCTCCTTCCAACATTCTCCAGGTTAGCAGGCTGACTTCCACTCCTGCCCCACATAAAAAACAACATTCATTATTCTGCCGTGTTGTTAAACTACATCCATCATCATGCGCCACGTCCGCTCCGACCTCAGCAGTGGATTGATGACCTGCAGCGTGTCTTTTTGTGAGGAGCTGAAGCTGCGTCTCTTGCTGTGTTTGGCCTGTTTCTCCTCCCCTCCATCTCTACTGCTGCTGTTTTTGAGCTCCGCCTGTCGCTCAGAGATGACACGCAGGGGTAGGGTCCGCGTGACTGGGTGAAAGATGACAGCACCCGAGGCCTTGGAGATGGGTCGACGCCCGCCGACGTAGAATCGGATCAGAGCGGGAACGTTGTCGAAGCGATCTTCTTCAAACTGGTACAGTAACCGAGAGTAACCCTGGGACACAGAAGGATGCACATGATGTAGAGCGGAGTCTTTAACAGGTGGAGGAAGCAACACGGGTCTAGCTCTCCTCCATCTGGATTCAAAGCAGCTTCAAATCTGTGAGAAATAAAACAATAAAAATCTATAGATTGTCTCAAATTGCTCTTGGAGCATGCCTTCACTGTTGATCTCTCTCTCTCTATTGTATATTTCCAATAAAATCACTATCAAAAAGTGTCTCAGCCACTCAGAAATACAAAGAATTATTCATCCAACAGCTCGAAGTTTGAGACATATTGATGAAATCATTTGTTTTTCTGTTTGTCTTTAACAGTTTCTGAATGTTTTCTCTGTGGCATTCACTCTAAGTGTTGTGGATCAATGCGCATGTCTGATTTCTTTTAGTGACACTTCAAGCTGAAGAAAAAAAATTATGACAAATATCATTGCTACTAACTATTCACATGCAAATCTGTAATCTAATTCAATTCAATAAAGCAAATCTGCTGGAAATCAGGTTTCAGAATCCCGTCGTTGTCTGCCTTTTATTCATTACTCAAGCACCTTTATTTGGCTAACACATCTTTTGGTGAAATATCCCCAATTTTGCCTATAATGTAATTTTTGTGTTTGTTTTATTACAAATTTCATAAATAATTTAATCTCAAAAAGACAGTGCTGATTAAAAATACCAAGAATGCACCTTTTTTGGACGGAGGACGACTTTTATGATCTTAAAGTGCAGAAAGCAGTTGTTCCAGAAGCAGCTCAGAACGTAGTCGCCCGGAGCAGAGCTCGAGTCTCGGACCAGGAAGTCTCCGTCTTTCTCGAACAGAGACTCTGCGACCTGGAAACATGTCAGCAGGTTAACCAAGTCGACCTCGACACAGACAGAGGATGAACCAGGGCTGTGCTTAGTTAATCAGCTGGAATCGCCACTAACTGTCGCCACCGTCCACCAGGCCATTGGTCTTTGTCAGACACGTGATCTGCCTGTCAACCACACACCCCGGTGCCATTTTAGGTGTACGACTCGTGTTGCTAGGGGAAGCTGCAGTTGAAGCAGCACACAAGAGTCAAAGGGATGGACAAAAAGAACAAGGATGAACGCATCCCTTAGGGATTTGGCATTTTCAGAAAACAATCACCGATGTCGATCCCTATGACCTCAAAGGAAACAACTGGCGCTCAGATGTTTCATTACTGCCAAACAGGAAGTTTTATCAGCTAGGTGAGTCCTAGAGTGGGAAAGGGACTCTTGTCAGGCTAAACTGAAACATAAACAAAAATGACCTGCCACAGCACATTCAGAGTTCTCATCATAAGCCATAACAGCTTTCTATTTATGCAGCACGTTTCTCCTTGCTGCTGCTGCTGATGGATCATGTTTTAAGCTCATTGGAAATAAAGCGGCAGGTCTGTAAGCTTCTGAGTTATTCTGCCGTTCATGCTGTTTGATGTAGAGAGCTTTCACTTTTTCTGTCTCTTTTGGTTTGTATGTGGCTGCTAGCTAAGTGCAGCTAAGCAAAACGTGTGCACGCTTCTAGACTTGAGCACCAAAAGAGCTGAGACTGACTGGTGAACTTTGATTATGGACGTCTAGCATCTGTACCGAGCTTTCACGGCATGAATATGTTTATCATCACACCTATAATGACTACAATAATCAATTTTAGTTATCGTTTCATTTCTGGCTCGTTGGGGAGGGCTTGCAGCAGAGCCCCCATCCTGCAGGTGGCGCTCTAAGCGACCCAAGAGTCTTCTAATCCTAACGGATTCTGCTTATACAACCAAGGACTAGAGCCTTCACAATAATTACACAATTCCACCAAAACACAAGTTTCTATAAAGTCTTACTAAATTGATGACGAGTCTAAGGGAGTGATGTAAGCCACAAAACACTGCAGTGTAGCCGTAAAGACTCGTGTAGTCTTTTTAGAACTACAAAAGCATGTAAAACGACTATTAAAATTGATTTTTGGCTCCAGGGTATCTCCTGGGTAAAAACATTAGCTTCCTGTAGACCTAAACCTAAAGATGAGTACAAGTCTCAATAGCTTTAGCGCCTTGGGCTTCCCGACAGGGTCGCGGAAGGCGCTGTATAAATAAAGCTTTGGTTGATTGATTGAGCTTTACTCAGGACAAATGTCAGATGATGCAGATGTGCAAAAAACTGTAAATATCGGCCCCTTTACATTGGTCTACCCCATGTAGAAAACACTGTTCATTGGTCCCACTGCAGTGTTTATATTTGATGTGTGTGTTTGTGTGTGTGTTTGTTCTGTGTACCTCCCGGTTCAATGGTCCATGGTACCATGCATGGCTCCTCGGATCCTCAGTGCTGAGCTTCAGCTCTTCTTCGAGCTCTTTCCTCAGTAAATCCATGTCTCGCCGACCACCAAACACCTACAACAAGCAGTGGCCCGTCACATTGTCTTCCTGTTAACTCTGAACAATGTTTAAACTAAGGAATACATAGGAAGCTATGAAAGCTATGAAAGCGAGAGGCTGTTTGATTGACCTCTTACCTTCAGGTGGCCGAAATACGCACTGATGCTTTTCCTCTTGCTGCAAAACAAAAGCAGAGTGGGATTTGGAGGTTACTGAGAGGAAAACAGACAGTAGAAGGTAATGTTTTTGTTCTGGACAAGGACAGGAGGCCAAGGTCTGGGTCTGTCATTAACACCAGAAAAACGAACAGCCTTTTAATAGCCTGACTCATTTTCTTCCTTCCTTCCTCCCAGAGTTTCCACCATCCTGCCTAAACACGTGGAGCTCACACGAAGAGATCAGATCATCTAGGAGGGCTGAAGTGGGGAACTCACCAAGGTCAGAACAACTATTGTAAATATAAAAACTTATCCTGCGACCTCCTCTTTGTGCACAGAAATGTTTATAATTCTATTTAGGAGTCATCTTAGAGAGCGTGTATTGTGTTGTTTATTAATACAGTTACATTTTAACCTATAGTTTGTTTACCTATGACACATAAAAACAGGGTGTCTGGGCTCTCCCTTAGGGTGAGAAGCTCGGTCATCCGGGAGGGGCTCAGAGTACACTCGCTGCTCCTCCACATTGAGAGGAGCCAGCTGAGCTCGGGATGTAGACCTAAAGGAAGACCCAGGACACGCTGGAGGGACTTTGTCTCTCAGCTGGCCAGGGAACACCTAGGATTCCCCCAAAGGAGCTGGCCCAAGTGGTTGGGGAGAGAGAAGTCAGGGCCTCCCTGCTAAGGCTATTGCCTCCGCAGCCCGACTCCGGATAAGTGGACGAAAATGGACAGATAGATGGATGGACTTAAATACAACAACAATATTTTAGGATATTAAAACTAAAAAATAAAGACAAAATTTTAGCTCTTCGATTAGCGCTTTCTTTTTTATGTTTGTTGACTTCACTTAGTTGTTATTCTAAAATAAAGCACAGGAAATGCTTCCCAAATTTAACAACAATGCCTATAAAGGAAAAAAATAAAACCTTGACAAAACTGACTTAAATTACATATTTTTGGTATTCCTGGCTAATAAGTTACACCAACACCACCACCACCACCAATAATAATAATAATAATGCGCCTTCAATTAAAGTCAAGGATGCTTCACATAGAGTGGGAATCTAACCAGACTTGTGGAAGAAAAAGTAATAAACATAAAAAAGGGAAACAAATATTACCCATTTTCTCTTTTATGTATCTGCTGTTGAAACAAGACTTAATTAAGGAAATCAAAAATTTAATTTGTAATTTATTGATTCATTTCAGCTCATTATGAAACGTGATATCTGTCCTTCATTCACTGACCTCCTGTGTGAATTTAGGACGAAATACTTTTGATAAAGCCTCCTCTTCCATTTAAAACCCTATCAGTACAAAATCTCTCCACTTCAGAGTCAGTCTTTACAATTCTAGTAAAACAAGTAAAGTACAATATAATTACAACTTTTATAACAAATTTAAAAAGTTTTACTTTGAATAAATCTTTATTTTGACTATAGTCTCGTTTATAAAATTCTCTATAAGGGTATACTTATCATTCCCAAACACAAACTTCATATTTGTTTATTTCTGATACTAACCTGGGTGAGAGGCGTTGGCCCAGGTTCACACAAACATCACCTTTATTGTGAAACGTGATACTATACAGCGATTACACCACGTGTATGACTTAAATTCAAACACCACCACATTCGTTACACCAGTAATCTGATACCGCAGATGTTATCACACCTTCAGTGTGAAACTGGACAGTCTGACAGGTGTTCAACAAGTAAACCGATCTTTAAAAAAACACTGTTTAAATACTCGAGAGCCGGAAGTCGAAAAACAAACTTCAACAAAGTTTATAAACACCCCAAAGCGTGTTGACTACTAAGATATCGCGTGAATTAACATTTTAAGGAAATCACCGCAACCGTACCTGACCACGCGCCTCTCGGCTCACTCGGTCCCGTACATGTTTTACGGTCTGTGGCCCGAACAACTGCTGGGAAGCAGCAACGTTCTGGCTCCTCTCTAGCTGCGGTCCCTCCCAGTGCCCCCTGCTCCTCTCCTACCTCTCCGGTCTGCTCAGAGTCGGACGAGTTCTCACAAGTTCTCCCGGAGCTCTCCTCCCCGCCCCGAGCTGCTGAAACACCGCAATCCCTCTCTGGCATTCCTGGGATACCTACGCATCACCTGACCTCAGTAGGTACAGCAGCTCCCACAGGCTAAATCCTGGTCCATTACTGCTGCATTACTCGAGCTAATATTCATTATTCTCTTAAGAAATAATTACTTATTACCTGCAATTAAAGGGCTGAATTTACATTGGCTGAGGTGGTACTCAGGTGTTTTTACATGTTTTCCATCACCTCAAAGGGATCATGTTTGGTTTACATTTGAAAGAAACTGAGAATAGTTATGGTAGAACCATCGACATATACATATATGGACAATGGGTTTCCATAAGCTCCAATAACACGTTTTTGAAGAAAAATGGGAGGTGGCCACCACCGCCATTTTGACTGTGTCACAGTTTCCGTCAAGCCCAGACAATTCCACAAAAGGGAAGAGAGGTGGAGCTGAGGGTGGGGCTGTAAGGCTGGGATCAACTGACGACACCCGGTGGAACTAGCTACAAGCTAACCTGAAGCTAACCCAAAGCTAACGCGGAGGTGGGAGCTAAGCTAACGGAGATAGCAACCTAGCTACAACCGGAGTTAACTGTGCACAACACCAGAGCTTCTGAGTCAGAGATACGCCGGGCTGACCGTTGGGTAAAACCGGGTGGGACACAGAGGTCTCCAAGAGCTCCACAAGCCGGCAGCCGCACAGCAGACAAGCGCCGCTGCGATCTGAGATGCGCAGAGCTGCCGCTGGGGAGAACCGGGTGAAAAGGTTTCCATCCGAGAGCTCCACAAGCCGGCAGCCCACGCAGCAGACAGAAGCCGCGGCGATCAGAGATGCGCCGAGCTGCGGGGAGGGGAGAACCAGGTGGAAAACAGAGGTCTCCCGAGAGCTCCACAAGCCGATAGTCGGAACCATCGACATATATACTGGACAATTAATTTCCATAGGCTCCAATATCACTTTTTTGAGGCCAAATGGGAGGTGGCCACCACCGCCATTTTGACCATGTCACAGGTTCCGTCAAGCCCAGACAATTCCAAAAAAGGGAAGAGAGGAGGAGCTGAGGGTGGGGCTGTAAAGCTGGGATCGACTGACGACACCCGGTCGAACTAGCTACAAGCTAACCTGAAACTAACCCAAAGCTAATGCGGAGGTGGGAGCTAAGCTAACGGAGGTAGCAACCTAGCTACAACCGGAGTTAACTGTGCACAACACCAGAGCTTCTGAGTCAGAGATACGCCGGGCTGACCGTTGGGTAAAACCGGGTGGAACACAGAGGTCTCCGAGAGCTCCACAAGCCGGCAGCCGCGCAGCACACAGAAGCCGCGATCAGACAGATGCGCCGAGCTGCTGGGAGAACCAGCTGTCAGCCCGCGCAGCTATCAGGAGCCGCGATCAGACAGAGATGGACCGGGCTGCGGGGAGAAACAGCCGGCATTCCGGGTGGAAAACATCGGTCTCCCGAGAGCTCCACAAGCCGATAGTCGGAACCCAGCTTCACCAACATGTTATATTTCAACCCATTTTCTAAAATGCAGCATTATGTTAAATGCACTGGGTTTTACCCTATTACATTTAAATTTCATGGATAAACATTACATGTTAAAATCTAAGCTCAGCTCGGCAGTGACCTAAAATACATAAATATAATTTTACTTACCGGAAAAAAATGAAGTGGATGCTCTATTAGTGCAATTAATGCCACAGCAAGTCATTTTGTCCAACAATTGCACAAAAAATTTCCAAAAAAGAAAACAAACACGGAGACTCAAAATCCCGGAGCAGTTTCCAAGCCAGACCGAGGCTCAGACTGAAGGTTGGTGTCCGCGAGGTCCGCACGGCTCCGCGCGGATAAGTTGCGTCATTTTGCGTCATTTTAACAACCACGCCCCTCCACCGCGTCTCCGCACAGCCCAGAATTTCCGCAACGCGCACCTCGGAAAATTTCTAACCACGCGGACGGACGGACGCGGAAAAACATGGCGGACAGGCAAGAACTAGTATGGCAGAGGTTCGTAAATACAGACATTTGTATGATTCAGCTCTCAGAGATCACCGTGATCAACATGTTGTAAATAATTCTTGGAGAGAAATAGCTCGCACTGTCGGAAAAGACGAGGACGCTGTTAAAAATGTTGAAATGCCATGTTGTAAACAGTAATTTCTACTTCTACTATGGTGTAGTGTTGGATGCATGCCGTAGAGCTCCATGCTGCCCCGTTCAGTTTGGGAGAATATTGGCTCACCGCAGGGACGAGCCGCACGATCATGGACGTAATTTTCACTTGAGAAGTGGGGGGGACACGGGGGTGGGGGTGGGGGGGGGGTGGGGTCTTTACAGTATGCTCTAATGGGAAACAGGTTTCAACACAAACGGCTGTTTTCCGCTTGTTTCTTAGAGCTCAACCAGTGTCAATTTAATATAGCGTAATATTGTTTTTGGATGGTAAAAAGTGCAGGGGTCAAAACTTGATTTTGGAAAAAGTGGGGGGGACATGTCCCCCTTGTCCCCCCCCAAAATTACGTCCATGCGCACGATCCATAAACGCTGCGAGTTGTGAAGCGCGTTCCATCCGCGAGCCGCATCACCGCGCGGAAAGTGAATGCGTCAAGCCAAGCTTACGGCCTTTCCACGGAGCTAGCTCTGTGGTCACGTGGGTCGGATGCTCATTAATTATACAGAATTTTAGACTTTTAATACACTTAAACAGAAGAGTGAGAAAAAATTTACCCCCCTCAGAGTTGTCATGAGTGTAAACTAGATCATTTAAACCAAAACCATGTTTTGGTACCAGGCTGTAAACATGTTTATTTCTGCTGTGAAATTGGTATTTTTAACATGGGAGTCAATCATAGACTGTACATACATGAGGATTTGCTCGCTTCTGACACCAGCCCCCAGTGGATGAGGGTGGAACTGCAATTTTTTTCACTTCCGCATTGGACTCAATTTCTGTCCCGCATTGTGGGGGCTTGGGTAGAACCTACAAGGTAGCACAAACTTTTGTAAATTGGTTTTCTGTTGTTATCACGAAAAAAAGCACATGGCTTGAACAGAGCTGCACAGTGGCAGCACTGTCCTTACAGCAAGTAGTTCCTGGGTTTGAAAGTCTACCTGGGGTATTACTGCATGACGTTTGTGTGTACTCCCTGTGCATGTGTGGGATGGGCGCTCTGCAGGTACTCCAGCTTCCTCCCACAGCCTAAATATGTGACTGTTTAACCCTCTCAGGCTCAAAATAAGTTTTGATAAAAGGACGAACAACTAAGTCCTTCAGGGGTACTTCTGTATGTATGTGGAACGTTGCAAATCTGCAACGCCTGCCTCCAGAGGGCTAATAGCCCTGCTGATAACACCAGCAGAGACCAGCATATGTTGTGTTTTGGTGCTGGGATGCTAGTCCAGCATGGGATCCTGGACGGGCACATGATGCTGGTGAATGCAAGTAGGACCAGCATTATATGTTCACCAGCTAAACCAGCACCAAAAAGATATGCTGGTAAACACCTATGCTGTTTTTTTCAGCAGTAATGTTTCTCTAATGGTCCTTAGGAGTGAGTATGCTTGCGCAGTTGTTTGTCCTGTGTCACACACTCATAGACAAAACATGGCTGTGATTTTGATCATTCTGCTCAGTCAATGGCGTTTTGTCAGACTCTGAACCCAGAAAAGGGTTCAGCGAGGCAGCAGGTGGAAAACTCTGAAGCAAACAGTAACTGCATCCCCTAGCCAATCAGTGACTGACAGTTGCAAACGTCACATTTTCATAATGGCTTGGTATCCTAATAACCACAACAAAGCGGGTAGTGAAAAGTTGAGGAGAAATATCGACACATGCTCATGGAAAGGTCTGTCCAACCGAACAGAACCCATCCATGTTACGCTGAGTAGTGCTGGTAGAAAAGGGACATGAGGTAGTCAATTGCCTTGGGCCCCAAACACCCCACAATGGACATTTAGGGGCTCAGCATGTAGAGCGGGTTGTCTAGTAATCCAGAGGTTGCAGGTTCAACCCCAGCTCCCACCGGAGAATGCTGCTGTTGTGTCCGTGGGTAAGACACTTGACCTACTTTGCCTGCTGGTGTTCGGAGAGACCGGTGCTAGTGTATGACAGGCCCCACCTCTGTCGGTGCACCCCAGGCCAGCTGTGGCTACATTGTAGCTCATCACCAGCATTTGTGCCTTGGGGGTTGTAGAACCCTAAGAAGGTGCCATACAAATACACACCGTTTACCATAATACTTTAAGATATTTTTCTGCAGAGTTAATTAAACCTGTCATTAAAAAATGAAATGAAAGCATCACACTAACATGGCCTCAGACTGCCTTATGTGACACTGCTTGAACGTCCCGTCACCCAGCTGCAATGGACTATTACGCAGCTGCAGCAACAGAAGCGAAAGACTGACGAGCAAGTTTGTCATCTGATGGAATTAGTTTAAAAAGTAAAAGATTTGCGAAAACAGGTTGAGGCCCTCCAAAGTTCTGAAAAGTGAAATAAGCAGGACGAGAGTAGAACGTTTAGTCACAAATTTTCTGGTTTGTTGTTTTTTTTTAATTCAAAGTCACAATTATTGAAAGCCACGTGTTGATGCTGCACGACACCACTGCTTTCAAAAGATGAATACAAAAAGCTGCTGCCTCTACACACACACACACACACACACACACACACACACACACACACACACACACACACACACACACACACACACACACACACATCAGTATACAGCCCTATTTATTTGATCTTCAAAGTTTTTTATTACACATGCATTCAGTAGAATATCAGTGTGTTGTTCTAGACATATTATTATGGGATATCTTATGATTATTGGATTTTCTACTTAGAACTCGTGTTGAGATTGTAAATTTTACAGGTAATCATGCAGGTCTCTACTAGGATTTGCACTTCCAGCTTAGGGTAAAAAAACTTTATTTTACTACATTTACTAAATAAATGTTTACTTTGAATCATTAGAATTTAAATCAAGCAAGCAAATTAAGACAGGAACTTGGCAGTTTGACCTCCACAGATTTAGGATAAATGGCGTTGTTTATGCTGCAGGAGTCATCTTGCTGATCCGTTTATTCTCAAAAGTAATTCTGATGATTGAAAGTAGTTTCAAAGTAATTCTCAAAGGTGTTACTGGAAGCTCGAGTATTAAAAATGATCAGAAGCTGTGCCTCGCTCACTAGATGTCAGTTCATCTGAAAATGTACACCAGCATGTCAAACAGCACAGTCTGTTAGAAAAATGGATCTACGCCATCCCATCAGCAAAATTATGCAGAAATATTAAATAATTTAAGTTGTTCAGGAAGCATATACTATGTTTTGCTTTTAATTTGTTTCTTATTTGTCAAGTGTTGTAATGTGACTTTGATTAAAGGAAACACTCAACCCTCTCTTCAGTCTGGTTCTAGAAACACACACCAGAGTCAGTCTTTGACCTTGGATAGAGGAAACGGGGTCTAAACAGCAAAATCCCAAGGTTGGTTATCAAAACAATGCTTCTGTCTTGGTAGATAAAGCTCTGACCTTAAGTCAAGTTATTCAATATCTGTTGAATTCAGTCTTTTCAGCTGGTTCGTAGATGATGTACTGTCACTTTAAAAGTCTGACAACTTTTATGAGGTACAAGTTAATTATTACTTAGACAGGTTCCCAGGAGAAAGTCCCAAAGCTACAATCACTGCCGTACTCTCACAAACAAAAGCCAAATAACTTATAATTAGCTTACCTGTGTTTGTGCTCCTGAATAATATCGTTATCCTCGTTGAGGGGGCGGAGCTGTGAGCAGGAAGCGGACAGGCGGTGTTTTTTATCAGCGCGCTGAAGGCGGGGAAGAACACTTTGACGGAACAAATCCCTTGGCTTTTCCTGTAGGTCATGATATAAACCCAGACCGGATGTTATTATTCTCATTACACTGTAAAAAATAATTTATTGATTGAACTTAAGAAAATAAGTGAAACATTAGCCTTAATATTCTGTATTAGATGGGAAAAAATGCCTTAATTTCATAAAGAAGGATGACGGGGGTGCAGCAGAAAAAAGGCAATATTTAAAATATTTATTTTCCATTTAACTTTTATTTAACCAGATGAGTCGACTGAGAACTCGTCCTCATTTACAACGACGACCGGGCCAAGAGGCAGCAGCAACTGACACATAGTTAACTTTACACCATTAAAAACAGGCAGATAAGATAAAAACTAACAAGAATAAAATAAGAGAAAACAAACAGATGGTGACCTTCACAACTTTAACCTCAAAGGTCATATTTATTCAGGATGTCTTTTAAATTCAGTTTAACATTAAAACAATTCATTTTAACACAAGTATTTCAGCAATAGTTTGTCAAACTGACTCAAAACATTATGCTGGAATGATGAAACAGCTATAATGTGTTTTACAGTGTAAAACATCATTAAAATATTCAGGCTGCTGTCTTACCAGGTCTGAGTAGGATCCCAGGGAGTAATTTCGACTGACTCGACGCTTCACAGTCTGCTGATCTGGGAGGGAAAATACCGTCTTAAATGAACTTTTGGAATAATGTAGTTTTTTTAAACCTTGCTGAAAAAAAATCCATTGTTTATCTGATAACAGTGAAGCTGTAAAAAATTGCCTTGCTTATCATTTTTCCAGTTTTCAGCCACAGATACAAAAATGTGTATTTATAATCATTAATATCTTTAATGATAACATGTGACTTGATAAACCAGCTTGTTGTGTGCTTATCTCAGAGGATAATCAAGTCAACTTGAAACATCAGAGATGAGGCGGTTTTTAGGTGTGTTTAATTAGAAACAGACTCATATTCCTGTTAACCCAAAAAATAAAAAATAAACAAATAGGCATGAAGAATATGGCTGGTTTCTAGTTCATGGTGTGGTTTGGTGCTAAACGTTCCCCACAAATGCGTAAAGACTTGTTCAATTCATCAGGAAGCAGTTCTGAGATCCAATTTACCTGAAACCGTTTTCATTTTTACCCATTTTCTTGTTTTGTCCCTGTGATCGAGTGTGTGTGTGTGTGTGTGTGTGTGTGTGTGTGTGTGTGTGTGTGTGTGTGTGTGTTACCAGAGTGTGGGTCTAGTCTCTGCCTATGTCTTGAAATCTGAGTGAGGATGGTTTCTCTGTGTGTTGCATCTTCTATCCCAGCATCTCTCAGCTCTGCATCTGTTATATTCAGCAAACCCTGCAGAGAGACGACACCAAAGAGGATCAGTCAGGAATCAGTCCTCAAGGACTGTGTGAGTTTTAACAAAGTCAAAAGAAATAAAAAAAGACATAGAAACCACCTAGCTCAAGGGGTTTAACCATTTCGAGAGGTTACTCACCTCCAGACCATAATATTCATTCTCCAGTGTCTTGATGTACTGTGGCAGGCCGATCTGTCTGAGCCACCAGGCGATGGAGCGGTTATTCATGTCTGGACAGCAAAGAAACTGATTGCATACTAGTGAAAAACGAACACACACAAGTTTGTACTTGTTTCTGTTCAAAAGAGTGTCTGAGAAAACCCAAATGAAGGATTTGTGACATCATCATTACTTTTACAAACCAGTCAACCAGAACCAGATGCATGGAGTAGTTTCTCCTAAAGTAGCAGCAGAAAGTCACACCTACCTGTTTACAGGATCCACCGCAGTACTCAGGGATATTTAATTTGAAAATTTCTTCCCATTCAATCTATTCTTTCTCATGTAACTTTCTGCTGTGTTCCTGCCGTGCTTTGCAGCTGATCGTCTCCAAATCCCTCCTTTGTCATGAGGTCTCACTTTCTCCTTGTGGTCACAGTGGAAGCCCGCTCCCCTCCTCAAAACCTGCAGGGTCACTCAAAGGCCAATCAGATTGCGCGACGGGCTCTCGGCACCCCAAAGAGATTAGCAAATCCCCTCACGGGGATTAGAATAAATTCTCAGGAGGTGGAGAGAGCAGGTAGAGGCACGTCACTGGGAACAGGAAAACACAAGGAAGGATGGGAAAGTTCTAAGCAGCTGTCAGCATGTCAGATCAGAGACAGGAATGTTTGCACATTGGTGGGTACTCCAAACCGTCTTCACTAGTGGAAACTGTCCAAAATAAATACAGAGTACAAAGAAAAGAAGTGCTGTTGGAGACTGACATCTAGTGTTTAAAATAAAAGTCACAGATCAACTCGGTTTTCTGCTGAACTTCTGATGAGCTGCATCTCTTGAAGGAAAAAGGAACTGATGGAATTAAATTTTCACTCCTCATTTCAAAAGTGATGAAATAGAAAGTTGGAGGGATGCTGAAGGGAGAAGAAGAGAGCATGGCAGCGTTTTCTTTAACGGTGTGGAACACTCGACCCGTCCGTCCTTGCGAGCCTGTTGGAGAGCTCTCGCAAGGACGGATAATGGCGTTGTGTCTCCGCACCGATGCTGAAGCATAAACTAGACTTTAGACCATTGCTTTTATGGATTTCTAAACATTCATACATAATTCCTAAAAGGGGAAAACTTTGGCTTCTGTTGGTGTATTTGAAGGAGATGATGTCTACATCTCTTTTGAGAATTTATAAGAGCGTTGAGTCATCGCTCTGGTAAAGCCTCTAATCTTTACTCTGGAAATTCATGAGGTTGTTATAGGAAATTTCAGATCTGAATATGTTAGTTTAGTCTGAAAGTCTGGTCACCCCCCTAGAAGATGTTAGAGATGTTCAGACCTCTGAACCTCCTGATGGAAACAAGCCACAAATCTATTTTACTGCTATAAAATATTCCTTACATAAGGCTGTTTACTATTACTACTACTACTACTACTATGCAAACAATTATTATTTATTTACATATTACTTGCTCTCTGAAGCTACTTATTTGTTACCTACTACTATAAACGTAACTATTACTTGTTTTCTAGTACTTACATACAGTTGACTTAATAATAACTAATGCTGTTTCTAACTGATTGTAATTATTTGTGATAACCCAGTCTGTCTGCAGCTTTGCCTCTGGACAACCACCCATGTTCCTGCTCTACTCCTGATTGTGGATTCCCTCCAACAGTGTCTAAAAAGATAAACTCCATGTCTCCAGATTGTCTGTTGTCCGTCCCTGTCACAGCTGTCCATGTCCATGCTTCTGCCATCATGTACAGACCTATTTTGCTTTGCTGACCACTGATTGGCTCCATAGACCTGTGAGTTTTTGTCTTCCTTGTGTTCTTACCCTTGCACTGGTGTTTTTCGACTCCGTCTCTGTCAAAAGGGCAGCTCCTCCTGTTGAAATTGAAGCCCTCCTCATCCACTAGGGGCTGCTAAAACATCCAAGCATACATATTTACAGCCTGGTTCAAAAAACGTTTTAGGTTTAATAGGTGAGGATTACCATTATGACAACTCTGAGGGTTGTGATTTCTTTGTAACTCATCTGTTTAGATGTAATTAAAGCTTGATGTTATGAATTATTAAGGGCGTGATGAGTCGTCAGTGCCAGCGCAAGCCTTGGTCTCACGTTAATAGTGGTCAGACGTTAACTTAACCGTCAGTTGCATTCTGTGTGATTGCGTGTTCAGATGTTAGTCGTGCACTTATTGTACAAAAATGGCTTGCTGTGGTATTGATTGCACTAACAATTCAAGAAGTCTACTCCATTTTTTTTGGTAAGTAAACTAAGTTTCTGTACTTTTAAGTTGCGGGTGCCGCTCCTGCGCTAGCTGAGCTAGTTAATTAATAAAGTGGCTGGTTAACCACTGTTTAACCCTAGGCTCTTTAACTGTGAAGGTAAAGATTAACTGAGGTAAAATGCTGTGCATTTAACAAAAAATGCTTCTTGATCAAAAATGGGTTGAAATATGAAGTGTTGTTAGGGATGGGTACCAAAACAAGGTACCGTCTTCCTCCCTACTGCTGCCGTGCCGGCGGCACCTTCACACATCTCTGACTGTGTTGGAGCAGGGCCACATCGCTGGCTGGCTGTGGAGCTCCGGGTTAGCTCGTAGCTCAGAGCTCGATGGATGGGTGCCAATCATCTGCCCCCACCGCCCTCACAGCTCCATTCTCAGCTGCACCTCTTTGCCTCTTTTTGTATTTTCTGGGATTTACAAGATGCGTTTTTTCATGTTTGATGTTGTGACTTGGATACATTTAACCAATTATTGGGTTTGGGATCACAGACCCTACTGTATGTAACCACAGTTTTCTTTTTCTGTGTTCCACAGTTACCTGCCTCCATGGGACCACAGTCACAGCTCTAAGCTTGAGACTCCATCTCAACTTCCAGACTGCTAAAAAATGAAATGTCGAGTTTGCCAAGTTATGTCAATTGGTTCCACTAAACCTAGTAGCTTAAATGTAAAGAGTAAATGTAAAAATAAATTTACGTCTAACATAACAAGGTATACAGTAATCCCCGTTTATCACGGGAGTCATGTTCTAAAAACCACCTACAACAGGCAAAATCTGCTAAGTCAGCTTCATTTTGTACAAATATTATAGATATTTGTAGGGTACAAAGCTACTATTGTGTCACACACACACACACACACACACACACACACACACACACACACACACACACACATGAAAATACACCAGAATGTCCATTCCTCAACTGTTTTATTCCCAGCATTTGTGCATATTTGCACTCATTCCAACATTTTGGTCTCATTGTAATGTTGTAGGGAGAAGATAACTTGTTTAATTAAGGCTCATCTAGAAAATAAAACCGGGTACAGCTCGTGTGTTAGTGGAGTCATGTTTCTAGACGGTAATTTTTTCCTTTTACTTGATTATAAATATGCTGAAGGAGTGCTACGTTTACCTGTGATATATTTTCAGCAGTAATGAAACATATACATTCTTTTGTTTCCTTTGAGGTCCTTTGAGGATCTCTGCGTTGTTGATTGTAGACAATTACTGAAAAACCGATCTCTAGCCTCCTTCAGAAGTTATTTCCTGTAAGGGATGTGTTCGTCCTTGTTCTTTTTATCCATCCTTTTCACTCTTGTGCGGCTTCCCCTAGCAACGCGAGTCATACACCTAAAATGGCGCTAAGGGGGTGTGGTTGACGTGTAGGTCACGTGTCTGACAAGGACCAATCACGCTTTACATTTAGACGACTAGGTTTAATGGAACCAGTTGACATAAGTTGGTTAAGTTAATTCAACATTTCATTTGTTAGAGTGTATTGTGCAGCCTTGTCTCCACATTAGGCCTGTGGATGCAACATTGTCCCGTAAGTGCTTTAACTCTCTCAGTTTTCAGTTCACCCACTTGCTCAAGCCTGCCACTGGTCAGACTGTCTGCTGCGTGCTTTTTTGCAGTAACTGGAACACTCCTCGTGATTTTAGTCAGGAAAAGTCACCAATTGTGATGTAAAACTACTAGTCCAGAGCCATGCTGTGCATTGACAATTATTATGTGTTATACAGTACTAAAAATATCCATATCCTGTCCATTTGTACACCCGCATACTGTAAGTATTGCTTATTTAGTTCACTTTTTAAATGTTGTAAAGCACTGCTGCTGCAACATTTCCCTGATGAGGAACAATTTCATAGGCATATTTTTGTTTCTTTCCAACTGAAAAACAATGTTTATTTTCATATGTTGGGTTTTCAGGATTTTATATGTTTAACTTCATGAGTTTGTGTTGGAGATGTGACATCAGAATGAGTTTAGGCTGCTTTGTTTCCCAGAGAATCACAAAGAGAAGGGTGTTTTCAGGGTTTCTGAACAGCTGTTTTTCTATTTATTTTGCAATAATTTGACATCTTTTTGCATGAAATCAGGACAGTATGCCTCTGCTTCTCAACCACACAAGTATTTCATGTATCTATTTTATTTTAAATTAAAGTTGAACACAGTTTGAATGAAACTTGACTCTCGATGCCTCTAAAATTTGCATGAGCTCATGTGGCGATATACTCCAATGTTTTTTTTTTGTCACTTCCCTGAATAATAATGTGGATAAATGTTTCTACTTAGTGCAAATAAAATGTCTTCACATTCACTCTCACACTTTTTAGCAGCTTGCAACGGGAGCAGCACATTCAAACGTTTGTGTGCGTGCCTGTGTGTGTGTGTGAGTGAGGGTGCGTCAGAGGAAAAAGGAAGTTGCGGGATGAAGTTAAAAGCCATCGACACAGTGCAATTTTGCAGAACACCCACCACGGAAGAGCAGAGCAGAGCGCCTGAGCCTGAACACGGTGTAATGAAAGCTAGAGCAGGAGCCGAACTGCAAGAAAGCTGCTGTGCAACGTGTGAGGAGAAATTCGTAAAGGTAAGATCTGGTTTTATTTTTACCTCCCTGTCAAATCCATTCTAAAACAGGAAGATCGATTTAAAGCTGCAGGTTTTAAAGCTTCTGTTTTAGTATTTTCTGTGTGTTTAATTTGGTGTTTGCTGCAGGCTGACTTTTGTGCTGCTTTTTGTCTCATTTTGATTGAGAACTGCAAATAAGTGATAGATTATGACACAAATCAACTTTGTGTCATGCGAGCAGCAACCGTAACCATCAAGCAACCGTCATAAGGCAAAGATGGAGATGTGGCGGCAGTGTGCAATGTGGCTGATTGATTGTCGGGTTCTTCCTGAGAATCATCGAGTCACATGGGAGGGTGCACAGGTAAAACGGCTGCTAACCACCTGCACATGATTCCCCTCTCATCATTCCTTGGTCTTATTAGATTTTTCTGCGCGCGCGCGTGTGTGTGTGTGTGTGTGTGTGTGTGTGTGTGTGTGTGTGTGTGTGTGTGTGTGTGTGATACTCAGGTGTGTGACCTGGCTCAGGCCCTTAGAGATGGTGTACTGCTCTGCCAGCTGCTCAACAACCTGCTGCCTCAGGCTGTCAACCTGAGAGAGATCAACCTGCGGCCGCAGATGTCCCAGGTAACGTGCATACACACAAATCTTTTTTCCTGATCCATTTTCATAGGTCGTTCCCATAGCGACAATTCAACCAGAATGCACCATGACACCTAGAGGCTGCATGATAAGAAAATAGTGTAGTGAATATCTTTCATCATCTGGAAGTGTGCAGGGGATGGTGATGGTGACTGTGACAGTAAAACAAGGAATACATTTTTTATGTTAAGGTAAAAGTAAATACCTTAACGTCTGCACCAAATGAAAAACATTTCCCCTCCATCGTTTCCACCACTCACAGCACATTGCTTATATTTTCTTTTTTTTTTTCCCCTCTACAACTTATCTTCAACATCAGGTGAAATATTTGCATGCCACCTGGCTGGTACCTTGTTTGTCCAAGTAAAAAAAAAAGATGCTGCCTTTTTCTACTAGCCTTTTAAACAACTAACTTTTCAGGTCATAGTTGGTATTGAAAAACTTTGAAGAACCAAGAACTACACCTAACCCCTCTTCTCTAGGGCAAAAAAATGATTATTTAGTTATTTATTTAAAAAAACAAATGTTTTTTTGGTGTTTGGAAGCTTTATGTTTGCTTGCACAGCCAGAAGTTGAAAAATAAACTATATTTACCAAAGTGTGACAAAAACTGTCCCTGGCCTAAAAGCTAATGAATTCGCTTCTGTCCATATCAATTTTCATTACAAGCTTTGTAGATAAACTCAGTTTGTGACGCCGATAGGTACGATTTTTACTACATTTGTCTAAAAACCAGAGTAACTTTCACAGAATATTCCTACACCTTTTGGTGAGCTAAGCCAACAGCGTGCGAGCTCTATTAACCTGCATCTATTAAACATTTACCAAAAACATGACATTGACTAAATTTCAGTTTTCCTTTTCAAACAAAGATATTTTTTCTCTCAACTTTATGTTGGCTTACACTTTCAAAATTAAAAATCTGTAAAAATAACAGTTCTTGATGAAAATATCTTAGTTTTCTTCTCACATTTTCTGAGCTGTTATCAAAAATCTTTCTGAGAAATTAAATGTGGTGAAAACAAGTCTGTGAGTGGTTAAAGAAAGGTCCCTTTATTAGCGTTACTTAGTGCATTATTAAGCATTAATAAAATATTAAATACAGTATTAACAACTGCTTAATATTTTTGTTAATATTTAGTAATACATTACCAACCTCCCATCCTTCACGGGAACTTTAACGGGATCTTTAACAAAGGGATCATTAATTTATTAATACTTAATAATGCACTAAGTAACGTTAAAGAGGCACCCTCATTGTAAAGTGGGGCAGCAGTAGCTCAACAGGTTGAGCAGGTTGTCCAGTAATTGGAAGGTTGCAGGTTCGATCCCGGGTCGGACAGAGAATTCTGCTGTTGTGTCCTTGGGCAAGACACTTAACCCAACTTGCCTGCTGGTGGTGGTCAGAGGGACCGGTGGCACCTGTGCTCGGCAGCCTCGCCTCTGTCAGTGCACCCCGGGGCAGATGTGGCTACATCGTAGCTCATCACCATCAGTGTGTGAATGGATGAATGATACACTGTAGTGTAAAGCGCTTTGGAGTCCTTACTCTGAGAGGCGCTATACAAGTGTGGGTCATTTTATCATAAAGTGTTACCCAGTTTAAAGACAGCTAATGAAAACCCTCCATGAAAATCCATAAAATACATATAAAAGTCTACATTTCTGAACAGAAAATGTTTTTTAAAAGCGTGTTTATTATACAGAGATTATACAAACACAAACAAAACTGTAGTAAAACTAATATATTTTTTAACATTTAAGATATATAAAAAATCTAAACATTATGTTTGTGCAAATAAAACAGTTTTTTAAATTTGTTATTTGAATTATGGCTTCTCTTAGTGCAAAGACTCACTGAAATGTCTGAAGGGAAGTTGAGCTTAATATAAAATAGTGTGTGTGTGTGTGTGTGTGTGTGTGTGTGTGTGTGTGTGTGTGTGTGAGTGTGTGTGTGTGTGAGTGTGTGTGTGAGTGTGTGTGTGTGTGTGTGTGTGTGTGTGTGTGTGTGTGTGTGTGTGTGTGTGTGTGTGTGTGTGTGTGACACGTTAAGTGTAAAACAAGCAGAGCATGCTTGTGCAAAACTTTGGGAAATCCAGTGAAGTCAAATGTCGTTAAGAAATATCCGCTGATGAACTGAAAAAAGGGATCTCTGTGACGTGTGCATAAACACACACTCACCTGGTGACATTACACAAGTGGAGGATATTCTCTGAGTTGTTGCGTCAGGATTACCACACTATGAGTTTCTGGTGTGAAGGTAAGGCTACAGCTGTGTTGATATGAACCCTGGTACGGTCTGGTCTGATGCATGCTGCTGTATCAGTTAGAACTCAACATTTCCCCTTTTCTTAAATTAGAGTTCTGCATTTACCATTGCTCAGCAGGCAGATCAACAGACGAGCAAATAGTGGGAAATAGAGAACAATATACTGGGGAAGAAAAGCTGGTTCAGGAAGTTTCACAAAGGGGCAAACGTCTCACCACACTGTTACTTATTTTGTACTTCACCTTAAGCATTTCACTCATTGCTTCTTATAGTACCAAACATTTGACTGCATCTGTGCCGTTTTAGTCTTTTAGTTAGGTAAATGCTGTGATGTCTTTAGAAAATAAAATCCTAAATCCGGGAATTAATGTCTGCAATACAGAGCGCTTCGCTGCATTTCCTCTGGCAATCACTATTTTTCAGCATGGATTTAATTAATTGGTCATTCAACGCGATTGATAAGATTTTTTCTACGATGAGAACGGAGGAGGGGGCTCGCGCTTGTCCTCACGGGACACATGCAGCGGGATATATGTTCGATTCCTGGAAGAAGTGGAATGTCATCTGTCTCTCTCAGCTGTCCATTGAGGACGTCGAATATATGTGGATATTTGGCCTGATGATCACTGGATTTCTTCTGATTGGAGTGGGAGGATATCTGGCTTTCTGTAAAATTGGGAGGGCGACCCGCAACCATGGATGGCACCGTCCGTGTGGAGACCTTACAGACTGGGACGTTGCTCGAGGTGAATTGCAAGCTGGACAATGTCTTAGCTGCGTTATCGGTGTTAGCGCGTAAAATTGATGTCATCTCGGAAAGGGTCAGCGGACGGTGTGGAGATGTTTAATCACCGAATTGGCTTCACTGGAGGAGTTGAATGATCAATGCAGACTTTAAGTCAGAGAGAAAAATTATCTCTGCCTGACCCAAACAAAGTTCTGTTATCGAATCTGACACCATAAGCAGCCTTGGAGTTGCGTGCAAACAACCCCCACGATGGAACGAATGCAGACAAATGCTGTGAAATCCTACCCCCCCACCCCCTCCTCCACCCCCGCTTTCAGATTGTGGTCTCTGCACAGCGAGGTCATCAAGCTGAAGGCACTCACTTCTCTCTGTGCTTTCCCATGATCTCCTTCCCACCTGCGGATTCAGTTGGCTGAGCGCCACACAGGCAGCCCTCTCTGAGGAAACCAGGGTCCCAGCCCCTCCCCCCTACCTACCGGGTCTCATGTTGTGAACTGTGACGTTCGTGCTTACATGTTGGGTGTTTTTTTTTTTTTTTGCATTGGAGAGCTACACCCTGCCGGTGTAACCCTGTTAATGCCTTTTTTTTCTCCCTCCCCTGAACTTTCCTCATGTATTCCCTTATTCATCTACTAAAGGAGCGCCGTCATGGCTGCTCCCATGGTCTGCCTGTATCTGTACTGTCTATATGTGTGTGTAACCTTGGTCAGGTTGTACTGTGGAGTCAAGTTCCTATGCTCTGGATCGCTGGAGCGCTGGCAATAAAATTAATTCTGATTCTGATTCTGATTCAATAGACAAAAAAAATTGGGGGAAGATAACAATTTGAATAGATGATTAATGGTGTTATGGATGATTTATGAAAAAGATGTCAAGGCTGAACAAAGTTGGGTTACTCTAATGCAAAGCCAGATAGTCTTGATCAGGATCCTGTCCAACCAATAGCAAGTCTTTATTTAACATTGAGGGTACTGGTAGGCATAGCTGCAAAGATTAATAAAGTCCCATTAGTCATGATCACATGCTGGTGAAATTATATCTTCGCATTTGACCCATGCCCATGGAGGATGCAGAAGTGAGAAGGTGGCATGTTGAAAAGAATTAGATTGGCATCAACACCAGAGGAGCCATGCACCTACTGGCTGATGAAGCTGTTGCTGGAGACAGCAAGACACAGAGGTGTGCACAGCCTGGATTGGCTACAAGAAAATCTGTGACTTGATGCCAAACTCATAGATCCTGGAGTGCTTGGGAATGTGCAACATCAACAGAATAGGCACCTTATTTTAGAACTGGGTGAGAATGTAGAAGAAAACCAGGGTCAGTCCAAGTTAAGCAACTGTGTTGGGAACAAAGAGAGCACAAAATAGCGTGAGAAAAATTTATGTTTGAGTAACTTTCAGTGATACACACAAAACTATATTGCACACGGAAAAAGGAATTATATTTACCTTTTGCACCTAATCATGTGAGTCCACCATTTTATTTGGCAAAAGCATGTAAATGGTGACTGACACAAGTGCTAAACAAAGGAAAAATTAGTGCATTAAATTGTTTTTTGTTGTTTTTTGTGATCTTTAGCATTCCTGCAACTAGTTCAAGCCCAGTTCAGTTATCAGAAGAAGTAGCGCACCTAGGTGGGGCTCATAGAAATCAGTATTTACAAAGGTTAAGTGTTAACTAGCTTATGAACGTTAACTTCATTCTCCCTGCTGCTGTTTATCAAAGTAAACAAGTTGCCAGAATTCACTCTGCTGGATTGATAACATTATGTTATAAATAACATTTCACTTTACACCGAAGCTGATTTTAAAAAGTCCGGATCCTTACTAGTTGTTGTTGCTGGTGGTGATGTCTCTAATGGCGCAGACACCGGCACGGCCGGGTTTTGGTGGGGCTGAATGGCGTGAGTTCGGTCTGGTATGGGCGGTGTAGTGTTCACATATTAATCTGAAGGACTTCTCAGGAATGCGGAAATCCCCGAGCCCGTGGGCGGGGTTTCATACGCAAGTTGAGTTTAAATCCTTGTCTGTTAGTGCAGCCAAGCTATTAGCATTTAACTGTGAAATCAACTAAATAAAAGTGAAAAACGCTACAAACTGGCTAGTTTTGACTAGCTTCACTAGAGTTTCAATGTGTGTAAACGCTCTTTCTGCCAACCATCATGGCAAAGGGGGCAGTCCCATGAGTGTTTGTCATTCTGGTTTTATTTTGTAGCGATTTAGTGTTTTACGCATTGCTCCAAATTTTAAGAGCAAAAGATAGCTAACGTCACTTGTTAACTGTAAATTCTGTGTTTTTCTGCAGATGTTCCTTTCAAATAGTTGCATTAATATACAACACTTATATAACACACCACATTTTAAAATGCACATTAATAGGAACCGTTTTATTGATTTTCTACTCCTGTAAGGTTAAAATCAATAGTCGTAATAACACTAGTGCTATAAGCTAATTACAAAATACATTAATAATGGTGGGAATGTTACACACACAGTGTAGCATAGGAATGATGAGTTGTCTGGTGTTCACTTCTTGGTATGGTGGGGCCCCAAAGGAAAACCTTCTTAGGGCCCAACAAAGGCTTGAGCCTGCCCTGTAGACTCAAGTTAGCATCAGGTCTTGTGTAAATCTATGATTCTCTGTTGTCACTAGTGTTCTGCATAGGCCGGGACCTCCTAATCCAGTGTACTAATACTACTACTTACTACTTACTTACTTACTTACACTAAAAGCATGTGGCTGGAACCGTGTAGAGGAACCTCTGTATAGTTTGGAGGTTCTACAGTCAAACGAGGAGGCTCCTCAAAGAGAAGTGTAGAATTAAAGCTAAGATATTAGGAAATCCAGACTGACAAACAGGTGAGCAAGGCTATAGTGTGTGATGTATCAACCCCAAGTGACAGGAGCATCACTAAGCAGGAACATGAGAACGACCAGAGGTGATTGGTCGGATGGCTTCACCCCCACTCCCCTTCACGGAGCTCCCCCGGGTGCCTGTGTGTAATTTGCTCAGCTCGATTCTGCAGAAATGAGTTTAATATGTATCATGAAAGAATGAAGCAGTTTATAAAATCTGGAGGAAAGCTGCAGAGTTTTCTGGGCATGAGCTCAGCTCAGACTACCGGTGTGGGGAGAAAGGCTGCTGAGATGGTGGCGAGCACAAATGAGAAGGCACACAAGGATTTTAGGCAGAATAATTTTACCATGATTAGATTCTGCACGGTGGCTTCTTCAACACACACACTGTGTGCTTGACTAACCTTCCTGCAAACCACATTTGTATGAAAACACAAAATAGACGAATGAGACAACAGACTTAAATGTGGCATTTGCCATAAAGTGAAGCAGATTTCTCTTGGAAAACCTTTAGGCTTTAGCGCTTTCAAAAATGTAGAAAATATAAATAGTAGACGTAACAGTGTAATTTGCATTTCCCCCAGTTTCAACATGCTGCTAGTATGACATTTTTTAATTCATCAATTCAAAATATTCAAATTTTTAATAAATGGCTGGCTGGATAATAATTCCTCATCTAAATATCTGATGTTTTTTGTATTTGTTTATAATACTAATTAGTAAGGATGTGTATTGGTTAAATTTTGGCGCTACGATACGTACCACGATACAGGGGAGATGATACAATATATCACGTTGTGTTGCAATACATTCAGTCAGACGATATTAGGGATGTTTTTAGGCTGAATTTATAGTAGGATAATTCAGTAAACAGTCCAAACTGATGTTTAACATCAGGCATCTGAACCATAACAGAGGGGTTTACATTTCAATGGTGGAAATCAAACCCACTGCACGCTGCTCCCAACTAGCGGTCGGTGTTTGAATTGCACCACAGGAAAAGAAAATACACAAATATTTGCATGGAATTTCTTCCAAAATTTAGATACACAGCCTTTGAATATCGATGGAATATTGCAGGAATAAAATCACGATATATTGCCACATCGATGGAGATGTTTTCTCTTGTTTTTTGTGAGTTTGTTGTTTCCGTTTGTGTGTGTGTGTGTGTGTGTGTGTGTGTGTGTGTGTGTGTATGTGTGTGTGTGTGTGTGTTTTCATTACCCCTGAACAACATAAAAATTGAACTGTTTTGTCAGTGGAACCTGGAGTGAACAGCAGAACCGTTATGATCATGAATATGAGCAACATCTGTTCCTAAACACAGACTTGTTTATGAGAAGTTCCCAGAAACTTTTCCAAAGATCTCGATGATGTCAAATGTAATTTGCAAGAACCAGCTGATCATGAGCATGATAAATCTTTAATCACATTTAATTGAGGTAATGGTTGTGACTCTGTTTGCTTTTAGTTCCTGTGCCTGAAGAACATTCGAACATTTCTGGGAGTTTGTCAAGAGCGGTTTCATCTGAAGAAGAATGAGTTGTTTGAAGCTTTTGAACTGTTTGATGTGCGAGACTTTGGAAAGGTAAGGCCCCACTTCCTCTCCTGTTTATAAAAATATACATTTTTAATCATCACAGATAATAAAGGAGTGATGAAATACACAGCAGCGTTACCAAACACATTTTATTGAAATAAATAAAGTAAAGATGAATGTGTTGGTGGTGTTTTTAGGCTGATAGACTTGGGTAAACATCTTGATGGGGGATAACGGACTAATTAGGTGACTCATGATTGTGCAAATAAAATTTTAAAAACATGTAGGGAGACCATAGAGACTAAATGTGCATAATGCATTAAATTGTCTAAATCCTTTATATAATATATAGAAATTATGCGGTTTTAATATTGCCTGAACAAAAAGATGTGAGTGACAGGGAAAGTTATGGGATGCTTGAAACAAAAAAGCTTGAATAAACTCTTAAATAGGAGGTTGAATTCATGTCAGCAAACTTTTGATGAGGCCTCTTGGTATTAAATAAATTCTTTAGCCAGGTTCAAGGAACCCTCTGGAAGCCATAATCAGTGACCGCAGTTTATTAAAACCTTTCTGTGCAGGTTGTTAAAGTCCAGAAACTCCCCGGTTATGTGATCCTTCAACAACAAAGTTAATACTTCTGTTAAAGTTGAACAAATACATACTCATTCTGGAACGTCTGCATATCTGTAGGACTGTGGATGAGTAACATGATCATTAAAACTACTGAAAACCACACGGTAGTCAGGATGTTAAACTGATAAACAAGCTGCCTCTGTAACACCTCCATGCCTCTTTTATTTAACAAACTAAAAGAATACATGAAACCACAGATTAAATAGATGCATCAAATTCAAATATAATAATAAAACTAATTTCAACATTTAATGTATTGACTTCATAGTATTTGTTGAAAGACTGGGCTTAAATGAACACAACTGTGATTTAAGCTTGCTAAAAGACAAAGAAGAAGCACAGAAAGTGCTCCTGCTTCAATCTTCGTGACAGAAACCAAAACCATGAGCAGAGTCCAGAGTATTTACTGCAGCTTGCAGACAACCCACATAGCTGTAACAGGAAGCAGCTCTGTAAATTTATGATTGAAAAAAAAAAAACAGAGTGATGGCGAGAAATTACAGCTCTGTTTCAGTTTTTATCTCATGCACAAGTTCGGAGGCAAGAAAAGAGGATTGAGAAATGAGAATTCATTTAAGCTTCATGTGCAAAGAGGAACCAAACTCTGGGGTCTTTTAGGGTTTATTTAGAGCAGTACGGTTAATGACCTTCTCCTTTCACTTTGTTGTTTCCAGTCAGCTTCTGATATCTGGTAGATGTGGCGTGTGTGCAGCGTAATGGCCAGTGGAGGAAAAAGCATCCAGTTCCTGTAGATAATTTAAAATACCATACCATATTTATTTATAAAGCACCATTTCAAAATAGCATGGCAGCTTACCAAAGTGCTGTACATAAAAAAGCCAAATGCTTGATCAAGAAACACAATAAGAACAGGCAAAATACATAAGAGCAAAGCATAAATAGTCGGAGAAAAAAATTTCTACTAAAAACATTAAAACAGGAGAATAGTGAACAGCACTATAAAAAATAAATAATGCGACGAGTGATAAAAACATTTGAAATGGCACAAATAAAACGAAATAAAATACAAGGTGCCAAAAGTGAGCAACTGAATCATAAAAACGGAATTAAAAACTCAAACCCGGTGCTAGATTTTCATGACAAGTGTCACGAAGGGAAGGCAATACCAAAGAAGTGCGTTTTCAAGGCCGACTTGAAACTGCTAACAGAGGGAGCCAGATGCACACGGAGGGGCAGAGAGTTCCAGAGTTTTGGGGCTGCATAAGAGAAGGCACGCACCCTCCCCCCCCCCCCCCCCCCCCCCACCCCACCCCCCGTTCTTTGTACCGAACCTTCGGAACAACAAGCAGCAAATGATCTGCTGACCGAAGGGCACGGGTGGGAACATATGGGGTCAGCAGGTCCGTCAGATAGGATGGGGATGGGCATTACAAAGCCTTGTAAACATATAACAAGACCTTAAAGTTAATCCTAAATTTGACTGGGAGCCGGTGTTGGTTAAAAATCTGGCCGCGGCATTTTGAACCTTCTGCAGTTTGCTTAAGGCTGAAGCATTAATTCCAATCAGGACAGAATTTGCGTAATCCATACGTGAAGTAATAAAAGCATGAATGACTCAAGATCCGGGCGTTTGAGGATTGACTTAAAGTGCATGTCAAGTGTGCCTCAGAGTCTTACCCCACCCACGTATCAATTTTAAAAACTGCAACATTGGTAGGCGTTGCCTGGAGGACCGAGAGGGCGGAGCCGCGGCAGTGACGAAGACGACGGCTAACTAGACGAAGCTAGCTCCCTTCACTCTGAGCAGTCATTAGAAATGGAGGACGTTTCTCCCCCTCCTTACCCAGACACTCGAGAAGAAAGGGACCAAGTCTAATTGGAGGAGACAAGCGGACATGAGCCTTATTGTTTTGAGCTTGTGAGTTGCCTGAAATGAGTGATGCGGTGGAGTTGGAAAAAGCAGGACTTGACAGCAGCGTTGACTTGTGAAGACATTGAAAGGTCAGAGTCCAGTTTCACACCTAGGCTAGTGGCACATGATTTGAGATTGAGTAGGAGAGTTGAGACATCTAAAGCACCATTCATGTTAGTGGGGCTAAAAAGTATGGCATCTGATTTGCTGTCATTTAACCGTAGGCAGTTTTGAGAAAGCCAGAATCTGACCTGGGAGAGGTATTCTGACATTATAGAAAATGAGTGCTGTTGGTTGATTTGAAGGTAGATCTGACAATCATCTGCATAAAAGTGGTGGTTAACCCCGAGACTTGCTAAAATCTTACCAAGTGGTAGCATGTAAATTGAAACGAGGAGAGGACCCAGGATGGAGCCTTGCGGTACTCCCCATGGAAGTGGGACATTGGGAGAAGAGCAGTCTCCAACATGAACACTAAAACACCGACCATTAAGGTACGACTTAAACCATTCGAGGGCAGTACCGGTCACACCCACCCAAAATTCAAGTCTGTGAAGTAGGATGGTGTGGTCTACAGTGTCATAGACACATAAAACAAGTCGGAAGAGGGTAAAATGCGATCTCCGGGTCAGGGACGAGGTCCTGCCTCAAGTGGAGTAGTTTTAAGTATCTCTGGGTCTTGTTCATGAGTGAGGGAAAGCTGGAGCGTGAGATCGATAGGTGGATTGGTGCTGCATCTGCAGTGATGCAGGTGTTATACCGGTCTGTAGTAGTAATGACCATAGGCGTCATTTTAACCGGGGACGCCGGGGACATGTCCCCGGCAAAATTTGTGATTGGCAGCTGTGTCCCCCCCACTTTCAAAAACGCCTGCTGATGAGGATTTTTGTTTTACCAGCTCAGATCTTATGGGTCGGCAACCTGTTCCCATCAAAGAGCCATTATTACCCATTTCCCATAGTAATTTTGGACGGACCTTAATAAGCAGCGACTTAAGTGAAGCAGGCAGGTCGCGCTAGAAAATGTCGTTTAAAAAGACGTCATAAATGTGTTCCCCCGTCCTTTTTATTTATAAAATATGAAGTAAAAACTCACAATTTAATTTACATTCATTTGTCATTAATTTGTAGTCTACACCCCTGCGTTAAGTGGACCATCTTCCAGTAAACGCAAAGCATCCAGCCCACCTCTCCAAATGCGTAAAATGTGCATCAGCCGCTAGTTAGGCGCACCATCAGCTGATCAGCCCAGACAAGAGCAGAGCAAATAGAGAAAGAATAGAGGATAATTGTGTCTGGATGTGGATGGAGATTACATTTTACAGCAGCCTGATCATCATTTAAATACGTAAACCATCACCTGTCTTCTAGTCCACGCTATCAGCATTATTTTAATTGGTGTGTGTGTGTGTGTGTGTGTGTGTGTGTGTGTGTGTGTGTGTGTGTGTGTGTGTGTGTGTGTGTGTGTGTGTGTGTGTGTGTGTGTGTGTGTGTGTGTGTGTGTGTTCCACTTCAAACACTGGTCTAACCAACCAGACCAGCGTGTCCAGTAACATATTAATGTTACAATTAAACAGTTACACTTCATGTAGGCTAGGAACGTTTCACCTGCCGTGGCCCGACCGCTTCTGCTCCACATAAACTTTGTGCGTGATCAAATGTCTCTACGCGTCATGCGTCTCCATATTAGAGACGGGAACAAGCGCTGTTCAGCCAAAGTTTCATAATTTCATAAAAAGAACATTTTTCCAAGTGACACATCCCTCAGAGAGACCGGGTTTCCTGACTGTTTCAGTGGGAGGAAATCTTATCGCATGCGCCGTTCTGCACTGCGCTGCGAACCCCAGATCTTCAGCTCACTGTCCACCGTGGGCGCTCCGAGCCACGCTGAACAGTGTCCAGTATAAAGCTCTGATGTTCTGATGGGAATATTTTACCTCCGCGATGTGCATTAACGATTAAAATGTCAGCTCATCCATGCGCATCCGTGTGCGTCGGGGTAATTCTTTCAAACCAAGCAACATCCTTGAGTTCATCTGTCAAAATAAACAGTCAAATGGAAATATCTGTAACCTGCCGTTTAACTGTTTTGCCTTCCTGTGAAGATTGTTGCAACGAGAAACAATTAAACTTGATTAACCCCAGAGCCACCCAGAGAACCAGAGCGCATGCGGAAGGTTCCTCCCACTGAAGCGAGTGTTTTCCAAACCCTGTCTCTCAGAGAGACTTGTCACTTAGAAAATGTTCCCTGATTATGAAACTTTGGCTGAATAGCGCTTGTTCCTGTCTCCAATGTGGCGACACATCCAGGAGCCTGTCTGAGGAGAATCCCAGAATCTCACATCCTCTTCAGCTCAGAATGCGCCTATATGATTACGCACAAGCGTGACGCGCCAACCCGGTCTCACAGTAAGACCGGGTTGGAACTGTTCAGGTTTACGCAGACAATCTTTATATTTAGAATTGGCATACAGATGTAAAATTAATGCGGTAAAATATAAAGCATTTTATTTAAATATCCATTCATTATTTTACAAACAGAGAGCCGCATCAGATGGATGGAAGAGCCGCATGCGGCTCCAGAGCCGCGGGGTGCCGACCCCTGTGCTAGCCTACTTTATTGACCCCAGCAATTTTTAAACCCCACCCAAATGTATGGTTATTGTCCCCAGCAATTCTGAAAACAAACTGACGCCCTTGGTAATGACAAAGGTGAGCTGTCTTGATTTACCGGTCGATCTATGTCCTCACCTATGGTTACAAGATTTGGGTAGTGATAGAAAGAATGAGATCGCAGAAACAAGCAGCCAAAATGAGTTTTCTCTACAGGGTGGCTGGGCTCTCCCTTAGAGGTAGGGTGAGAAGCTCTGTCATTCGGGAGGGGCTCGTCGTTGATCTACTGCTCCCCCACATTGAGAGGAGCTAGTTGGGGTGGCTCGGGCATCTAGTTAGGATGCTGCCTGTACGCCTCCTTGGGGAGGTTTTCTGGGCACATCCAACAAGGAGAAGACCTAAAGGAAGACCCAGGACACGCTGGAGAGACTATGTCTCACGGCTGGCAAGGGAACACCTTAGGATTCCCCCGAAGAAGCTGGAGAGAGGGAAGTCTGGGCCTCCCTGCTTAGGCTGCTGCCCCCATGACCCGACCCTGGATAAGTGGCTGAAAATGGATGAATGGACATTAAACAAGTAGACCAGCACAAAACACATTTAACATTTTTTTATTGTTAATAGAATAGAGTAACTTTATCGTCATTGTATGGCGTCTAATCAAATTACAAAAGCATATCCAGATTACACATTATGAATTAGGAAGTGAAAGGCACAATACGTAAGATTTTTATGGTGAAATAATCTCAAAATATTTTAATGTCTCACCCATGTTGGCAGGAAGGCTACATTGTAACAGATTTTCTTCTCAGCCAGCTGGGGTTGTTAGTTTATCTCCTTTCAAAAACGTTCAAGAGGGACATAGTCTTTGCCTACAAACTGTGACCCCGCGGGGTTGTCGAATCTGTGCTCAGTTGGCACTGCAGCCCCGGCATTTGTAATTACACAAATGGCCGAAACGCAGCTGCATTTTGTAAAGATCCTAAATCAGTAAACAGGAGCGACCCACAAGTTGCTTCTTGTACACTTAAGATGCCACAGCATTTTTTTGTTTCACTCTAATATCAGATAAAGAACGCTTGAGGCTAACGTTGTGATAACAATGCTAACAGTAACTTAAAAAAAACACTCGATATTACAGTGAAATTCATTTATCTACTTTTCAACTTCCTGTGTATGTAACCTGCAGCAACCATCAAACTCGTGGAACGGGAGGGGGAAAGTAACTGGTGTGTTTAGAAATTGGGCTGAAATAACCAAATTTGACCACAGGGTGTCATTTTTACTTGATTCATACATCACATACCTTTAAAATGTACTGTAATTCTGAAATCTCTCCACTGGTTGCCCGTGCAGTTCAGGATAAATTTCAAAATTTTGCTTCTGACTTACAAATCCTTGAACCATCAAGCTCCTCCATATCTGTGTGAACTTGTCCATTACTACAACCCGCCGCGTGCTCTCAGGTCTGAAGATAAGCTCCTCCTAGCTGTTCCGAATGCACGTTTAAAAAGCCGTGGAGAAAGGGCTTTCTCTGTCTGTGCACCCAAGCTGTGGAACGCATTACCACTGCTAGTGAGGCAAGCACCAACAGCTAGCATTTTTAAATCACGCTTGAAAACTCATTACTTCAACCTAGCTTATACCACATAATTATGAACCTCACTTACGACTACATTGTTTAAAAATGGAAGTCACAATATCAACTTCCGTATTATTGAGGTTCTTTTTTAAAATGTTTTTCTTATTTTTTATTCTCCCTGTGTTTTATTTATTTTTAACTGTTAGTTTTAGGAATTTTGTTGTATTTCCTTTTTATCTTTTATCTCTGTTCTACATGACTGTATAACGCCGGTTTAATTAACTAACATTTTTAGTGTACAGCGCCTTGTTTGGTTGTAATGCCTTGTTGAATGCGCTTTATAAATAAAACTGGAATTGGAATTGGAAAGTTTTGTTTGTCAGGTAGTTGTCGTGTCAACTCCTTTACTGACTTGTAAACAGAAATGTATCTCAAGTAGTCACTTAACAGAATAAATTTAGATTTTTATTTTGAGGAATTCACCCTTTGCTACTTTTTTTTCTTGATAAAAACCAACAAAAGTTGCTGAATCAGAATCAGAAAGACTATTTTGTTCAGCAAAAGTTGCGGTTCTTTAAAACTAAGTTTTGCACCGTTGAATATGAACTGCTCTGTGAGTGTTAGGGGAACAAACTTCAACTAATTTAGTAAATACAACTTTTTTTCATACAAAATGCTCCAAAATCTCCACGTGTGATGCACAAATCTCAAAATGGATTTTCCGAGTCACAGTGCAGATAAGCAGAAGTGTTTGAACTCACATGCAGATATTTATCAGAAAGAAACCCTGGAATGATGTGGACCGCTTGAGACCACACATCTCATGAAACTACTGATTTGATAGAGATTACTCATCATGAAACTGCACTGAACATTAGAAGTGAAACTAGGTTGACGCCATATGACTCAGAGGTGTGAAACAGCTTTTTGCTTTCTCTCTTCATACATGTTATTAAACATGTTGTGTGTGCGTGTGTGTGTGCGTGCGTGTGTGTGTGTGTGTGTGTGTGTGTGTGTGTGTGTGTGTGTGTGTGTGTGTGTGTGTGTGTGTGTGTGTGTGTGTGTGTGTGTGTGTGTGTGTGAGTGTGTGTGTGCGTGTGTGCGTGTGTGTGTGTGTGTGTAACAGGTCATAAACACTCTGTCCATCCTGTCCCATTCTGCTGTGGCTGTGCAAAAAGGATTTATGTGAGTAAAATTCAGCTCCTTTCATTTAGAAAACAAAAATAAGAAAGGTCAATACAAGCAAATGTTGACCAGCTGAGTACAAGATTGGTAATTTAATTATCTTCTTGCTGTGATGATTTTAAATGAAATGCTTTAATTATTTTATTTTTATTTTTTTTTATTCTTATTGGTTCTCCTTTAAACCGTCACTAAAAACCAACACATAGGCCTTTTCCTTTGGATGGATCTGCTCCTGACGATGAGATCTACAGCGGCCTGTCAGACCAGATAGAGTAAGCCTTTTTTACAGATGTTATATTTTAATCACAGTTTTAGTTACAGCAAACCGAACCCTAGAGCGCTACTTTTCTGTATAGGTTAAAGCTACTGCCATACATGAATCAGAAACATAGAAATGTTGTGATGGAAGGTTTAGCAATAGACAAGCAGGTGACTCTGTATTTATTTTTTTATTATTTGTGTGATAATTCTTAGTGACACTGTGGATGAGGATGACGACTTGTATGATTTTGTGGAGGATGAAGACAATGAAGGCGATGGGATTTATGAAGATTTGATGAAAACAGACGAACAGCCTGAAACTGTAAGCTCACAAAACCTTGCATGCTTAAATAGTCATTGTTGCTTTGTGACATCATGAAACGGCTTGTACTGGATACTTTGTCTCTCGTGTGTTGGAAATCTTGTTAGAACATTTGTGGGTATTATAAAAATTTGAAGCTGGTGTCACATTTCTCATTTAATTTAATTTAATTTTTTTAATTGTTGTTAATTTCAAAATATAACTATTCTGCACTTTCTAAAACCCTCCGTTGTGTCTGCAAGTGCCATACAAATAAAATAAAATAAAATGGTGTGGTATGGTATTTTGCAAAAAAGAATGTTAATTGAGTTATTTTTCTGAGTGATAACATAAAAATGTTTGTTCAAGCAGCTCTTTTCTATTTCATATAAATATCTAATAATGTCTCGGTGCTTATTAATGCTTAGGCCCCGCCCTTGGCGGGGGGAGTCACAGTGGTGCCCAAGCTTGCTTCCAGGGTGTCACTTGCCCACCCTGGAACCGCCCCTGCATCAAAGTAAAGATGGACCGTGAAATATTCAAGATCGATTGGCTGTGTGATCATTTCAAAGACAAAACCTAAATTAGGAGTCATTTTCTTTCTTCTTCATAAAAATGTACACATACTGTGTGTTTCTGTAGCAACAGAAAACTGGAGTTGACAAGCGAGAATGCTGCCTGCAGGAAATCCGACAGACCGAAGAGAAATACACTGATACACTGGAATCGATCTTAAAGGTGGGCACGCAGCCTCAGTCAGATAATTGATGTGTTTACACGTAAAACACGCCTCCTGAAATGGAGCACACACATATCCATCATCCTGAGGCTTGTCCCAGCTGTCTCTGCGTGACAGGCAGTACTCGCCATCACATGACAGCCCATCTTCATCTCCAGATCCTTGTGTGCAAGCTTGTAATCATCCTTTTTTGTTCTGTGCAGCACTTTATGAAGCCTCTTGAAAGGTATCTCCAGACTCAAGACATTGAAAACATCTTCATCAACGTGAAGGTAAAGGAAACAGCTGTTCAGCCCTCAGATTAACTTGAATGCCTTGATTACCCATTTTCTGCCTGTGATCGTGTAGGAGTTGGCTAGCACGCACCGTAGTTTGCTGGACGAAGTACGGAATTCCATTTTAATGGAAGGTGCCAAGACTCTACACCAGGTGTTTGTGAATTACAAGGAGAGGTAGGGAGGGAGCACACACCTAAATGTGTCTGCAAACCTAAAAATGATTGACCGTGATTCACCGCTCTGCAGGCTCTTGCTGTATGGTCATTACTGCAGTCAGGTGGAAGCAGCAACCAAACACCTGGACAAGCTCTCCAGTATGAGGGAGGACGTCAGGATGAAGTTGGAGGTGAGGAAGTCTTGCTCGTCCTCCAGAGAGGCCTGATCCATAAAGTTAGGAAAAGACCGGACCAGGAGACCTCTGTAACATGGAGACATCTGGACATCAGGGGCTGTATTAGAAGAATTATTAGATCAGAAACCCACTGGAGCTGATGAAGAGGTTCTAAAACTTGACAGAAGTCGTCTGGTTCCTGTCAGCGTTTAATTTTAGAGATATTTTCACCAACGGAGACGCTACAGGAACAAACAGGAAGTGAGAAAAGACTTTTTTTTCCTAATAAAAAGTTGCTTATTGCAACAAAATGTGTGGGTAAAAAAACTTCACTGCAAAAATGGGAAATCCCTTTAGTTAACATCCATCATCAGAACTCTTAGCAAAGACTCAGTCGTATCGTGGTGTGACGCGTGAGTTTACAGCTCAGATGTAGGGTTTCCTCCAGGGATGTCATTTACAGGTTCACCTACATTAACAAAGATATTTCCATTTAGATTGCATATTAATGATCTTAATTTTTACTTTATCAAAGGGCAATAGCATTTATGACTGATAAAATATTCTGAGATTATAGCTGTGACACAAACAAATACCAGACACACACAGAATTAATGATGCGACACATAGTTAACAACATAAGACTCAAATTATGTCTTTACAAGACTTAATGAGACGCAGTCATGTGAAAATGCTGAATGACTCCTAATGTGACCCCAAAACTCAGAATGAACAATGTGGGCGAGTTACATGAAACACAAAGTGACCATTTAAAAGACAAAAACTAAAATCAGCAGAAAGGAAAACAAAACAAGCACAGATTTTAAAGTTATGCATCAGGAGGTGAGTTTTATTGGGAAGCTCCCACATGTTTGTGTTTTAAAAACCTGGCCTGGTGTGATCACTCGTGAACTTCCTGTTTTCTGTCTCAGGAGTGTTCAAACAGAGCAAACAGCGGCCGATTTTCTCTCAGAGATCTACTCATGGTTCCAATGCAGAGAGTCCTCAAATACCACCTGCTGTTACAGGTGTGTGTGTGTGTGTGTGTGTGTGTGTGTGTGTGTGTGTGTGTGTGTGTGTGTGTGTGTGTGTGTGTGTGTGTGTGTGTGTGTGTGTGTGTGTGTGTGTGTGTGTGTGTGCGTGCGTGCGTGCATGTGTGTGTGCGTGTGTGTGATTACTTTTCACGTATCTGGTTCATCTTAAGCAGCCGCTCTGATTTGATGTGGTCTGATTGTGTTTATAGGAGCTAATGAAACACACCAATGACCCCACAGACAAAGAGAACCTCCGAACAGCCCTGGATGCCATGAGAGTGAGTGTGCGTGTGTGTGTGTGTGTGTGTGTGTGTGTGTGTGTGTGTGTGTGTGTGTGTGTGTGTGTGTGTGTGTGTGTGTTAATCGGAGGTTTGCTTTATGTCATTCTTTCGCGTCATGCCTCTCTCATATTTGTGCTTTTATGTGTTGCCAGGACTTGGCGCAGTGTGTGAATGAAGTGAAACGAGACAACGAGATCATCAAACAAATCACCAGCTTCCAGATGTCAATAGAGAACTTGGTGTGTTCAGATTTTTTTGCTTGTTTGTTTTCTCTTATTTTATTTTCCTGTGTGCTGACATCAGCACCCTGCTGCTCCTCAGACTCAGTCTTTGGCTGTCTTTGGTCGGCCGAAGATTGACGGGGAGCTGAAGGTCTGCAGCATGGAGAAGAAGTCTAAACAGGACAGGTGAGTGTGTGTGTGTGAGTGTGTGTGTGTGTGTGTGTGTGCGTGCGTGCGTGCGTGCGTGCATGCGTGTGTGTGTGTGTTGTCTCTGTCTTTTCTACTGTTATCACTTCTTTCATTGTGTGTTTTCATCCCATTTGTGGCTGTTTCTCATTAGGTACGCGTTCCTTTTTGATAAAGCTGTGATCATTTGTAAAAAGAAGAGCGGAGAGACATTTGACCTCAAAGAGATCATTGAACTAAATCACTACCAGATAAGAGATGAAACCACAGGAGAGAAGGACAATAAAAAGGTCTTTTAACTGTACCACAGGTATTTTACACCCGCGGGCCCTCTACAACACTCACAGTGTGCTTTTGTGTGATCAGTGGTCATATCTGTTCCTCCTCTTGGATTGCTATGGAAAGTGTGGCTACGATTTCTTCTTCAAAACCAGAGAACTGAAGAAAAAGTGGCTGGAACAGTTTGAGATGGCTTTGTGAGTAACCACACACACATTATACTATCTGATTGGTATAAAACAGCAGAAAGGGGAATGGCCGATGAAGGAAAAGTGTAAGGTTTCACAGCTGAACAGACAGATATTTCCCTGAGGAAATAAAAAGAGAAGTGAGACTCCAACAGGTGGGTGATGTTGCAGAACGACGTGTATGTAAATGATAAACGACAGCTAAAAAGTAACAATTTCTTAGAGAAAATATGCATGAGTTATGAATAAAAACGGAATAAACAAGTTTTTCATTTCTTCAAAAATGAGGTTCTCTGAGAAACGTATAAATTGTTCTTTTTGAAAAACAATCACTCTTAGTTTCACATTCATACAGAACATGAAAATAGTCTCCTACCCCTGTTACCTAGAAAAGCCAGTCAGCACTAATTATCATTCATGGACTCACCCATCTTGACTCACGTTGAAGAAGCATCCAGGAAACAGCAGAGAACATCCAGACTAATAGAAGCTAACCGTTAGCATTGGCATCTACACAACATGGCGGAACTTGTTCAGGCTTGTGTTATTTGTGGACATAAAACATCGACGTTGCAGAGCAAATGGAGGCAGCGGAAGAGTCGCGCTGCTGTTAGCCAGTCAGAAGTGAGCGGCGTCTAAATATCAGGAAGTAAGTCTCTAAATCCTGTTGTTCTCTGCCACCCACAGCTCCGGCTAACTCCTACTTCCTGAAGCAGAAGCACCAGAGCTTTTTCTCTGCAAAAAATGTCTCACAAGGCATTTGTTTACACTAGAGACCTCAGCAGATTGATTTTAATAACCATCATATACCCACTTTGATGTCTGATTTGAATTCTGACCACACTGTGTTGCTGTTGTGTTTATTTCTATTATTTTGGCTGAAGTTCAGCTGCCATTTTTATTGAAAACCAGTTGCTTGTGCCGTCATGTTACTGTCAGTTTGGGGTGTAATCAGCCATTTTTTATAATTGCAGGTCAAACATGTGTCCTGAGAATGCCAACGCAAACAATCACGACTTCCAGATGTTCTGCTTTGAGGAAACCACGTCCTGCAAGGCCTGTTCGATGCTCTTAAGGTACCAACTATTCCTAATTGGCTCCCAAAACTCCTGATAACATTTTTAATTGTCCGCTGGTACTCTCCCTGTGTTGTGTGCAGAGGGACCTTTTTTCAAGGCTATCAATGCACTCGATGTAAAATGGCAGCGCATAAAGAGTGTTTAGGCAGAGTGCCGGCATGTGGACGGATCTCAGGTCTGTATTAATGCTCCTGTTTGAATCTGATTTCTGTTTGTTTGATTTTTACGTGGACTTCTTTTTTAATTATAGATTTTTCTGCCACTGTGAGAAAAGTAAGACTATTTCACATCCCGGAATTTGTTTTGTTTAATTTATGCAAGTAAATAACATTTTATTTACTTTTTTTTTGTTGCTCCTTCAGAATAAAACGCACAAGTCTCCTGCCCAGTCCAGCTTTGGTAAGACATTCATGGACAGAATCGTCTCTGTCGACATCCTTTGGATTGTGTTTCAGATATTTCCTCCTTGCTCTTCTCACTCTCAGGTTTTCCTAAGATGGAGGTTTGTCAGGAGTATTATGGCTTGCCACCACCCCCGGTGGGCTTCGGACAGCCTCTTCAACTCTTGAGAGGTGACATCATCGAGCTGACCCGGGCTGATATTGACCTGACCTGGTGGGAGGTAAGAACACTTCTCACTCCTTTATATCTTTTTTATTTATTCAGTGTATCATCTTGTTCCTGGCCAATCATACGCACAATTAGATCTTATGACAAAAATGCAAATATTTACAAGAAATGTGAAAAATGTGCAAATATATGAAAGAGAAAGTTATTATTGTGAACATGCACGTTGTAGGAATTTTTTTTAATGAGGAGAGGGGGGTTGTGTTTAAAAGTCCAATTGCTGATAAGAAGAAAGTGTTCTTGTGACATGAGATACAGGTTCTGATTAACTGTGGCCTCCAGCTGGAGGGGGGTAGCTCTAAAAGTTTAGGGTAGGAGGGGTCATCAGTAATGTCGCCGGTCCACTTCAAGGCCCTGGAGGTGTACAGGTCATGGGGAAAGCAGAACCCATCACTCGCTCCCTTTGCTTCTGCATATGCCAGCAGCAGTGTTGGGCGTTACTTCAAAACTGTAATGCATTATTTATTACTTGTTACCCTCATTTTAAAGTAATTCGTTACATTACAATATTACTGATTTAAAAATATAAGGCATTACACTACTTTTGCATTACTTTAAGTTACTTTAACCAAAACAACTTCAGTATGAATCTGGTCATGTGACGCTCAGTGAGCTCATGACATATATGTGGAAGGTGATGTGGTGTCTGAGCTAGGATTGCTGTTAAAACAGTCAGATATGATAACAGTGCTTTAAAATGATTGTTTATTAAATAAAAGCAACAACAATCTGTACTCTCAGCACGCTGCCATCTTATATTAACTGAGCAGGGAGTGAGGTGGTGGGGGCTCCAAGCCTATATTTGCCTTGGTCCCCAAATGCCTTGATACGGCCCTGGATGTGGGACTGACTTCTGGGGTGATCTGTTTCTATCACATGTATAAATATTAAATGCTTATATATTATTGCTTTTCACTGGTAAAAATGTGTATTGGGGATAAATCTACCTACTTTTCTCTTTTCAAGCTCTTTGTTTTGTTTTCTTGACTTTATTTGAATAATTTCCTGCCCTTTCTCTCTCTAACCTTCCTGCATGCTGCATGTTTTCTCCGTCTTCCAGAAAAACAGTTTCCTAGATTTCCTACTTTCTAACTACTCAGCCAAAGGGATCTACCGAACGCAAATAATAATAATAATAATAATAAATTAAAAGCTGAATATGCGTTGCGCTCCAGCAGCAATGAGTTGAAATCACCGGGGCACAGATTATGAACTCAGCTGAAAAGTACATGAAGTACCAGAGAATATGGGCTGATATAAACGATCGCAAACGAATGACTTTGTTTTGGTGGACCGATTTTGTGAATATAACAGCGGCCTCAGCTGGAGTATTTGAGCCATTACCGCTGTGTCCTCTCTGCTCATAGAATGCCTGCAAAGCTGAGTCCATAAACGACGTCCTGGATCTTTTGTCAGGCTTCCTGCAATTTGAATTTTTAGGAAACCCACATCTTGATTCTGGGTCTAAAAATGCATTGTAATTATCGCATTACTGACAAATATTACCAGTAAATATTACCATTTTCTTTCCCTGTAATGTCTTACATTACCACATTACAGCAAAAAGCAATGCATTACAGTAATTTATTACTTTAGTACCACGTTACTCCCAACACTGGCCAGCAGCATATGTGAGGGGGATGGGTTAAATCATGGATTAATAGAAAAAGACCATCTTTGGCTTTGGCAAGCTGAGCGTCGGTATGCATTAGTTAGTCCTGCAGGATGCAATATGAAAACCGTAGCAAAATAAAACGGCCTCAGACAAAATTTAATCCGAAGATGCTGTTTTAGCCTGCCTTTTCTCCTGATACGTACGTTCTCCTCGTAATCACAGATTACGTGAGATCAGCTCTCCAGGAAAACTGAATTCTTCAGATTTCAGTCCATTCCCTTTATTTATGTAGCTCCAGTGCACGATGTGGGCCTTGTTAGGGTGCTAAATTAATACAAAGATTCAATTCAATTATAACAAATCTTCATTTTATCCAGGGTGGTCATGTGGTGTGTTGTTCTGTTTGTTACTCAGGGCAGAAACCTGACAGTTGGCCAGGTGGGATGGTTCCCCTGCCAGAGAGTCCAACCCTACATCTCTGTAAGTACACCAACCGACACAAACAGGAAATTCAACCTATTGATGATGCTCTTTGAAAAAAAATCACGTTTATTTCATTTAAATTATATCTGATCTTTCTTTATCATTTCTTTACTGGTGATATTCAGCTCCATTGCTCTTTAGGACCCAGAAACAGAAAACCTAGTCACACTTGAAGCAACACCTTGACGCACAGTGCTCTTCTATCCAATCAAAACTCGGAAACCTCTGTGCTATCGTTCTCTGTGCTTCACCTTCAACAAACAGTTACAAATAGTGTATTGAAGTTGAAAAATCAAACTTCCGAATTTGGTGTCTAAATCCAAAACTCATGTTTTTATTTGATCTGATCTTGTCTGGGTTTGTCTCTGCTCGACCGACTCAGCCTAGAGCTCTGCTGCAGCAAAGGCAGAAAGAGCCCGTTACACCTGATTGATTCTCTCTACATCGGCTATCATTCATTTTAAAATGTTAGTCCTGACTTTTAAAGCCCCATAGCGTGTCGCTACAACCTTTAAGAACGCCACATCTCATCTCAGTCTCAGATCCCCTAGTCAAAGGCTGCTGGCCCATCCTCAGATTAAACGATGGCTCCCTGGATGTGGAATGCGTCCATCTTTATGTTGCCTTGACGATAAAACTCACTTAAATTTTTTTTTTTTTTTTGCTTTTATACCCTTTTGCTTTTATACTTTTATTGTGAAACACTGTGATTTTTATCCAATGAGGGGTACAACACTAATAAAATTGACTTGCTTACTCAGCACAGACTTTGATCAAACCTTTTTTTTATCACTTTCCTTTCCAGAGACCAGCCCCAGACCTGTCTGACTTCCTCTGGTGAGTGTGAACAGGAACTGAGCTAACTCACTTCGCCTTGTCGCAGCAAGCCATGCAGTGCAGTCTGGTTTCTTCCTGTATCGCAGTTATCAGCATAAAATCTGACTGGGAAACGTATCAGAGCTGGCATAGAAAGTACATTAATCATAGCCACAAAATCAGAAGCAGGTACTGGAAATGTGCTGATGCTTACGGAGACTCTGTTCATTTATTTATTAATTTTTTTCCGTGTCCTGTCTGGCTGTGAAGCAAACAGAATTAATGTCTGAATGCTGGTAACAAGCCTGACAGATTTTACTCTCAGGTGGAGCATCAAAGCATCTGCTTATAATGTCACGCCTTGTTATTGTTTTGTGAATGCTTTGTAATTTCGACCGGACACGGAGACAGAGGTGAAAGAGAAAGGAAGAGACAAAAGGTTGGGGGTGATGATAAACAAGAGTCTGCTTCTAGACCTGCTGAAACGGGACACACAACAATACAACAGGAGCAAACTATCACTGTGTCAAACTGATGAAGAAATGTATAATCAACATTGTTTTACTGAACAATCACACGATAATAAATCACAGTGCATTTAGTGCCAACCACGGCCTTAAGACATGTGTTGAACGTGTCCAAGTCCATACTTATGAGAGCATCATGTGAGCACCTGTGTGTGTACACGCGCTTGTATATGTAAGGTTTCTCTATAGGAGCGTCCAATAGAGTGTGAGGGGCCACAGATCTGCCCCCCAAAGATGCATAGGAGATGGAGGGAGCTACAAGTCCCAGAGATCCAGGAGCTGCCCCAGAGCGCAGGGACCCCAAGGAGACCGCAACCAGAAAAGCCCCTGCCCCCCTCGAGAGGCGCAGAGGATCGCCCTGGGGGCCACAACCAGCAGCTGGCAGGGTCCTGGGAGATATCAGCGGCAAGCCCACAGGCCCGCCCGCAGCCTACGACCCCCCAGCCGACCGAGCCCGGGACCCAGCAACCTGGGACCCAGAGGCAACCACCCCCACCGGGGACCCAGCAGACCCAGGGACCCAGATCCCACCAGGCAGCCACCAGGATTGATCAGGCAGATGCCAAAAATCTTAAACCCCCTGACCCGGGAGCCACGAATACTCAGGCAGACCAAGGCACCACACCCCACACCAGGTGTGGCAGGGGGAGGGGAGACGAAGATGTATAGCATCAAAAGAAGTCCCAGGAGAAGGGAGGAGTCAAAGGCCCCACCTGACATATACAGTCATACACAGGCAAAGTCACACACTCCCTCCCTCATGCTCACACTTACACATACAACCAAAGACTTACAAAAATGCACGCCAGACACCCACTCATGCTCCCCATACACACCCTATTCACTCTGGTCCCGGTACTGCTGCACATGGGGTACAACCATTACCGGTTCCCAGAATTCGACCCTTTCTGCTGGGGTGTTGATGAGCAGGCTCCCCCGTCCAACGCTGAGCAAAGCAACCCACCACCCCAGATCCCAACCAGACGGCCAGATCTCCCTCCTAGCCTCCAGCCCCGGGAAGCCAAGTGACAACAGAGGTGTGCTAAGACCCCTAGTTTCCCTCCACCTGCTCCAATATAGTGTTAGTGCGTGTTGATGATGTGTATTCCATGGCTGTGGTGAGCGGGCAATGCGGGCATTGTCTGGCCTACGCCAGCTGATGCCCGCACTGCCCCACTTGCACCCACAGCCCTCGGTGTCTAAGTGCAGTTTAAAATTGGAAGTGGGCACCGGCACTCAGGATGAGGCTGAAAGATCCCCCTGCCAAATGCCATTGGATGTGCTCACTCCCAAGGCCCTAAGTGTGTGTTTGCGTGGAATGCCGTTGGTGGAAGTGTTTAAGGTGCAAATAAAATTGGGGGGGCAGATTGCCACAGGAATTCGGAAATGGGGTCCATCCCCCTGACTTGTCTACCCCCCAAGGTCCTATGTGCATGATTGTGTGATGATGTGAGGGAGCAGGAGGAGAAAAATGTGTGGGGATGGGGAGGAATGGCTGGTTGGGCTTAAGCCCTCCAGGGAGCCAGCTCCCCCACTGGCCCCAATAGGCACCTCTGTTGCCAAAATGCCACCCAGGGCATGGAGATCCCAGCACATCTTGCAGCAGCATCACAGAGCCTCACGGAGTCCGAGGGCACCAACCCAGCCCCACCCCAGTAGAATATCTACTCCCATCCCTGGATTTGCACAACTTCCAGAATATACAGTGGGGCAAAAAAGTATTTAGTCAGCCACCGATTGTGCACGTTCTCCCACTTAAAATGATGAAAGAGGTCAGTAATTTACATCATAGGTACACTTCAACTGTGAGAGACAGAATGTGAAAAAAAATCCATGAATTCACATGGCTGGATTTTTTAAGAATTTATTTGTAAATCAGGGTGGAAAATAAGTATTTGGTCACTTCAAACAAGGAAAATCTCTTGCTCTCACAGACCTGTAACGTCTTCTTTAAGAAGCTTTTCTGTCCTCCACTCGTTACCTGTATTAATGGCACCTATTTGAACTTATTATCTGTATTAAAGACACCTGTCCACAGCCTCAAACAGTCAGACTCCAAACTCTACTATGGCCAAGACCAAAGAGCTTTCGAAGGACACCAGGAAAAGAATTGTAGACCTGCACCAGACTGGGAAGAGTGAATCTACAATAGGCAAGCAGCTTGGTGTGAAAAAATCAACTGTGGGAGCAATTATCAGAAAATGGAAGACATGCAAGACCACTGATAATCTCCCTCGATCTGGGGCTCCACGCAAGATCTCATCCCGTGGGGTCAAAATGATCATGAGAACGGTGAGCAAGAATCCCAGAACCACACGGGGGGGACCTGGTGAATGACCTGCAGCGAGCTGGGACCACAGTAACAAAGGTCACCATCAGTAACACACTACAACGGCAGGGAATCAAATCCTGCAGTGCCAGACGTGTTCCGCTGCTGAAGCCAGTGCATGTCCAGTAGTGGTGTGCATCTCCACCTGCCTCACGATTCGATCCGATTCCGATTATCTGCATAACGATTCGATTTGAGTCTGAAATGCATCACGATTCTTCACACAAAATTTTTCATTACTTAATAAAAGCAGTAGAATAGTTTTCAATTTATTTTTTATTTCGATATCCCTGAAATACAGAACATACATCTATTCACTATAGTGAGCAACAATTTTTAAAGTGTGCTGCCTATAATTACTTAAATAATATAATAAATAATGTTTTCTGTAGAGCAGCTTTAAGATAGAATACTGCTGAACTTAAAAATAGTAAACAAATACTGTGCAGAGAGCTGCTTTAACCAATCACAACAGGTGACAGCAGCCTGTACCGGTCGCTCGTGTACATCGAAGTTATCTTTCATAAGACGATAATCAATAAAACGATTTATATAAAGTGGATCCAGAAGTTGTAGCCCATCTCTGCCTACAATATTTTGATATTTTTCACCCTGTTGGTGGTTTTACTGAGCAGGTGCCACTTTTGTTATACGTTTCTTTTTAAAACATGTTTAGACTGTTCAGAATACAAATCCAGGCTCTGTCACGTTTAATTGTTGTAATTAAACTTTGTAGGTGGGGAAGGTCAGAAAAGGATCCGATCAATTTGTTTTTCCCTCATTTACAGTGACGGAGATAACGGCGCAGTGCGCCTGGCTCTGGTGTTAATCACGTTAAATTATATCTATTTGCAACAATTTTCACAAGAAAACAAAGCCGTTAAAAGCAGGGCTTGTGTTGACCGGACAGTTCCCGTATTTGACCATTTATTTTGACGGAGAAATAATTACCCCGACGCATGCAGACGAACTGACATTTCATTCGTTAAGCACATCGCAGATGTAGCTAAATCACTCAAGAAAAGATTCCCATCTGAACATCTGAGCTGGACACAGCTTAGACCGCTCGCTGTCAGCGCGTACGTACGGTCCACAGCGAGCTGAAGATGTGGAGAGGGGCGTCGCAGAACCAGAGCGCATGCGGGAAGATTCCTCCGACTGAAGCGAGTGTTTTCCAAACCCTGTCCCTCAGAGAGACTTGTCACTTAGAAAATGTTCCCTGATTATGAAACTTTGGCTGAATAGTGCTTGTTCCTGTCTCCAATGTGGCGACACATCCACGAGCCATCTGAGGAGAAGCCCAGAATCTGACATCCTCTTCAGCTCAGAATGCGCACAAGCATGATGCGTCAACCCGGTCTCACAGTAAGACCGGGATGGACCTGTTCAGGTTTACGCAGACAATCTTTACATTTAGAATTGGCACACAGATGTAAAATTAATGCAGTAAAATATAAAGTTTTTTTTAAATATCCATTCATTATTTTACAAGCACAGAGAGCCGCATCAGATGGATGGAAGAGCCGCATGCGCTCCAGAGCCACGGGTTGCCGACCCCTGCGCTAGGGCAACGCAATGCACATGTCATTGCAACTCTGCCCCTGGAAGTAGTTGTAAAACCTCAAAACTTGATTTTCCTCACGCGTCCAGAACATAGACATAGTGAGAATCTCATAATGTCACGTTGCTGCATCGATGCAGAATCATGCACGGCTGAATCGCGATGCATCTTAGAATCGATCATTTTTCCCACCTCTGTCCAGGCCCGTCTGAAGTTTGCCAGAGAGCACAAGGATGATACAGCAGAGGATTGGGAGAATGTCATGTGGTCAGATGAAACCAAAGTAGAACTTTTTGGTATAAACTCAACTTGTCGTGTTTGGGGGAAGAAGAATACTGAGTTGCATCCCAAGAACGCCATACCTACTGTGAAGCATGGGGGTGGGAACATCATGCTTTGGGGCTGTTTTTCTGCTAAGGGGACAGGACGACTGATCGGTGTTAAGGACAGAATGAATGGGGCCATGTATTGTGAGATTCTGAGCCAAAACCTCCTTCCATCAGTGAGAGCTTTGAAGATGAAACGTGGCTGGGTCTTCCAACACAACAATGACCCCAAACACACCGCCTGGGCAACAAAGGAGTGGCTCCATAAGAAGCATTTGAAAGTCCTGGAGTGGCCTAGCCAGTCTCCAGACCTCAACCCCATAGAAAATCTGTGGAGGGAGTTGAAAGTCCGTGTTGCTCGGCGACAGCCCCAAAACATCACTGCTCTCGAGAAGATCTGCATGGAGGAATGGGCCAAAATACCAGCTGCTGTGTGTGCAAACCTGGTAAAGACCTATAGTAATCGTTTGACCTCTGTTATTGCCAACAAAGGTTATGTTACAAAGTATTGAGTTGAATTTTTGTTATTGACCAGATACTTATTTTCCACCCTGATTTACAAATAAATTCTTTAAAAATCCTGCCATGTGAATTCATGGATTTTTTTTCACATTCTGTCTGTCACAGTTGAAGTGTACCTATGATGTAAATTACTGACCTCTGTCATCATTTTAAGTGGGAGAACTTGCACAATCGGTGGCTGATTAAATACATTTTTGCCCCACTGTATAAGACATAGGACAACCAGTAAGGTTGTGTTCTTCCCCTCCTGGACATCTCCCTCCCCTGTGATGGAAAAGCAGAAAAGTCAAGGTCTACCCAAGGCCCCTGAGCCCGGGCCAGGCACTGCCGCATGTTCCTGCCTTCTTCCCGGCAGCATACATGTCAGGACCCGGCCCCCAAGGCCCCGCCCAGATCCCCACATGGGGCGACCACCCCCACACCCGAGCCCCCAGGCCCCCACCCAGACCCGCTCAGGGGCAATGCAGCTGCCAGGCAGCGACCCATGGCCACCGCCAAGACCCCCAAGGGGCTCCATTCACAAGGACTCTGTTCTACTGTTCCGATAGGATAAAACTCCTAAAATTACTAGTAAATAAAAAACATATCGGTCGTGTCCTTTTCAGTCCAACGTTTCAGATGACGTGTTTTATTTAGAAGAACTGAACAATTTGTGAGAAATATATCCATCCATCCATTTTCGGCCGCTTATTCAGGGTCGGCCCAGACTTCCCTCTCTCCAGCCACTTGGGCCAGCTCCTCCAGGGGAATCCTAAGGTGTTCCCTGGCCAGCCATGAGACATAAAACTGTACAAAATCTGATGTTTAGAGTTTTAGTTTAGGGGTTTTTGTGCAGAGGCTATGATTGATGAGACAGAGGTTAAAATAGAGATGTAAACCCAAGATAAATAAATAAAAAGCGATATGCTTGAACATTTCTGTAAAGATTTTAAGTTCACTACGTACACAAAAACTGTCTCCAGGTTTGCGGGAAACATGGATCGCACCGCTGCCAAAAACCTGTTAATGTCGCGGTCTGATGGGACCTTCCTGGTACGGCAGAAGGATGCAGGAGAATTTGCAATCAGCATCAAGTAGGATTCTTTCACCACTTTATTATTTATCTGTTGATTGAAGATCTGTTAAGATTTTTCTATCTGGTAACAAATATTTATACTAAAAAAATCAGAAGTCTAGAGCACTCCAGCGAGCCAAGGTTTATTAGGTGTGAGATTAAAAAAAGGAAACTATTATACAATTATGATGGGTCACTCCGGGTTTTTCATGCAAGCAGAACATGAAAATAGTCTCCTACAGCCATCTCATGCATTAGCTTCTGATAGAGAATAAACGATGAAACGTTAGGATTTGAAAATCCTGACACCGTGACATCACTGTCACCTAACATTCAAAGACTGACCCAACTTGTTGTTTTAGTGTCTAGGAAACAGCAGAGATCGTCTTGGCTAGTAGAAGCTAACTTGCCTCACTGCCACCTAGGACTGACTGATTGGTGTTTGAGGTTAGCCTCAAGGGCAACCTGCTGGCTTCATTATCACTTATAAGTCGCTTTGGACAAAATCGGCTGCTAAACACATAAACATAACTGATAGCATTAGCAACTTCATTGCACAGCAGAACTCCTTCAGGCTTGAGTTGTTTGTGTAGATGAAACATCAACGTTGCAGAACAAACTCAGTTAGTGGTAGAGTCATGTTGCTGTTAGCCAATCAGAATCCAAATATCACGAATTATGAGTCCAAATCTGGTCATCTAAAGCAGTGGTTCTTAACCTGGGGGTCCCGACCCCCACAAGGGGGCGTCAAAGCTAATCAGTGGGTCGCCAGGACCTCTCCACTTTAAGGGGTTAAAACTTCATTTATTACTTGTTTATAGCCTACATTTTGCTCACTTTTTTTCACGAGTGAGAAGTTTACTGATATTAAGACAGGAAATAATTAGTACAGAAAGAGTAACACACTTTTAAGAACATTTTGCTCAGCTCACTGTTTTATTTTCAAGTGTCAAAAGTTCATTAAAGATAGGACTGGTTGATTAATCACAGCGTTTACAGTAAATAATCTAGTATAAACAGTAATATACACATTTAAGTACATTTTGCTCAGTGTATTTTTTATGTGTCAAATGTTTATTGAAAGGAATGATTGATTTATCGGTGTTTACAAGAAACAATGTGTTCAGAAAAGTAATGCAAACTGTTAAGCACATAATGCTCCGTTTGGTTTTGTTAATGACTTTGTTCTGTACTGGAGCCTACTATTACTGTTATCTATTGAAATAAAGCATATTAAAATGTGCTTGAACAATTTTATCATTTCTTAATTATGTTTGTACTGGAAGAGAGAATGGGAGGGGGTCTTCAAAAGTTTTACTGGTAAATAAGGGGTCCCTTGGGAAAAAGGTTGGGAACCACTGATCTAAAGCTACTTTCCCCTCCGGCTGACTTCATGCTGAAACAGCCGATCCAGAGCTTCTTTCCCCAGAGTACGACTTGCAAGCTGTTCATTCCTACTAAAGTCCACTGCAGATGTTTTAAAAATATGAGTGAAGGACCTCCTATTGTTTATATTTTTTGACTAATTATGAAATGAATTGCTAATTGCTGCTATTTTGTTACAAAGATGAGTAGAAACCTTCAAGTTTGAAGAAAGATCAAATAGCTCCAGATGAACAGATAAATATCGGACAGTTTAATTATCATAAACTGCTTTAGAACGGCTCTGGTGATCGCTGTTAGCTTGACACTTGGATCAAAGATCATTTATATTTCTCCAAACTGAGGTTGTTTAAAGAACTATGCACAACAACCCAACCATGATGGCAACCCAAATCTGACCCACCATTTAAAATATTGTTTTGTTACACATTTAGCGATAAATCAAAATGATTCTGAGAAGCACGGAGAGCTTCCACTGAAAGTATTCTGTATTGTATTTAAAATATTTGACTTTCCCCTGGATGAGGGGAAATACACGTTTAATAATAAACACCACACGCTTTGTTTGTGAATCAGTGACATGCAAAAACAGCTCACGTTTGCACAAGTCATGAACTGGATCCAAACAATGTACCCTTCATCTGCCATCGGTAATATTAGAGCCAAATGACCACGAACCACTCTAGAGAATAAAGACCCATAAATCAAGATATCTTCTTATCAGACTTTAAATCTAAAAGGGCATTATTTTCTCCATTTGTAAAACTAAAAAGCTGCTTAAACTCATTTTTCACTTCCGTGAATATTCCCTCTGCATCCCACAGGTTCAACATGGACATCAAACACATTAAGATCACCTGTATTGAGGGCCTGTATCGCATTAACGACAAAAAGGCCTTCAAGAGTTTGATCGTGAGTCAAACGCCCATCTGAAATAACCTCACACGTCTCATCGTCACTTACTGCTCATGCCCTTGTTTCAGGAGATGATTGAGTTTTACCAGCAGAACTCTTTAAAGGAGTACTTCAGGGACGTGGACACCACGCTGCACACACCTTACAAACAACCAGAGCAAAGCAACTCCTCTAACAACACACCAAACACCACACCAGGTACAGAAAATGCATTTGTTTTTGGTCTTTTTGACACAGCTGTCACTTTGTAGAATCCTGCTTAACACGAGGCGGAGAAATCTTACTTTTTCTTTTGGATTTTCTAAAATGTAATTTAAGCCTAGAAGACAGAACCCCAGTAAGCTCCTCACTGTGACTCCACGTGCAACACGCAGTCGTCAAACTCCGAATCCCAAAATTGTCCCAACTTTTCTTTAAAGCTGCATGTGGGCCTGTGTCACAGGGGGCAGCATAAAGAGCTTCGGTGTTGCGAGAGCCAGGTACGACTACTCAGCCAGGGACCGCACAGAGCTCTCACTGAGGGAGGGGGACACGATCAAGATCCTCTCCAAGAAGGGTCACAGCGGCTGGTGGAGAGGAGAAGTTTACGGACGGGTGAGAAGAACCAAACATTAGCACAACATGACGTGAATAATAAATTTTCATGGGCCTTGTCTGAAACGCACCTGCTTTGTGTTTACAGGTGGGGTTGTTTCCATCCAACTACGTGGATGAGGATTTCTCAGATTACTGCTGACGAGCTCCTACTCGTCAACTCAGTCTCTGTGTGAAAGGGCCTGAGTGCATTAAGGCATAAATGCATGCATGTGTGATTGTGTGTGTGTTGGACTGGTAGTGAATGCCCAGTGATGTGAATAAATCTTTATTCAGCTGACTCATCCTGTCTAGTTTATTGAAAACAAACAAAAAGTTGACTGTTGTGGGGATTACCAGATTTATTTAAAAAATACCAAAAACAAAATAGTAATTCAAGAACATCTTTCACACGATAATTCCAGGTTCCACGTAGAACTTAGTAAAATCAGTATGTGTCGTGCTCAGGAGATGGTGTAATGTGACCCACATGGTTCCCTGTAGCAGACTTAATCTGTGTGTGTGTGTGTGTGTGTGTGTGTGTGTGTGCGTGCGTGCGTGCGTGCGTGTGTGTGCGTGCGTGTGTAAGCATCTTCTCCTTCTGCTCCTCTATTGGTAGTACAACTCCAGGTTCATCCCATCATGGATCTCATCTGAAGAGACGTGGTTAAGAACAAAAGTTTATGTAATTATAACAGTAACTGTTTATGATGGTTAAACACATCAACACGCTCCTTGCTGCCCAATAACACTGTAAAACCTGTTCTAAATGTAAAACCTGTTCTAAATGACTCCGTAGGGTTACAGTAGAAACTAATCGGGTCAAAATGCTAAGTTAAAGTCCCATTAGTTGTCACACACATTGATGTGTGTGTGAAATTTGTTCTCTGCATTTGACCCATCCCGTGGGGGAGCGGTGAGCTGCAGACACAGCCATGCTCGGGAACCATTTGGTGGTTTAACCCCCCAATCCAACCCCTTAATGCTGAGTGTCAAGCAGGGAGGCATTGGGTCCCATTTTTTCCAAAATCTTTGGCATGTCCCGACCGGGAATCGAACTCTGATCTCCCAGTCTCAGGCGGACACTCCACCACTAGGCCACTGAGCTGGTAAATTTAGCCTATGCTAGTCCTTTACACTATACTGCACAAACACCACAACAGTGAATGACCTGCCTGGTTACCCAACATATGGTATTCTTCTAATAGAATTTATTTGGTAAAGAAAACACACCTGGAAATACAGTAACCACTGGTTTCTTCTGGTGTATCTAGTCAATACAATTTTTCTATTTTTTAATGCAAATTCAATGCATACACATTTTAACAAGCTGATAGGACCACTGTGGCATTTTACCCGCCAGTGCATCTCTAATCTGTGTCAGGACAGTCTGGACATCATGTAGATGCTGTATCAACAGGGAATGCCCATCTTTACTACGAGTTATATAAAACTGACAAGATTTTTTTTATATGTCAAGCAGCAACAAAGACTTGAAATGACATCATTAAGAAATTGACTTAAATATGTTGAACTCTATTCTTAAATTAACCAAAATGAGAACAAATGTTTTTGTTTCTTTTTGTATATGATGTACTTTTATTCTGACAATAAAAAAAACCTTCATGGTCCCAGTAGATCATTCTTGTTTAAAGGTGATGCCTCCTCTTATCAGTGTACTGATGTAACTCCATTTAAATGATGTCACTTATAAGCACCAATTAATCAATATTTATCTATAAACAAGTTGTGGATTTTCTCTCTGTAGTTTCTGGAGGTTTTTAACACCGTGTGAACTTGACATATGCAGAAGGAAACAGGTGACTCAGCATGTTTAGGAAACATAACCAGATCCCCAAAAGTGCAGAAATGTGTAGGATACAGTCACCAAGAGTCACGTGGTCCTTGAATATGGTATACCTGTGAAAACAAATTAATTTTCATTAACAGAAATATGCAAAACAAAAATATATTAAGAATAATTTCCAGACAGGTATCTTACCACTTCTTTAACACAATCTTGTCATGTCGCGTTCCAGTCTGAGCAGCGATGAGCTTCTTCAGATCTCCAATGGTATCTTCTGAGCTGAATTTGGGATTTAAGGAGCCATGCAAAAGTGCAGAAAACATTCAAAAATACTCAAGATGTGCTTTAGTGACCTATTGGATTCCAGTTAAACACACATGGTGGGTTTGCTCAGATGTCAGAGATTCAATAATCAAATATGATCATTACTCCACTTTCAGGTTAATCTGAATCTAATTCTGAGCAATTCAACAGGGATTTCAGCATTTCTCTACTGCTTACACTTAGGAAAAATAATGTGTAACTGAAGTGATAAATGAACTGGAACGATTCACTGGAATCTAGGGGACAAATTCATTCGTTTTCCTGTGTGTGGGGTAAAAGATATCCAAATAGACTTAAGGGATTGGTTCCCTTATGGCGGTTTCAGGTGGACTCATCCGGTTAATTCATATAAAGAATTATCTTTATTTATATTAAATAAAAAAAAAGTCATCGCACTGTTGTTATGGGTCCAAGGAAGGATACTTGCATTTGACTCGAACCTTCTTGCCCAGGCGATCGTTACAAACCACCTCAATCATTTTGCTTCTGTCAGAAATAAGATGAGACGAGATTGACTCAATGTCTGACAATAAACAATAACTCACACAATAAGAAAGCACGATGTGTCAACACAAACAACGTTTGTTTGGCTAAAAACAGTGTACACGCTATCAACACCCCTCGTGCTGTTATTCGACAAATCAAAGCACATGCATTACCTTAAATTCATTAAAAACATTTATATAAACGTTAAATTACACAAAATAATTTTCCTATGCGTCTTACATACCCAGAAAACTATAGAAGATCAAGAAGTATTCTTTCCTTGCTGATATTTTCTGGAACGCTCTCGAGACACGACTAGCCGTAAAGTACGTTTGGCCATGTGATCATCCTCTAAACCAATCAAATAAACCAACAAATGACTGGCATGCTTGTAGGCATGAGAAGAGAGGGCGGACTGTACACCGAAAACAACGTGTGCCGTAAACAATCGACAACTGTCGCATAGATTAGCCCAAACGCCTCTCTGTTGCATCGTTGAGGCATTGAATTGTAATTGGAAGCTCTGCTGCAGAAAACTAATATGTCAGAGGAGGAGGATTTACCGACTGGATGGGAGAAGAGAATGAGCCGTAGTTCAGGTATTCAAACATAAACTGCTGAAGGAAAAAAGAGCTTTTCGTCTTTATAAATGGTGTGTTGTAAACTTAGCCTACTTGCTAGCAGCGTGTGCATTGTGGTGTGGAAAGAAACAGTTATGGGAAATTTGAAATAAGTTTTTCTAATTAGCGATGCGCGGATTCGTGCAGAACGTCGTTTTCTTACTTGCAGCTTGTGACTGTTGTGTAGTGGTGTCGTTTCGTGTTTGCTAAATGCTAATTCATTCAGTTCGGCTGCAGGGCCTTGCATTACGTCACCCCGCCCAGATGCCTTACGTGCAAAACAGCGCGAGACACAACAACTATGAAACAAGGTCTTATAACTCTGCTCCCTAAGACAGACAAAGATCCTTTAAAAATAGAAAATTGGAGACCTATCTCACTTTTAAATGTTGATTACAAAATTTTATCTTTGGTGTATGCGAAAAGACTAAAAAGGATTTAGGTGAGATAATAAGTGAAAACCAGAACGGATTTCTTCCCAAACGTCACATTAGCTCTAATATTAGACTAGTGTTGGATCTAATCGATTATTCACATTTTATAAACTCAAATGCTTTGATGATTTTCCTTGACTTTTATAAGGCATTTGATTCGATTGAACACACCTTCATTTTACAAACACTTCAAATGTTAGGGTTCGGAGAGTCGTTTATTAGTGTTATTGAAATGCTTTATAAAGATATAAACAGCTCAATAATTTTATATCCACAGATGTCTGGGAGGTTTCCAATATTAAGAGGTGTACGACAGGGCTGCCCAATGTCTTGCTTTTTGTTTCTGATTGCCGCTGAACTGTTGTTTTTAAATATTTCACACAATCCAAATATTCATGGTTTAGAAATTTTTAATAAAGAAGTTAAGATGTCCCAATTGGCAGATGACACAGTCTTGTTTCTTAGAGATAAATCACAGATACCAAATGCTCTACATGCAATACGAGAATTTTCAGAAGCTTCAGGACTGAAGCTAAATGTTATAAAAGTGAAATTTTATGTTTGTATGAAACCAATGACCAATATATGTTCAATATTCCCATCAAACAAACTGTTAGATATTTAGGAATTCACATAATAAAAGACAAAATGATGAGACAAACATTAAATCTGCAATCAAGGATTAAAAAAACTCATTTGATTCTTAATATGTGGCTGCAAAGGGACCTCTCTATTTTTGGCGGGGTGTTGTTAACAAAAGCGGAAGGCATATCAAGGTTAGTATATCCCACCCTCTCCCTTCATGTTAATGATGCAACTTGTAAAGAAATTAACAGTTTATTTGTAAACTTTGTCTGGAAGAACAGGTATCATCATCTAAAAAAAGACATACTCTATCTGGAAAGAGCAAGGGGGAACTTAGAACTCTTAAATTTTTTCCACTTAAACAACACCTTTAAAGTCAAATGGATTAAAAAATGTCTAGAAATGCCAGAATCTTTATGGAATTTTATTCCACACAACCTATTTAAAATGGTAGGGGGTTTAAATTTTCTGTTACGTTGCAACTTTATTATTTCTAAATTACCAGTGAAACTTTCAATGTTTCACCAGCAGGCTTTACGTGCGTGGAAATTATGCCATACACATAATTTCTCCCCACACAAAGAAATATTATGGAATAATGGTAATATTACCATAAACAACAAAAGCTTATACAAAATGAATTGGGTTGAGAAAGGCATCATTTTTGCCGCGGATTTATTTGATGATAACGGAAGCCTTTATACCTATGAAAACTTTTTGAAAACTAAGGACTTTCCAGTGAAATACAGAGAATTTGCCTCGGTCATGAGAGCCATTTCTTCAGGCATAGTTGAGTTAATGAGAGCACACTTTGTTTATCAGATTTAGTTTGCAGATGCCATCTCTAAAAGTTGGGGGTATTGATTTATTAGACAAGAAATGTTCAAATCAGCATATAAGGAAGGTTTTATGTTGTTCTGATACAGTGGCACCCAAAGGAACGTTTTTCTGGAACACACAGTTTGATATAAATTGGAAGAAAGCATGGATGGTTCACTTTCAATACTGTATTTCAAACAAGATATGGGAACTTAATTTCAAAATTTTACACAATATTTATCCATGTAACAAAAAATTATCATTGTTCAAGGATCTGGATGAGAAATGTACCTTTTGTCATACTGGTTCAGAGACTATCATACACTTATTTTATAATTGTCCTCTCTCATCTGGATTTTGGAAAGATATGGAAAATTTCATTATGATTAAATCCAAACACACTATCCAAATCAGATCTAAGGATGTTATTATCAAGTTTGAATGTAATGATAAAAGGTTAAGTTTTATAATTAATTTAATGCTTCTTTTAGGGAAATTTCATATACATAAAGCGAGGGTCTCCAAATCTCTCCCTAACTTTTGCGTTTTCTTAAATGACTTCCATTCATATGTTAACACCATAAAGTTAATTGTAAATAAGAAGGCAGAACTCACTTTAATAAGTCTTTAATGTTTATTTCTGATTGACCCTGTATAACAAAAACAATCACAAAATGTACCTTTTGGAAGGTTGTATTATCTGTTATGTGCCTCTTGTTGATTAATGAGCTGATGTCTGTTCGTGTGTATATTTGATGTATGTTTGTTAGTGTGACTATGTATTTGTGACAAAAACAAATAAAGTTTGTTAAAAAAAAACAGCGCGAGACTCAGAAGAGACCAGAGACGCTCCTTTCTGCTGGGAGCACACGTGACCACAAAGTCAACACTTCATAGGAATGCTTGAAATAATTTGAAAGGCTTGAATCGCATTTGGCACTTTTGAGATTTTAATTCATTTCATTTTTAAAAAGTGTTGAAACTAGCTGAAAATAGTGAAATCACAATGGCATTTTAGATCATTTTGAGCAATTTATGTATGTTTTTAATTCTGGCAAAGGCACAAGTCTCCTGCATAGATAGTAAACGTTCATGTCAATAATAGAAACAAAAAAATGTTCAAATGTGAGAAAGAAGCTGTTGTTTTCCCACTCGTTTACTTATTTATTTGTTTATTTTGGCATCCTCTGTCTTAATCTGGATTTACAGCTGGATCTCAAAGGTTCAGTCAGCATGCAGAAAATAGAAATGTACAATATAGTTAAAGGAAGAAAGAAGGAACAATATTTTATTCAGCACCTCTCAAGATAAAAATAAGAAGGCTCTTCATTTGGACAAAAATGTTTTTTTTAAATATCGTAAAATATGATCACCTCAAGGTTGGACTACTCCAATGCAATTCTGTTTGGCATTTCAAAAGCCGCATTATCTCGCCTTCAGCTGATACAAAATGCGACAGCAAGATTTCTGACCAATACTGGCCGTCGGCAGCACATCACTCCCATTTTAGCAAGACTTCACTGGCTTCCTGTGCACTACCGTATACGTTTTAAAATTTTATTGTTTGTTTTTAAGGCACTGAATGGCTTAGCACCACCCTACATATCCGAGTTACTCACTCCTTATGTGCCAGGCAGGACTCTCCGTTCAGGTGACCTACACCTATTAAAGATTCCCCGTCAACGCTGCAAAACCCGTGGTGAACGAGCTTTTTCTGTCTGCGCTCCAAAACTCTGGAATGATCTCCCGCTGCATATCAGACTCTCCTCCTCCATTGGGGTTTTTAAGTCTCACTTAAAGACTTACTTTTATTCTCTTGCTTTTACTACCTAGCTATTTTATCGATGGTTTATTTACACTGTTCTTTTACTGATTTTATTGACTTCTCATTGTTGGTTCTTTGTGTTTTGCTCTAGTTGTTTTATTCTTTTATATTATTCTTTTAACCTTATATGTTTTTACCCCTGTACAGCACTTTGGTCAGCTCACATGCTGTTTTTAAATGTGCTTTATCAAATAAATGGAATGGAATGGAATGGAATGATCAAAGTAAAAGTTGCGATTAAAAATGTGGAGGAAAGGGAACAAGAAACCGAATAAAAAAAAATAGATAGTTAGTGGATCCCAGGGGAAATGCAGTATGGCTGCAAGAGCAGAATGGAGAAGGAAGTGATGAAAAAGAGAAGAAACAAAATAAAATTTTATGCACAGATTAAAACTTTGCTTATTTTTATATTTTCTCTGTGGTCTTGATGTCAAGTTGTTGTTTTTGTTGTTGTTAGCCTCAAGGGCAACATGCCGATTATCACTTGTAAGTCGCTTTGGACAAAAGCGTCTGCTAAATACATAAACATAAAGTATTTTGCATTTTTCTCTTTACAAAATTGTTTATTAATGGTTTAAGTGAGCAATAACTATTCATTTTTGTCTTTTCTTGTAACCTTTGTAATAAAAATATAGATGCACGTTGAAATTTAAACATTTATGGGGTTTTTTCTCTTGCAGGCAAGGTTTACTACTTTAATCACATCACCAATGCCAGCCAGTGGGAACGTCCAGTGGGAGACGGCCGTGGAGAGCCAGATAAGGTGTTGCAATAACAACAACAATAAACTTTAATTACACAAGTTGGATTTTTTTTCTACTATTTAACAGGAAATGTGACATTTAAAATAAACTTGGCAAAAACAAAACATAAGGAAATTTGTTTTCAGTTGAATACTTCCAAGTTTGTGTTGCTGGTTTAAAGTACCCATCAAAGAGACTGATATGGAGGATCTGTTTTATTCAACAGTTTAGAAAATGCTGAAGTATGTTTTCTGTGACTGAATATGAAATAATCCTGATTAGTTGAATCAGTTTGGCTGCACAATGAGTACGTTTACATGCAGCCAATATCCGGGTTATGATCGGGTTAAGGTCGGCATTCGGGTTTCTGAGTTGTTCAGAATAACCCGTTTACAAGCACGAGTTACCCCTAACTTGCATAACCCGATGTAAATGCGGACGTTGGGGCAGCGTCAGGACGTGTGGACTACGTCCAGATGCAATATGCATCATTTCCGGTTCTTCTTGTTCTGGTATCCGTGAAAACAACAAAATTTTTCCCAGTTCGGAAGAGATAGCGACCGTGTTTGTTTGCGCTTTAGTTTCCTCGTCACTCAAAGTGTGGTGCTGTGCCACGACTCGCCATGTTGCTCCCAACTTGTTTACTTCTGGTGTTCTGGCGCATACAAGACGTCTCGCTACTCAAAAGACCAAGATTCCTTGCGAACAGAGCATGCGCAGAACACACGCTTTGATGGGGATATCCCGGTATGCATTTACACGACCAAACATTCGGGTTAGAAAAGGGTTACCCCAGGTGTAGTAACCGGGTTTTTAAAAACCCGGTTATGAGCATATCCGGGTTTCTGGTGGTGTTTACAAGGACCTGCGGAACCGGGTTATTGTGAATATTCGGGTTTTAAAAGGGTTACTGGCTGCATGTAAACGCACTGAATAACTGACTTTGACAAGACAGGCTGTTTATGGAAAAATGATGCATAAACTTTTCAGTCATCTTCTATAACTGCTTCTTTCAAAATGCTTTTGATTTCATGTGTTCAGTGCTTAATGCTTAGTATGAAAAATAAAATGGATCCTTAATGGGTCAGGTGATTGATGATTAGCTCTTTCGATGAAAGTTCTCGGCCATTTTTGTGTTTTTCTTACAGGTCCGCTGCTCTCACCTCCTGGTGAAACATAATCAGTCGCGTCGTCCATCTTCTTGGCGGGAACAAAATATTACACGAACTAAAGATGAGGCCTTGGAGTTCATTCAGAGTAAGTTAGACCAAGCAGAAGAGGAACGGAGGTGTCACTCTGCAGAAGTCTGATCGTTTCATGTCCTTTTTTCCTGCTCAGAGTACATAGAACAGATCAAGTCTGGACATGAATCGTTTGAGTCCTTAGCTTCACAGTTCAGCGACTGCAGCTCAGCCAAGAACGGTGGTGATCTCGGACTGTTTGGCAGAGGTATTAAAACATCACGATCTGGGTCGGACTATTCAGTTTAGTTCTCTGTTTAGATTTGTAGCCATTCGGATCAGTTGGACTTTGTTCCCAGGATAAATGTTTGTGTAGATTTTTATTATTTTTTTAAACATCGAGTGTGTGTGAGAGCAAGGGACAGGTTCAACACTTAACTTGGTTATTTACTAAAACCAACACCTTCTCCCGGTGTTATAGTTTTGCTTTTAACTGTAATACCCCAAAAAGTTTTCCTCTAATAAGTCTGAAGTAACAATAAAATCAAAGTGAAGATTTTTCTGAAAGTCTTAATATAACTGTCTGTAGATGAAAGAAACTGGTTTATAGAGACCAAGATGTTTTGGAAGTCTTATTTGTTTCAGATTGTAAACTTAAAATAATCAGAAAACACAGCTTTTTGTGTGGAAAAATAAAAACTCATTTATAACAAGTAAAAGGGAACGAGACACCAAATGCAACGGCAGGCAGAAACTATCAAATGTTTTATTTTTTCTGTAGAACCCTGGCGGGTGTGTGAATGTTGATCAAATTTGTATTAATTAGTGGTCTGTTGATATTTACACACTGAAAGGGCCTGCATCATGCTATGTTACACCTTCCAGAGCAAAGATAGATGACAAAATTGGCACAATTGAGATGCCTTATTTTTTTTTTATTAAATATGTTATTTTTATGAGCCAAGCTAAGACACTTGGATTTGATGAAACTACACCTCTCCCCATATAAATTCCACAATAGTGCACAGCTACAGACCCAGAGGCCAAGTCCCACCCAACCCCCGGATAATCCTGGGTTAAGCCGGGCGTACACTGTGCGACTTTTTCACTCGTAGCACTCAGCTTCAGCTCAAACTGTACGACTTCCTCACAGGGCAGAGCTCACGTGTCATGCGCTCACACTGCACGACCCAGTTCTCGGATGCGACCTGACTGCTCACACTGTACATCTGGTAGCAACACATCGGACCCAAAAATATGCTAAAAATAGCAGTTTTTACTCAACACGTCAGACGTTTTTGTCTTGCCTGTTGTCCTTCGGGAGTGCTGCAGGAGGACACACGGATTTATGGGGGTTGGATGAGGAAAACGAAATAAAGAAAGTAAATCTGTGTTTTGTGATCAGTTTAATTTGACATGAACACGACAAACACGCTTTCTTGACATTCTTTGTGAGTAAAAAACGTGTAGAAATAAAAACGAACGTGTGTTATTAGGGAAATAGCGGGCGAGCGGTGTTGATGCAGGACTGCGCATGCGCCGTGAGCGGTTCTGATACTTTTTGGGTCGCAGCGGCTCGCAGCGCCGCTTCGACAGTGCGGATACCCTCACGAGGGACGAGCAAAATATTAAACACGCCAGAAGTTTGTGCGAGCTCACGATTGCTGATCGGTAGCTGGTCACGTGGTGTTAATCCTCTCTCGTAACCCCCTGTACACTACACGACGCTCGGCGCAAAACTCGCCCCGATCTCGTGGATTCTCGCACGAGTGGAAAATCGGCTCAAAAAAGTGAAAAGGTCGCACAGTGTACACCCGGCTTTAGAGGATCTCACACACACACACACACACCACTCAAATGGAGTAAATGCAGCTAGAGTGAATCAGTCCTGGTTTACAACCATTCAGCTAGCGTTTAGCATTTTAGATGTACTCACCGTTCTGGCCTATCCATCGGGTGTTTTTAATGTTGGATCAGTACCAGTTTGAATAAGTAATCCGTCTGAAAACCCACTCTGGTACTGGCGGTGGTTCAACAAGCAGTCTGAGAAATCACACTCGCATTCTCGCTCAGGTTTGAAGAGCTCCTAATGTAAAATCCAACAATTTCTGCTGAATAAACTCTTCTTCAGGAACAGTGGATGGGGACCCTGTTACCTCGCAGACACAGATCCATCTGGGGTTCTAGGCATTATTTAAAGTGCAGACTAGATAAGAAAGAAATCACTTCTTTACAACTGTGGAGATTAAACTCCCTGTTCGGTACATGGAGAGACTGGGCTTTAGTGTTTAAAGTCCAGGGCAGGAGGAATCCAGACTCGAGACTCCCTGGATGGGGAGCTTGCCATGATGATGCATCAACGACCCATGCAGCTGAATGAATTAGCTTAGCAAAATGTGCAGAGCTGAAGGAAAGAAGCAGCTGAGTCAGGAAAATGCACGTGTGAAGCCAAAAAACACTTTGGGGGTATAGGAAAAAGAGGTCTGAGGCACTCAGGTATGGCAAGCCAAATGAGCATTTATTCTGATATCAGGATATCAGCCAGAATTGTCATGAACATGTAAGCCATTTCTGTCCACTAGTTAACTAGTTAGACATGTTTGTGTCAACTAGTTAAATATCGAGGGTGAAAATGTGCCCATTAGTTAACTAGTGACAGCAGAAATGCGCACTAGTTAACTAGTGAACACATTTAGGCTTCAGTAGTTAACTAGTTGACACAAAAACTGCTCACTAGTTAACTAGTAAAAGCAGAAATGCATAGCAGTCAGCTACTTGAAGGTATTTGTCTCACTAGTTAACTAGTGAGGGTCAAAATGTGCACACTAGTTAACTTGTGGTAGAGATAAATGCGCACTAGTTAACTAGTGAACATATTTTGGCTTCACTAGTTAACTAGTTGACACATAAATGGCTCACTAGTTAACTAGTAAAGACCAAAATGCATACCAGTCAGCTAGTTGAAGGTTTTTGTGTCTCACTAGTTAACTAGTGATGGCCAAAATGTGCACACTAGTTAACTTGTGGTAGACATAAATGTGCACTAGTTAACTAGTGAACACATTTTGGCTTCACTAGTTAACTAGTTGTCACATAAATGGCTCACTAGTTAACTAGTAAAGGCCAAAGTGCATACCAGTCAGCTAGTTGAAGGTTTTTTGTGTCTCACTAGTTAACTATTGATGGCCAAAATGTGCACACTAGTTAACTAGTGAAGGCTTAACTCCTAACTAGTTAACTAGTTGGAGTAGGTCAGTGCCACTAGTTAACTAGTGAACCATTAATGGCTCACTAGCTAGCTAGTTGATGGCAGCAGGCTCACTAGTTACCTAGTTGATGCATCCATTGTCCAAACTAGTTAACTAGTGAGGACATAAATGTATACTAGTAAACTAGTTCAAGTCTACATTCACACTAGCTAGCTAGTTGCGCAGAATTCTAATTAGGAGGCGGAGAATTTCTCAAATTAAGACTCTCTATTGGCTCCCTGTGTCAAAATAAAATATGACAACCAATCACAGTGCGGAATTTCGTAAAATCCCACCCCAAACATTTGCATGCGGCACACAAGTTAGCATGCTGGCCAGAGGAACCTCAGCTAGTGAACTAGTAGTGGCTTCAGTGTGACACTTACATGTAAACTTGTGAAGGCAGAACTGCTCACTAGTTAACTAGAGAGGGTACAAATGTCCACTAGTTAACTAGTGAGGTGCAAAATAAGTGTCACTAGTTCACTAGTGGGCCCCAAATCGCCCACAAGTTAACTAGTAAGGTGCGGATATGCTCACTAGTTAACTAGTGAGGTGCAGATTTGCTCACTAGTTAACTAGTGCGCCCTAAAGCGCCCACTAGTTAACTAGTAAGGTGCAAAAAAGCATCACTAGTTAACTTGTAAAGTGCAGATATGCTCACTAGTTAACTAGTGGGCCCCAAAATGTCAACATGTTAACTAGTAGGGTGCGGATTTGCTCACTAGTTAACTAGTGAGGCACAGATATGCTCACTAGTTAACTAGTGATGTGCGGATTTGCTCACTAGTTAACTAGTGAGGTGCAGATTTGCTCACTAGTTAACTAGTGTGCCCTAAAGCACCCACTAGTTAACTAGTAAGGTGCAAAAAAGCATCACTAGTTAACTTGTAAAGTGCAGATATGCTCACTAGTTAACTAGTGGGCCCCAAAACGCCAACTAGTTAACTAGTAGGGTGCGGATTTGCTCACTAGTTAACTAGTGAGGCACATATATGCTCACTAGTTAACTAGTGAAGTGCGGATTTGCTTACTAGCTAACTAGTGAGGCGCGGATTTGCTCACTAGTTAACTAGTGAAGTGCGGATTTGCTCACTAGTTAACTAGTGAGGTGCGGATTTGCTCACTAGTTAACTAGTGAGGTGCGGATTTGCTCACTAGTTAACTAGTGAGGTGCGGATTTGCTCACTAGTTAACTAGTGAGGTGCAGATATGCTCACTAGTTAACTAGTGAGGTGCAGATATGCTCACTAGTTAACTAGTGCGCACAAGACGCACACTAGTTGCTGTTTTTGGAGCAATCTAGTTTACTTGTTATGTAAAAATGTGTTCTTACTAGTTAACTAGTGACAAATTTACCTTCACTAGTTAACTAGTTGACATATTTGGCCTTTCTAGTTCACTTGTAATGGGACAGGAAGCACTCACTAGTTAACTAGTGAGCATATCTGCATTATAATTTTTTCTCACTAGCTTATAGAGGGCAAACTGAGCCTTACATGTTAAGTAGTGAACACAAAACACTGTCACTAGTTAACTAGCTGCAGAAAAATGCCCCTAAAACTAGTAAATTTGTGGAATTTGAATAAATACACACTTGGCTGGCATTCTGTGTAACATGTTAACTAGTTCGACCGCTGTACTGCTCACTAGTTAGCTAGTGAGCAAATCCGGCCTTTACATGCAAATGAAGAAATGCAGAACAGCTATGTGATTGGTCCATGTAGGACTGAGAAACAGAGAAAGTATGGCGGACTCTGTTCAGGCTGTTCTAAGAGAAAATTTGATAAACTAAGATCGTTTGAGCACATAAATATGTTTTGACGATATTTGTAGCGAGAAAGTTGTGGTGTATTGCTGTAATCTTTGTTCAGTTAACGTGTGCAGTCTTTAGTTTTCAGTTATTAGTCTGAAAAAGCCTGGAGGCGGAAGGCAGCGGCAGACAGCATGTCTGTTTCTGTTGACAGGAAAGTGCAGAAACTCCGCAGAAATCTCCGTCAGATATATTGTTTCACATTTG